TGGTTCCCTGACTCCATATAAGAAGAAACAGAGCAGTTTACATACATTGGGGAATTGTAAGGTCAGGGAACCAGTCTAGCTGGCTTGTACCCGTTCATAGGTGTGTAATCGATTGCAAACAAGTGCGATGGTCAATTGGGGCCAGTATTTGAAAAAAAGCCAGTTTTTTCCAACGCTGGTCGGCCAACCAGCGTTGGAAATTGATACAAAAATACCACTTTTCTTGAAAATGACAGTATACCAGGTGCCATGACTTTACAGGATGCTTTACACTGTCATTCAGTAACAGTCCAGCAAAGTATTTCAAAATGATTTGGTAGTTTTATTTTTTGATGTTTGCAAATGTTGTATTTTCCCTTTAAAGAATGCATCCTTACAGGCATGTTTTTTTTACACAAAGGGGACCTGAACATGATGCATTGAAAGACTGTGTGACATTCATCTCCAAAGAAGCTCTACAAACCAGAACAGTATACCAGTATATAAAATGAAAAATGTCCTTCCAATCACAATGGAAACTACATCAAGTTAATGGACACTGCCTTAGGGAGCTTTTGAGGTTTGCGGGCCTTGAAAAATGAAGGAAATATATCATTTGAAATGTCCTTTCGGTTTCACTAAAAGTTTCAGCCAATCAGACAGTGCACAAGTAATTGCCCTCTGGATTAACAACAGCTTCAAGAACCAATCCATGAATCAATTTACATAAAACAGCAATCAAAGCCTAAAATCACAACCATGTTCTGAGAAGATGGAGCTAGGGTGGGTGTTAATGTGAATTCGGGCGATTCACAATGCAGGGCGCCACCAAGAGTTTGCCACGGAGAGTTCATTTTTCCCAGTGCATTGTGGGAGATGGTCGACAAATTCGCAGCGCGGGACATTTGAAATTGTTCGTTTTTCCGGTTTGTAGTTTCGTAAGCGTATGATTCGAGTAGGCCTATCTGTTTGCCTTTTTTTTATCTTTTTATCAATATGGTGTTTTTTGTAAGGCGGCAAAAAGCTATGCCCCAGTCTATAACAAATAAGCTCAAGTTGTCTACTGACACTCATTCAAATGGGCCATGTTTTGTTGTCCGTAAACCTGAAAAATGGATTCTCCATGGCAAACTCTTGGTGGCGCACTGCATTGTGAATCGCCCGAATTGGGAGGTTTCCAATGTCAGTCGAACAACAAAAACAACTCAATGATCTGAAGAACGCCGAAGAAATCTGAACTGCAACGCAGCCAGTGAGGTTGGGGCCGGGCATGCCGGGCCGAGGCCAAAGGTAACCGCATTCGAAAATGCAGTGTGAGGGCGCCCTTTCATTTGGCAACCCTTTTTTTTTCAGAATAGGAAATCGTGATCAAGGCCAAATTATAAAAAAAAAACACGTTTAGCGTCTTGCCTTTTTTGAAAAAAAAAGAAGCGGGAGGCTCTTTTTTCTTTTTTTCCCCTCCAAAATGGCCGCCCGACCATGCTATTTTTCAAGATGGCTGCCGCTTTTTTTTTTTTAAATGGCCGCTATTGGACTCAGGAAATGACCTACCAGCTTAATATGGGCTAGATGCAACAGACAAAGTGGTCATCACTGAGAAAAAAAGAAAAGAAGAAAAAAGAAGGCTGCCTCCAAAAAGGAAGCGGGCAGGGACGCTAAACTTTTTTTTTAATTTGGCCCAATAGGGAGGATTCAATAAGGAAAACTGACTAGTGTTACTAAATGAGAGAGTGCCGATCTTAAGTTATTAAGCACAATAATGATTGCCGTCTGCCATATATTTATTGAAATAAGCATAAAATTAAAAAAATAAAGTTAAAGACAAAGATTTTGAGAAAATGTGAATTTTTTTGAGTAGGCCCTATTTCAATCATTTTTCTGCACTCCTTTTTAAAGGAAAATAATCTTATTGTACTCTGCATTTAAAGTAGGCCTATTTTTGAGTCAGAGTCAGACTCAGACTCAGTCAGAGGTCAGAGTCTCAAACAAATCCCTGGCATGCCTGGTTTAATTTATCCATTTTTCTTTGGTTTGCAGATTCAGACGAATCAAAACTTGCATTAAAATATTTCTATTTATTAGTATTACTACAAAACTACATCAAAAACAAATGTAGAAAATATATTCGAAAAATGTACTTTTTAAATTAAACATGTTATAAGTTATATAAAGTAAGTTACCTCCCCACAAAGGGGCGTGTCCACAAACATGACAAACGATCTGACAAAAAGTGACAATACATTACTCATTTTATTTACTGACATGACTGAACACTTTGCCTAAAGTTAATCGGAATTGCATGGATTCTGGCCGGCGTGGTCGTACAAGGAATAAGATGGCGACAAGAAAATCATGGTACAAGCCATTTGGCTCAAGAAATAGTAAATAAAGCTCAGTCATAACTTATAGCGCGAATGATATTTTCACGAAACAGGTTAAGTACAAAAGTATTGCAAACCACGCTGACGTGTACAATTGACAGTGCATGATGCAGTGAAAGTCGTGAAGTGAAACGTCAGAGCCGAGGCCTAGTTAATTGTGTTGCGTTGTTTACTCGTAAAAAAATACATACAATGGTGTAATTCTCTTGTAGTATATACGTACCGTTTCTTGCTCCAAAAGTTGAGGAATAGCCACAAAAATCAGGCAAAAAGTGAGTATAAATCCGACAACCATGCGTTTCCCGTCGCACTAAATGTTCATTCATGAATATGTAATTTCACCTCCCTATTTCTGTCCAATCACAAGCCTCCATGCGCGCGGCAGGTCAAAGGTAAAAGTGGTTCGATAAGTTTTATCCAATGAGAAAACAAGAGTAAAAAGCTGGACCATACCATCAGCTGGAAAATTACTTTTTGCTTAAACTTTAGATTTAGGCTGATATCCGTGCTTCGGGAAGCACATTAGCTCTAGTTTTCAGTCTGCTCATACCACCATGCTCTTCATTTTTTGTTTCTCTAAACGAATTTCAATTTGTACGTTTTGTTTTAACGAAAAAAAGTACTTTATTCCGATTTTTGGCGTCTGCCACTCTCCGGGAGAGGGCTTTCAGTATTTGCACAAAATAATTAACCCTCTCTGCTAGAGCCGGAGGATTGTCTGGCAGCCTATATTTCGAATTTTGTGAAGAAATAATTCAATAAACTGGAACAACGTTTGTAGCCAGAGGTATTGGAAGTGAAGGCTTCAGTTTTTAGGTAAACTTTTTCAATTCCAGGCATATGCCTCTGGCTTTCGTTACTTTTTGTTGTGTTGTATTTTGTAATTTTGTCGTTTGTTTATTTTTATGCCGAATAAATTATGATACTAATCATCATCATAATAATAATGTCGGTAGATGGTTTTTTTTTATCAGACGAGTGGAAGAACATGCTCTTTTAAGACATACTTCATTGTTGTATCAAATTTGATTGCTTTTTAAGAAAAGAAAAAAATTAATCCAGGGCCCTTTCTTTTTGACTCGCCCTGTATTATTATCACTGCAATTCATTTTTCCAGTGGCCGCGCACTAATATACATTTTGTCCAGCTCTCTATTCATTCACTCAATCGGCTTTTTTTACATGCAATTGGGTTTTTATTATATTATATCTTTCCCGATGTCGTGATGAATTTACCGGACACAATATCGTTGGAATTATGCTTTTCAAAAAAAACATCGATACTATTACTAGCTCCTCTCCACGCCAAATAGTAAACACATACTTTAATACCGAGTATTTTCCTTTTTGAAGAACAGTTCAGCTTCAGTCAAGGCCGGATCTAGGACACAATATTTGGGGGCACATTTTTTGTTTTGTTAGCCGAAAATGTGGGTCCAAAAAAATGTCCACCCAAGCTTAATATGAGAAGCAAGGCGTGACGTATTGCTTTTGTTGAGTTTTGTGGGTGGTGTACGCATTGGCGGCCTTTTTTGTGACGTCACTAAAAAAATAGGTTCGTGTGGGGTTTTCTTTTTGGAGGGGGGGGGGATGCGCCCGTTGCGCTCCCCGGATCCGCCGTTGGCTGCAGTGTGTCTATTAATGTGATTGATTTCACTATGATTATTATTTGTTATTATTTATTATTATTACTTATTATTTATTCGGTCAAAGTACAAAATACGTCAAGCAAGCAATCCACAAAAATAAACAAAACTATAAACAAAAACAACCCAATCCAAGCTGGCCAGGATTGACAAAAGTATTAATAAAACACTGTGACTCGAAAGCCTGTCAATCTAAACGATCCTCAAACCAAAATCTTCTTCCAGACTCCTCAACGTCCCAATCTTTATCATTTAAGGGAACATCGCATTTTGAAGTTTTGTTGTAATGCACCAAAAAAAGTAAAATATTTATCTTAAATTTACACAATTTCTTTCTGTGTAACCCCCCCCCCCCATTCTCCCCAAACTTCTCTGAAAAAAATAGTTCACATTTATTATTGATTTATGAATATGGAGGAATCCCTTTGTATACCTCCCTCCATGCTTAAATTAACATCTTTAAGGTTACCCCCCCCCCCCCGACACACACACACAAAATTATTTATTGTTCCCAATATGTCATATCAACTTCATCATCGTCATCACAACGTCATCCAAGTTCTATTTACAAATGCGTTGTACAAAAGCATTTAGTTCTGTTATCGCTGTTATTGTCATCATGTTTCAGTACGTAACCTCATATTCAGTGCACTACTGCACATTGCATGGCAAAATTGTGTGCAATATTGCTTGTTAGTGTTTATAGCTCCATGGTGTTACGAAACACTCGCTATATATATCATCAGGCCTATAGTAACAGTGAGTTGGACAAGTTTTGACAGGACAGGAATAGCGATATTGCATGCAGGGAGTAGCAGCAATAATCGTAACAGCCGCACCGACTGCTCCATAAAAACCTGACAACTATCAGGGGAGCGCGGGGGATGACCTAGCCTTTGTACCGGTCTCTGCTCCCGCTCTGCAATTGACAATCGCGCCTAATCGGCTAAGCCCAGGGTGCCCTTGTCAAAGTCCCCGGTATAAAAGCCGCCGTAATTTCGCAACGGGCTTTAAAAGTTTTCCAGTTGCAAGCTCAAGAAGAATATACTCTGGACTTGTAGCGGCCACACGCTTAACTGGCCGTCATGGAGCTGTTAAAGACGTGGTTGTTGCTGGCTTGTGTTGCTGGATCATATGCTGGTAAGTTGGGTTTTAGTTTATTAAATAAAAACAAATTTGATTTCCAATTTCTCCCCAATGTTTTAGGACTTTAAAATGTTGTCAAAATTTTGGAAATTGTTCGCGTTGTTCAGTTGTAAATTAATCGTCAATTCGATTGCTTGACAATATTATCGACCTAAATTGTAAAGTCTTTTTTGTACTTTTTTACCGAACCTTTATCACAAAGTGTGGTTTTGTCCATGATAAAAGATAATTAATCGCGGTCACTTTTTGAGTTTGCAAAACCACAGGCCGGCCACAGATTACACGTCGCACGCGCACACATCTACCGCATTCGCCTCAAAACGACATTAGTGCGGCTGTGATTATTCATGAGCTATAGTTTATTTAAAACCTTGTACTTTTATGATCTTTTTTAAATGACCATTAAAATTCATCATTTAACCATGATTCAGTTCATTATCGTGGATTTCTGTTCAGGCTTGAGCAGAGATAGAGCATGGTGATTTCATTGTTAGTCTCTACGGCCAGGCTTAATAATAATGAGTTTTAAACATAAAGGAATAAACAAGATCGACCATTAATATTTTGTAACTACATGTACTGAAGCGTCGAAGAGATAGATAGGTCTACTTAAGTTTCGATGGAATTTCTCACGCAATAGTTCAAATTTACATCGTAAAAAGACGTCACATTTCTTGGAAACTGTGTGGAGATATGTATTTTTAGGGCCCCCAATCCGTGCCACATACAGTAGCTTGTCTTTGTTCTTCTCTTGGGCCCACAAAACCGTTACGTGCTATTGCTAAGTACAGCGCCACACGGGTTTTCCGTGCAAGGATCTTGTTTACATTGAACAGCTGATTGCGGTTTTCCCGATGGCGCGCATGCTCAGATGCCTAGCATACACATACTGCATATGCATGAGCACAATCGGAGGGGCCTTTTGACAGACTTATCGATCGCCCGGATCGAAGGGAGGGGGGACTATTCCCAAATTTTGGGTCCTGGGAGTCCTTTGACCAACTGCATGGATATATATATATAGAACAGGCCTTAAGTTATCAAAGATACTACAGAGGGGTATATTATCGTGTTGCCTCCATGCCTGAATCTATTTTATAAATTGTAAACCGTTGAATGGGATATTGTGCCAGACTAGTTTATGATCGTAGTGTGAGCGAGTCACTTTAAAAAAAATTTAATGGGCCTTAAATTAAACATTACGGTTTGTTTAATCTCACATTTTAAGTTATTCATCAGAGCAGACTGGTATTAATTTGCAATGGCCCTTTCTTTAATTGCTCTCGTTTCTACTCGCAAGTTCCAAAAATAAAAGTTTACCTCGCTTTCAATTGAAAATGGCCAGCTCGTGATTTGACTAGAGTCTATGGAGTCAGCTCTGTATAGAGTGTTATAATTCATTGCTTTCGTTTCTACTCGCAAGTTCCAAAAATAAGAGTTAACCTCGTTTTCAATTGAAAATGGCCGACTCGTGATCAAGTTGATTATAAAGTCTATGGAGTCAGCTCAGCATAGAGTGTTATTTTTTTTATACAGGTTTGGTGACACCTAATTAATGCATATTCGTTACTCCGCAAAGTTATTGTTTTACCAACGAGGTTGGTGTTAAGTTGCCACGTGATATATTTCATGTCTGTTGATCCTGCAATATTTTTGGTTTTAAAAATTTTTTTAACACTTGATTTCCATAGTTTTGAATGGTAACATGGAATGAAATTTCTATATTGCTAATGAATTTTCTACATAACGTTCCATTTAATATTTCATGGGATTTAATGGCCTCAATTTTTGGCACCCAAGATCGAGCCATGAGCTGTTGTATCACAGAAAAAAAATAATTTCCTGATCCCGGGCCCCGAGTCAAATAAGAAAAATAAATCACGGGGCCCCTGGACAACAAATTGCGGTGTAGACTGTGGTTGTTATTTTACCGATTAAGATGATAAAAATGATTTGATAACATTGTGATTCCAGTTATGCCATGGGGGGTTATACCGACCTAGGATGAAAGGTTAAACCGCAAAAGTCATGAAAAGCTCAGAGAATGATTTATCAGAGAGCAAATATGGATAAGAAAGCCGGCCGGTTTTTTTGTTCGAGGTCAGTGTATGATCATTATATGAAGGCTTTCTTGTAGTTGTACGATCGAGTACCGTGCGGTGGCATTGGAAGGCGCCCTCTATAACGCATCAGCGAATAAAAATGTGGCATGCATTATTATCTAATTTAATTACTCTCAAAACTATTGTGGAATCGCCAGAAATAGCACAATTCATACATTGTTTCTTTTTTGTTCAAAACAGCTCCTTTGTCGGCATTGGGATCCAGGCACTGTTCACGACAGACATGCAACGCTGGTAAGCTTCTTATAATAAGTTTCTGGCATAATTATTCCAGAGGGCGTAGTGTATGTTTTTTAACTGGCTACAATTATGCAAATTACTCAGAAAGGATTAGTAGTCGGGTACCCGGCTGAAAAACTTTCTTCCTGGAAAATTGCTCGTAACAATTTGGGTACCTGTCGAGTCTCAAAAAGCACGTGGATGCAGTTGTAAAACAAAATGGGTGGATTTGCGGAAAGTTATCAACGAAAAAGGCAAGAATATTAACATTAGACAGTGTAGATGAACAAGCTGTAGGGTGTATTTAAGTGATTGGCGGACATTGTGCTGAATGGTACTCGTAGTTCACATTTTGTTTTTATTCATGTCGATTTCCCAGAGCTTTTTGAGTTGTAATTCGTGCACAAAATGTATGCAACAAAACTTTCTGCCGTGAAAGGTCCATATACATGTATATGACGTCACTATAGAGAGATGCACAAATTGACCTGAGCTGGTCAAATCTCCATATGGGCCTATACGTTTACTGTGGGAAAACGGCTGTGCTTATCGCTTAAATCGCTTAAAATGCTTCAGCAGGTAGTGGGTAGTGTAGTGATAGAATCATGAGAATAGATAGAATAAATGTGCATGGTTTTGAATGCCAAATGTGCTGATGCAGAATCCACGAGGCACGAGATTTTTGCTTTTAAATAGAAGATAGGGCCTAGTGGATATTTTGCTGGAGGTAATGACGGCAAACTAACGTTTACTAAAGGTTTTCCGGCGGCAATTCATATCAACAGAGGGCGCTGTACTTTTTAAGATAGGGCTGAATTATAAGATGTATTAAATTCCCACCAAAAGTTGTGTAGCACGTTTGGTGTAGTGGTTAAGCAAAAGCTCTAGTGAGCGGGATGACTCGGGTTCGATCCCGATCCCCGCCACATTTTTAAGGGTTTTTTTTCCCATCCCCAAATAAATAAGAATATTCTTCTTTTATTATTTTAACATGTCTCAAACATTTTATTGCAGAGTATTACATTTTCTTTTTCAGATTTGTGGCTCTGGAGGATTTTTTTTAAAAGGGAAATAAAGTCCGAAATTATAAAATGGTCTGAATCCCATCTTGTGAATAGGAGGTTACAACGATAATATTGGCATGGAGCCAGACTAAAATTTTTCATAATAGTATTAATTCTGCTTCCGGTTTCCCTACCTACCCTACATGTATAATGACAGCACCTACCCTAATTTTTTGGTGGGAAAAATGAGAAAAAAAAACACCCAAAACCATCAATTTTTACCTTTTACCCTTGACTACACACAGACACCTCCATATGATATAGTGCCCCCCCCCCCCTTCCGCTTTTTGACAGCGCACCGACCTTTAATTTTCAAAGCTGGAGAACACTTGGGGATAACAGGGTTTATGATTTGCACTTTGTAACTCGCAAACTTTGCCGTCAACTTTCAGAGAACGGCAGATACGAAGTAGGCCAGAAGTACACGTACCGCTACACCGCTGAATCGGCAACGTGGATCAACGGCACTTCAGAGCAGAAGAGCAGTCTAAAGTTTGACTGCAACGCCGAGATAAGCGCCATCAGTCCCTGTGAACTCACCCTCACGGTAAGGGAAGTCTAGAGCCGTTCTTTGGTCACTGTGCGACGTAAAATTGGGCTTGTCTGATTAAAAGCTTTGCCCCATATTAACTACATCTGACATATTACTTTCAATGATTCGTCAGGTGGGGGCACAAGCCACCCCAGCCCCATAAATGTGGCCTATTTACTGGACTGCCTCCGTAAACATAGGCCACACATCCACATGTACAAAAACGTGTCGCACTTTGCCAAATTTTGATTTTCACATTTAGGCTTAGTTTGAACGTTTTTATTGCTTTAGAAGCATACTCACCCTCTTTATAGGCTAATCAGAAAGTGCTGCCTTTTTCAGATGTCTAATTTTTGTGAAATTTCAGGTTGAAATTTTGATACGCAAACGTGTAAAAATGAATCTGGAAATTTCACGAAAAATATACATCTGAAAAAAGGAGCACTTTCTGATTAGCCTATAAAGAGGGTGAGTATGCTTCTAAAGCAAAAAAACCCTACAAACTAAGCCTAAATGCGAAAATCAAAATTTGGCAAAGTGCGACACGTTTTTGTACATGTGGATGTGTGGCCTATGTTTACGGAGGCAGTCCAGAAAATAGACCACATTTATGGGGCTAAAGCCACCCAAGCTCCCACAAGAAAGTGTGCACCTTAACAAAGCATGACGTCATTCATGTCATTGTGACATTCACAAGTAATGGTTGGTGAATAATAAAGGAATTTTTGTCACAGTTCATTTAAATAGCTTGTGACTACTGACTTTGATTGGGACTGAATGACTTGTGATAGACTTGTGAGGGTCTTTTTAGGACTTATGATGGCCTGTTTGAGCCACCAACACTTTAAGGTGATGCTTATTGCCTATTCAGAAAAAAATCTTGGGTGACCCAATAATTTCAGATTGTGAACATTTATCAACTTAGACACAAAAACAATATTTTGTACAAGTTCATTCATTCAATAGACATAGGCATTTGCCCGTGGCCTCCTAATGTTATACACAGTTCGAATCACTGGCTCCGATCCCACTTTTTCAAGTTGTACAAAGAAATTGACTGGAGCGGGGTTTGAACCTTCAAACCTCCAGATTGCCGTTCCAGTGCTCTACCAACTGAGCTATCCAGCCCTATGTTGGTGGTTCCCCATTATGTAAATCTTTTCTTCACTATAGTACAAGTGCCGTTACGGTACACCATTTGATTAAGCAAAGAGGGTGTGTATCGTCAGTAAATGTCTGACCTTATTTTTACCCCTCGTAGTTGTTTCGTTCACTGATAAGTGACTGACCTACACATTGCAAATGTGAAAAAATGATTAACTTGCTGACTCCTCATTGATTGTTGTCACAGCTGAAAAATGTCAACGCGTTCGAGTCCAACGCCAACGGAGACATGGTGGCGGCAACGGACACCGATATGGCTCTGGAGCTGCAGGAGCACGTCCTACGCTTTGCCTTCCACGACGGTGTCGTCACCGACGTCTGCCCTACCGGGAACGAGAAGACATGGGCGCTCAACTTCAAGCGCGGCGTCCTGTCGGCGATCCAGGCACCCGTTACGGAGATACCGGCTGACAAGACGGAAGAAATGATCACTGAGGTTAGTAATAGACTCCGTAGATGGTAACAATATATCATAGGCCTCATCCAAATTACTTAAACTACGGCTAGGAATTGCAGACTGAGTACTTGTTGAGTAGATAGAGTAGTTGTTGAGTAGACTGAGTACTTGTTGAGTAGACTTGAGTACTTGTTGAGTAGACTGAGTACTTGTTGAGTAGACTGAGTACTTGTTGAGTAGACTGAGTACTTGTTGAGTAGACTGAGTACTTGTTGAGTAGACTGAGTTCTTATTGAGTAGACTGAGTACTTGTTGAGTAGACTGAGTACTTGGTGAGTAGACTGAGTACTTGGTGAGTAGACTGAGTACTTGTTGAGTAGACTGAGTACTTGTTGAGTAGACTGAGTACTTGTTGAGTAGACTGAGTACTTGTTGAGTAGACTGAGTTCTTATTGAGAAGACCGAGTACTTGTTGAGTAGACTGAGTACTTGTTGAGTAGACAGAGTACTTGTTGAGTAGACTGAGTAGTTGTTGAGTAGACTGAGTAGTTGTTGAGTAGACTGAGTAGTTGTTGAGTAGACTGAGTTCTTATTGAGAAGACCGAGTACTTGTTGAGTAGACTGAGTACTTGTTGAGTTGACAGAGTACTTGTTGAGTAGACTGAGTACTTGTTGAGTAGACTGAGTACTTGTTGAGTAGACTGAGTAGTTGTTGAGTAGACTGAGTACTTGTTGAGTAGACTGAGTACTTGTTGAGTAGACTGAGTACTTTTTGAGTAGACTGAGTACTTGTTGAGTAGACTGAGTACTTGTTGAGTAGACTGAGTACTTGTTGAGTAGACTGAGTACTTGTTGAGTAGACTGAGTAGTTGTTGAGTAGACTGAGTACTTGTTGAGTAGACTGAGTACTTGTTGAGTAGACTGAGTCCTTGTTGAGTAGACTGAGTACTTGTTGAGTAGACTGAGTACTTGTTGAGTATACTTAGTACTGTGAGTAGGAATTTTGGTACTCACACATACATCCTGATGTACACAGCTGTGTAAGAAGTATACATGTACAAAACTTATATTCGTGTTCCTACAATATCTATCTAAGTACTCTTTGAGTTGAAATTCTTAATCAATTATTTTGGTTTTTTTCCTGTATGACAGACTGACGTTACGGGTAAATGCCCCACCAAGATCAGCAGATCCGAATTCCCGAGGTCCATCATGAAGCACAAAGACTTCAAGAACTGCCAGCATCACAGCAAGCTAGAGGGCGGTATGCAGGCCACCATGCTGAAAGCGGAAGCGGTACGTATCAAGTTACTTGAAATCAAGCCGGTAATTGGCCGAGTTTAGTCCGCCCAGCATCGCTTCGTATCATACCGTACCATACTGACTGCACTGCACCATACCCTGTCCAGGGGTAGCGTGTAGTGTGTGGTATAATAACATGCGGGAACGTTCAGTGCAACCTTGGCACCAATATGTGTGTGCAGCTCACTGTTTTGTTAAACTCTTTCAGTGCCCGCAAAATTTGAAAAGTTAAACCCTAAAGTGCCCAACTTCGAGCGTGTTTTGTAATTGTTCAAAATTCTGTAATAAAAAAAAAAGTAAACAAGTTGTATTCACTAAATTTGTTGTTGTTGCTCTGTGGTATATCCTTGGTATATTGGAAAGTCAATAGTAGTCGCGTACATAGCGATACACCCTGAAACACTGTCCTGCACACAGGGGAATTTCGCACTTTTTGCAGAAAATACGAGTGTCAGTGCTGCGCCCTCTCGCAAGAACTCGAATGAAACAAATAAATACAGGTCGTACCTAAATGAAAGTGATATTATTATTAGAAAGAGCGAGAGCGCCCCCTTGTGATAACATGCTTACTCTACCTCGTACATGTACGAGGTTTGGCGATTTTAAGTACGAACATTACTTCGTACATGTACGAGGTTGGCACTGTCGAACTAACAAATATACCTCGTACATGTACGACTTTGGAACTAAAAGAGTTAATACATGTCGCCGACTGTGAGGTTTATTAATTTCTTCTATTTGTTGCAGCCATTATACGACATTGCGGACTGCTCCCTGGAGTGCGAAGTCTCCTTTGAAGAGAACTCCGACATTGTCGCTGAGTCCAACTGCAGGGAACGTCATCTCTCCAAAGCTTTCTCCAAGCAGAGTTCCGGAGCCGTGACCCTAGTCACAGTCAACATTGAGCTCACGGAAGTCGTGGAAAGATCCGCACCCATGAGTAAGTCAGATTAGTTGCGCAGGTCCCAAAGTCCACAAAATCTGTGAATTTGCTCGATTTGGAATGGCTATTCATTTCAAGGCTTTGCTTGAATTTAATACCGGAGTCTTACATAGCACACGTATCTACCAACAATTAGGTACTCAAGGCACTGGAAATTATGTATAACTTTAAATACAGGTAAATGAAGTTTATGAGAAAATATGAGACCCATTATGTAGCACCTTAAAAGAGTTTACAAGGTGCTGCGGCGCATATTGCAGCCACTGCCAGAAACACCGGGGAAAACCCCTTCTCGTAGTGATAAGTGTTACTGGGTTCTTGAACGTGCATTACACAACACACGGGACCTACGGCTTTACGTCCCAAACGAAGGATGAAGCAATAATGGTAAAGTGCCTTGCTCAAGAGCACAAGCACCATGTTCCCACAGTCAGGATTGGAACCCATGTACCACGGCACACGAGTCGAACACCATACCTTTTGGACCATAACACCCCACAATTTTGCCTCGTCTTTTGTTGTGGAGCGCCGTGGTTCAATGGTTATTGTGTTCGACTCGTGTGCCGTGGTACAGGGGTTTGGACCCAGACGGGGAACATGATGCTTGTGTTCATGGGCAAGACACTTTACTGCGATGCCTCTAAGCCTGAACCAGCCTTTAGATTGGATTTTGGATTTTGTGCCCCTTCAGCAGACGGCACCGATCCCTGACAGTTAAGCTAGGACAAGCTGCCAAGAACATGAATCAAATCCAGTCGTGTGAAGTTTTTGACTCGGACCAGAAAGATTGACCTATCACGGTAGAATCGGGTCAACGCAGCTTGTGAATGACGTGATATACAAATGGATGTGGAAATCGCAAAATCTGAGACAAGCAAAACTTAACGTACAAAATGCCAAACGGGGGTAGGTCAATTCCAAGGGTACCTCATGCACCCACACATACCATGAACGTAGCCCCCCCCCCCCTCCACCCCTCAGGGTCTGCAATACCTGAGCAACACCCTTGTAAACTTCCTCTATCCACCACCGAATTTGTACCTCTTTCCTGTCAATAACAGGCACCGTCGTCGAGCGACAGACCACCATCCTCTTCGACCACGAGGAGACCCAGGTCGAGACGCAGCAAGAAGTCCTGACCAAAGTCCGCGGAATCCTGACCGCCATCAACCGCCGGGTGACCAGGACGGTCGGCGTAGACTTGCCCAACCTCTTCTCGGACCTGATGACCGAGATGCACAAGATTGAAACCTTGACCGGCATGACGGAGCTGAAGAACTTTGCCGAGGCCGAGAGCCAAGCCTTGTAGTAAGTCCTAAGCAAATGGTTCCTGTTAATTATTGCTGAAAGTTCAACACTGCTGTGTTTTTTGAGATGGCATCCTTCACTAAATCTATGCTTTGCAGTGTTGTAGTACTCGTATTCGGTACTCGTACTCAAGTACTACTCGAGTACTTTTTTTGGAGTATTCGTCCTCGTACTCGAATGTCAAAGTACTCGTACTCGAAATGACGGTAATCGTACTCAGGCAGCAAAGTACTCATACTCGACATGTCAAAATTTTACTCGATCATCAAAGTACTCGTACTCGAATACCAGTACTCGAAAACAAAATGGTATAGCTTGACTAACCTTGACCTTATTTTATTATCGATACTTTCAGTTGGAAATGGTTGAGTGGCTTGCAGAGAAATAAAAGTTTACTGATTTTTCGCTGTGCGCGTCAGGACAAAACACATTTAACAGCTAGCCGTGAGTGGGTCTATATATCGGTCTGACTGGGCCTGGGCCAATTACGCACAATGAACCATTTGCGGTATGGCCATATTCAGAAATAGAAGTACCCATACTTGTACTCAGAATACAAGTACTTGTACTCGTACTTGGAAATACAAGTTCTCGTACTCGGAGACCTGAACTTGTACTTGGAAGTGCAAGTACTCGTACTCGGTAACGTAAGTACTCGGCAGTACTCGGAAAAAAGTACTCGACTACAACACTGCTACTTTGTAATTTCATGTTTCGCATCTGTCAATATTAATTTCCTCTCGTTTCCGTGGCAACAGTGAGGTCTTCAAGGATGCCCTGCCGATGTGCGAGACCACCGCCAGCATGGAGATGATGGCGGCCATCATCAGCGAGGTGGCGGCCTCATCCGACGAAGCCGTCAAGAAAGCGTTCAACCCGACGCGGATCGCCTGGCTGACCCTACCCTCCATGATCAGTCATCCCACTAAAGAAATGATTTCCGCCCTCATGGTAAGTAACTTTCTTTTTAATGGTCAAAGAAAACTTTGCGCAGGGTCAACAAATGACTCATTTAGCTTGATCTTATCACATATTCTGTGTAACTTTCTAAAAAAAATTCTCTCTTTTATTTCCTTTTTAATGACCAATTGTCTGCATTCCTCCTCAGCCCCTGATCCAGACCCTCTCTGTGGATGACACTGTCTTCTTCCTGCCCATCTCATCCCTCATCAATCGCTACTGCACCTCCGAGAACCCCTCATGTCTTGAGGAGGCAGAGGTGCGTCAGGCCCTGGAGTACTTCCAGCAGCTGCTGGGCTACGACTGCACTCCAAGTGATGAGGTTCCTGCTCTAAAGGTAAGTCCAGATTTGTCTTCGTTTTCTTTTGTTAGGCCAAAAAAAAAAGTCTCCGGTTTCTGGTATGCGCGCGCGTCGCCGTAGCCATGCGCGTCGGCGAAATGAAAAAGTTTTTTTTTCAATGAAAGATGATGTCTCAAAACCGCCCAACTCACTGGTTTGACTGGAATCCTGCTGCTGCACAATTTTAATGTGTTTTTAGATGAGGTTATGATTGAGAACTAGCTTTATGTGGCCTGTCTGGACTCCCATATATTTGCAGTAAGTTTAGTCGCGCACCATTTGCAGTCATCAGCCGACATTTGAAGCAAAAAAATCAGGTAAAAAAAAAAAAAGCCGCATTGCCGCACCACTTTTTGGGCAAGCTCCATACCAGAAACCGGAGACTTTTTTTTTTTGGCCTTACGAGTAATATAAGTGAGTTTGACGAACATTACTGGTACCCACACCAGTCGAGCATAGTTTCACTAGTGTAGTTGGATATTTAGGACCAGCCTGCCACCGCTGTACTCAAGTTCATCGAAAGTCCCCAAAAGCCGTCCCAAGTGATGTTGTGCAAACCCGACCCGAAATCGACTCAAAACTGAAACTGACTTCAGTTCGGATCTGGTCAGTTTTCCATATTATCAGTCCGGTCCGGTCAGTTTCGATTTTGCGTTTACGATTTTCGGGTCGGGACGGTTAAGCCATCAAAAATTCACGTGGCGCAATACTATTGTAGAGTCACTGTGCTGGGTACTGCGCGGAGTGCGCGCACACTACCCATAATTTGTCGGGGGCCCAGCAGTAGGGCATGTGAGCATTCTGATGCGAAAATCGCATTTCAAGAAAATTGCATTCAAAGGCTCCAATAGTCCCAATGCTCCAATATTCCGATGGAAATGATTACATTTCATTATAAAATGGAGGCAGTTTTCTGCATATATTTTTGCTGGGAACATTTTGGTTCACGTACGCCCTTTTGCCAAGCACCAAATGAGTTATAGTGATTGATTTCAAGTGCTTTGAACCAAAATGGCAGCATCGAGCTGTATACTCCCCAGGGAGCTGAGATTATCTCTGGAATGTTTCATTGGCCCATGAGCAGGATAATAATGATGTAGCGCCTTGAGCACCAATACTGGTGGATACGTGCGCTTTGTTAACGCACATTTTTATTTTAACTACCTCACGTGTGTTTGTCCATCTTCGACAGATGTTGATGGCCCTGAAGGCTCTGGCCAACGCCCGTCGTCTGTCCACCGACAGCAAGATCAGCATCATCAGCAAGTGCTTCGATCACCACAACCCGACCAAGGGAATGGAGATCCGGATTGCTGCCCTGGAGGTCGTCAGGCGCCTCCCGTGCAACCCAGAATACGTGAGTATATATACTCCTGGTTGCAATCTATTGTAGGTTACGCCCAAATCACTTCAGCTCCAGTTAGGAATAGCACACTCGACTGTGGATTTAGCTTCTTCGAGGGCTGTCCGATTTCGAATAATTTAGTATTCGATTATTATAAATATTCAAATATTCGAAACTTGCAGGTCAAGTTAAGCACGTGCCAGCTGCAGTTGCTTGCAGTTGCTGATGGTCAAACGTTGCATACAAAGCGCGGGGGTTAAAATTTGCGAGCGGTGATCATTATGGGCCGCTGCATTGTTTTGTAGTAAGTACTGTCCAACCCTCAAGGGACTTTACCCAGCTGAATGTATAGGACCAATAAATAAGCGTTGACTAAAAAGTGGACTAAATTGGGCAAGGGGACTCCACAACCATGCAACCATCACCCCTGTCCCGGTTCCACTGCCTATGGTTTAAAGGTTAAATTGAAATATAACAAGACCAGGCTTGCTTAAAGGGAAAATACAACATTTGCAAACATCAAAAAATAAAACTACTAAATTATTTTGAAATACCTTGCTGGACGGTTAGTGAATGACAGTCTAAAGCATCCTGTAAAATCATGGCACCTAAAACACAGTCATTTTCAAGAAAAGTGGTATTTTCGTATCAATTTCTAACGCTGATCGGCCGATCAGCGTTGGAAAAAACTGGCTTTTTTTTCAAATACTGGCCCCAATTGACCATCGCACTTGTTTGCAATCGATTACACACCTATGAACGGGTACAAGCCAGCTAGACTGGTTCCCCGACCTTACAATTCCCCAATGTATGTAAACTGCTCTGTTTCTGCTTAAATGGAGTCAGGGAACCAGACTACAGGAAAATGATTGTTTTTCTTGGTTTTTATAGCATTTTTGAACCCAAAACCTCAAAAAAGTCAGTGTAACAATATTTGCTATATATTTCCAACCCCCCATATTCATCTGTTTCTGAAAATTACAGCAAAAGCAAATGATGTATATTCCCTTTAAAGGTTAAATTGAAATATAACAAGACCAGGCTTGCCTAAATCGACCCAAAAATAGCTCAATTAAGGACGTTAATTGACCTAATAGGCATTGGGTCCACCAACAATTATAGGAGATTAGAAACTGCAAGAGACAATAAATACATTTCAATAAATTTCTTCAGCAAATTTTTCGTAAAATTCATCAACTTTTGATGTTCTTATTTGGTCGGACAGCAAACGTACGCCAAGGGGATGTACAAGAACCAGCATTTTGACAGCGAGCTGCGTATCGCCGCCTACCGTGCCATCATGACCTGCCCCAGCGAGGATATCATGGCCGCTGTCAAGGAAGTCATGATGGAAGAGGAGAGCGATCAAGGTATGGGTAGGGGAAAGCTTGGAATTCCTAAGAAATTCTGTAAAGAAATTGGTGTTGATACACGGTGATGGAATTAGTATGCAAATGTTGAGTGGCTCAGAGTGAAATGGGAGGAATATTATCGCAAGGTAAAATCTGGACTCTTCCATTTCACGAGGCGAAGCCAAGTGAACTGAAAAAGTCCAGATTTTACCGAGCGATGATATTCCTCCCATTTCACAATTTAAAGCCACTCAATATTTGTTTTATGTATATGATATATAGATCCTTGTCATTTGAGGTATTGAACTTTTATTTCAACATAAAATTGGTGGAAAATGTATTTCTCTCTTCCAAACCACCCCTTCATGAAAATGTTTGAACCCAACTCTGTAGCGCTGGCTCTTTGGAACAATACGCGCTACGCGCAACGCTGAACACGCACACCAGCATGCATTTGCTCACAAATACCGTGTCATGGAACAAGAATGATCCTAACTGTTCAGAAGTATTTCCCATTCCCCATGGGCGGATAGTACTTTTTGAGCCCCGGCGTGAATGGGTTAATGAATGTCATGTGATGTGAGTTCCTCCAATCAAATGACAAGGATCTATATGTCAGTTATATAACATACAAATAATGAATGGTTATGAGTGCAATGGTAAGAATATTTTCAAGTGACAGATGGAAAAAAGCTTGCAAGCGACGGTGCCTCGTGGAAAAAGTCGGTATCTGTGTGTAGACATTACAAAACATTCTTCGTTTTACAACCGGTGAAGAGCTCTGTTTTAGGTTACTTCATATTGAGTCGGTTTTTCCCCCTGAGAATCACAAGTATTTAGGATGCTTCTAAATGCACGTGTGTTTGTAAGGCACCGCATATGTAGACAAAAGGGGCGTGTTAAAAACTGCAGGACGTGTGAGGCAAACGCTTGGTTGACCACAGTATCCTGCATTGTTTCTGTTAGGCAAAAAAAAAAAAATATTCGGTCTCTGGTCAGACCAAAGTGCCGGAATTGACGCGGCCACGCGGCTTTTTTTTTTTTTTTTTTTTTTTTCTTCAAGCTTGGATTGTACAGACAAGGTAGGTACTATTTTGCTTTTTTGGTGTCCTCATGTACATTGGTGTCCTCCATAATTTGCCTTGGTGCTTTCGATCATTTGCCTTGGTGCAATTTCCCATTCCTTGGTGCTCTCTGGTAAAAAAAAATTGAGAAGGTGCAGAAATACAGGGCCCTGTTGGAGCTACCGCGGAACATTTTGGGGGAAAAAAAGATCAACGCGCATGATTAAAATCGACGCGTGCGCTGACCAGAGACCGACTTATTATTTTTTTTGGCCTTATTGATGCAATGTATTTGTCTGTCTTCCTTTGTGTAGTTGGGTCCTACGTCTGGACCCATCTGTCCAACTTAAACGAGACCAGCGACCCGCAGAAGCAGCACCTCAAGCGCTGGGTGCAGGACAGCGGCATCATGGGAACCAACCTCAAGCTGGACCTGCGCACGGCGTCCCGCAACGTGGAGCTGTCCTGGTACAAAGGTGAGTGGAGAAGCAGAAGTGACGGTACACCAGAGATCCTGACTGTAACGATAGTTGGTCTAGCGCCCTCTATCGACCAGTCTGAAGGTCTTGCATTAATGGCTGCTAATAAAGTAACCCAGATCAACGTGTCCTGAGAACATAATCGCCTAGAATCAAGCATCATCCTTTAAGTAGCATCAAGCATTTACATGGTGTCAGATTGGTTACGTCCTGCTCCCCACTTTTGGACACGGTTTCAACAAACTTTCGGCGACTTTCTGAACTTCGATTCCATCGTTAATCTAACTCAACGGGGAACGTACGCACGCTCACGAACACTTCGATTCGCGAGTGGACTATACGACTGTATGTACATTGTGCTACGGAATGGTTGCATAAAATGAACTTTATGGACGGTACTTCGTAAATTAAATGGACACTAGATTCTCTGTTATCATTTGTGTAGATCTGAGGTTAGCACTTACATTATTTTGAGAGATAATTCCTCTCAAATTTAATGGCCATGAACGTCTCTTTGACTTGAGTTTGAATAAGACTCGCTACTAGTCTTGCACGTGGACAAATGTGCATTTTTTTTTCGTTTGAAGCAACAAAAGTGCTCAAAATCTGAAGAAGGGTGCTTAAAGGGAAAATACAACATTTGCAAACATCAAAAAATAAAACTACCAAATCATTTTGAAATACCTTGCTGGACTGTTAGTGAATGACAGTGTAAAGCATCCTGTAAAATCATGGCACCTGGTATACTGTCATTTTCAAGAAAAGTGGTATTTTTGTATCAATTTCCAACGCTGATCGGCCGACCAGCGTTGGAAAAAACTGGCTTTTTTTTTTCAAATACTGGCCCCAGTTGACCATCGCACTTGTTTGCAATCGATTACACACCTGTGAACGGGTTCAAGCCAGCTAGACTGGTTCCCTGACCTTACAATTCCCCAATGTATGTAAACTGCTCTGTTTCTTCTTAAATGGAGTCAGGGAACCAGACTACAGGAAAATGATTGTTTTTCTTGGTTTTTATAGCATTTTCGAACCCAAAACCTCAAAAAAGTCAGTGTAACTATATTTGCTTTATATTTCCAACCCCCCAATTCCATCCATTTCTGAAAATTACAGCAAAAGCAAATGATGTATATTCCCTTTAACAACTAACCTGACAAAGGTTTTAAAATGCTGAAAAAAACATATTCAGAAAAAACAATATTCTAGGATCTCGATTTCAATTCAAAAGTTGCCGAGTCATGTCATTGCAATGTTCTGAAATTCTGTCTCACTTTTGTTTGCTCAGCTTTGTCATTTTGTCATTTTTCTGTTTTAATTTGCTCCTTTAATTGCTTTCGTCTAGATGATATCGCAAGTGGCTTGACCATTGACGCCGACATGGTCTTCTCGAAGAAGTCCTTCCTGCCCCGCGAGCTGAAGCTCAACAACACCGTGTCGCTGTTCGGCTACGCTGTCAACCTCTTCGAGGTAACTACAGAGAGTGCCAAAAAAAGTGCAACATTCAGAAAACAAATAATTAAAACTGTTAAATGTTGTTTTCATCAATGAAATGATATATTACACTAAAGCCTGACTATTTCTCAATCCACTCATTTTTACCCTGTTCCGTTTGGGTCCCTAGATCCAGAAATACACTCGACCAAAAAAGAAAGTCCCCCCCCCCCCCCTTTCCAATACTTCTTGTCTAACTCAATAACTGCTGAGCACCTCTCGCTCAAATAACGACTAATCAGTACAGAAATTCCTTAGCAATGCAACCACACTCTTTCTTTGGGCCAAAACAGTGATAATGTGTACAAAATTATGCAATTTATGACAAGTGATACCAAAAACAGTTGCACTTTTGTATACGTGCAAGTTGTGGTTCACACTCACCTTGCAAATATACAAAAGTGCAACTTTTTTTGGTACCATTTGTCATAAATTGCATAAATTTGTACACATTATCACTGTTTTGGGCCAAAGAAAGAGTATGGCTGGATTGCTAGAGAATTTTTGTACTGATCAGTCATAATTTGATAAAGAGGTGCCCAATAGCTTTTGAGTTAAACAAAAAGTATTAAGGGAGACTTTCTTTTTTGGTCGAGTGTATAATCAATTAAGTGAAAGGGGCTAACCTTAATTCAGGTTTTTTAATTTTATGGAAACACTGAACATTTTCCACATCATAAAATTTCGTTGGGATCTAAAAAAAAAAATAACCAAAAACAGTAAATGGTGTCTGGAAATTGGGCACGAAGTTAATATACTGCGACGTGGCCAAGATTTTGGAGACAGATTTTTGTTAGGCCTATTTTCCAATTTTTCCATCTCTTATGAATATTGATTTTTGGTGGTTTTTTTTTTTTTCAGATTGGAGGTCGCATGGAGGGAATGCACCAATTCCTGGAGTCCTTCTTCGGCCCCCGGGGTTACCTCAAGGAGAACTCGGTCCAGGACCTCTTCAAGGAGTACCAGCAGAAGCAGCAGGAGGCCTTCCTGGACAACCTGCCCGACGCCCCGGCTGCCGAGGATACCCTGCCCGAGGGCCTTCCCGACGGCATCACCTTGGACATGTACAACCAGCTGCTGCGCATGATGCAGTTCCAGCAGAAGATCTTCGGCGGCAAGCTGCCGCTGCCCATCCCCGGTGAGCCCATGCCCGCCGGCATGCCCAAGGGCATGACCCAGGCCATGTACGACGACCTCCTGGTCTACTTCATGAGGGAGGGGCTGCCCGGAGCTCGCCAGAAGCGACACCTGATCAGGGAGACCAGCATCAACGACATCGAGTCAGAGGTAATTAATACTTTTCAAAAGAATTGTCAGTCCCTAAAAACAGTACTAAAACAGACAGTAAGTTTTCAATATTGTTCTAAGTTCACCAAAACAGCCAAAGAACAGTTCTAGCACGCATTACGCAGTGTTGGAAATGTTCCTATCACGCGCGCTTGTTGCTTCAAATGTGTTCGAAATACGACGCATCTGATGCGTGTTATGCAAGTTGACGCTCAAAATGCCGATGCACGTGGATGATCTGTAGGAAATGACGTCATTTGAACGAGACCTATATAATCAATAAGTGCATTTTGTCGAGTAATTCCTAATGTACCTATGTGCCTTTTAATTAAAATTTTTTGGGGGGGATTGATTTTCTTTCAGTACCATGCCAATGTTGAGGACCACCCCCACGCCTCCCTCTACCTCAAGGTGTTCGGCAACGAGCTGGCCTACATGGACCTGGCGAAGATCAAGAACAGGCTGACGGAGATGAAATCCAGCATGAACCCAATGAAGGTACCAAAGCCTGCGCATCTCTGCTTTCAAATTTGCATTTTCTGTCTTCTCAAACTGCCGAGATTCTTATCATTCAATGTAATTTTTAATGAAACTGCGGAAGTTCAATTAATTTCTCAGTCATTTCTGTCGTGACTTATTGTGTCAAAGACCAAAAAACCGACAAAGTGCAAAGTTTTTATAATTTTGCACTTGATGCAGAGCAAGATTTTTTTTTCCTGGAAGTTTGTTGGTACCCTCTGTAAATTTTATTTTTGCACCGCAGCTTGTTTATCCACAAAAGAAATATTGTTATCGTGATGTGCTGTTATTAATTATTTCCGGTAATGAAACCAAGGATTCCTCAAAAGTGCCCTAGGCACTGTAGCTGGCAAGCCTGAAGAAACCTGTAGAGAGGAGACAATGAAGAAATTACAGTTTTAGTAGTGGGAGGATAAACCTCCAGGGAAAGCCAATGGAATCAGGCAGGGACTGAAAACCCAATCTCATGTTGGCCCAGGTGGGATTCGAGCCCAGGTCACAGCGGTGGAAGGCGAGGAAAGAACCGCTATGCCAACCTGACTCAAGTGCAGTAGGAATACTTAACTCTTTCGCTACGGAATTTAATTTACCTTTTTTGTCCCAACTGGACGGAATTAAAAGCTGAAAATTCCGCCGAGCGTCGTTGTGAGCGCCGCCATCTTTAAATGTATCTCCGTAAACAAACTGCTCGCAATAACCAAAAGCGCACCCCGGCCAGACGGAGAGCCGCTGGCAGCGGCTCAAACTAGGGTCAGAGGTTATACGATATAAATTATGTAGATATGGCCCAAGTCATGGGGATACCCTGTTTATTCATAGCGACGCAACCGAGCCGCTGCCAGCGGCTCTCCGTACGACCTGTACAATTTGTATGTGCCACTGTCAGCGGCTCGCCGTAGCGAAAGAGTTAAACTGGCTTATTCAGCTACACCTTGGTTTGAGAAAAGCTTACTGACCCTGTTGTCCTCCCCATCCCCCCACCCATCCCAGTTGTTGATGAACCTGGCCAAGGAGCAGACCCACGAGCTGAGCAAGAACGCCCTGCTGCTGGACGGTTCCTGGACCACCCCCACCGCCATGGGTCTGCCCCTGAAGCTGGCCATCAATGGCACCGTCTCCATGAAGGTCAAGACGGAAGGCAAGATTGACATGCGCGGTATCCTGATGGCCCCGAGGAGCTTCGAAATCAACGGTGTGGTCGAGCCCAGGTACAGAAATTAAACTTTTTCAATTTTAATCAGAAATCCGAATTCCAAAATTCCAATTTTTCTGACGATCTTTTCCCCGCAAAATTTAATTTGAAAAAATTGAATTACAACGAAATTGATGAAAAAGCGCAGTAAAATCTGTGTTGCAAGCGCAATAAAATAAATTTAAAAAAAAAAGTAAGTACTTTTTTTTCCCCCTCAAAATATCCTACAGTGCACTACAGATAACCCTAACCACCCCAAGTCCATCAAAATCCATCCCCCATGTTTTGGGGATTTTGGGGGATTTGGTCCAGCCAGCTTCACTTAATGTTGGTGGGGTCTGATGGACTTGGTCCAGAAGGCCTGAGGAACCTCTGGTGGAGTCTGATGGATTTGGTCCAGTAAAACAGCAGAGATTTGGTTTTTTAACCCTCCTTCTATTTAAGAGGTCACAATCAGTCAAAATGTTCTTTCTCACCCCCTGGCATACTGTTAACAAACCAATGGGGGTCTTGACCAAGATTGACCCAAGTAATAACAAGGCTGACAATGCATGTTTCCCCCGGAGGGTTAAAAGTTGCTGGCCAGCAACTTTTCATGTGTGTTGTGGATTTGAGATTGCCCCCAGTGCAAATGCATGCCTCATGTTGGTTTATGTACATAATGAGATGCATGTGTGTATAATGAGATGCATATGAGTACACTGTACACAGACCCTTTGTAGGGTTTATTGGGGGTCCATTTATAATCTTGACTGGTGGCCTTGTTTGTTTCCTTTGTTTACAATTTGACCAAACATTAAAAACATGCATCAATTTAGTAGGTTGACTTTGATGGATTTGGGCCCCAAGTACTGGGGTAATGCTGTTAACCATGTACCTATACATAATATTGGTATATAACTGTTACATGCACTGTTAATGTACGCGCAGTTGAAAATGACGGCGCGGGTTGATTACTCATTTGGATCTTTAAAAGTTGGCAGCTATGCTCAAGATTTCTTGAAATTTTGTTGGTAGTCAAATAACATTGCAATAAAGATTTTAAAAAAGCAATGTTTTTGGGGTCTGTTTGTCCAGCGCTGCTCTGGAGGTGAGCTCCAGCATGGAGGTGACGGCCCGCCAGACGCGCTCCGGTCTCAACCACGTCTCCCGCCTGCACTCCTCCATCTCCCTGGGCGGCAAGATCCAAGTCAGTAAAGGCAAGGCCTTCGTGCTGGAAGTCAACGTTCCTGACCAGAAACAAGAGATTATCGACGTCAGGTAAGGCTAAAAAAAATATTTTTCTTTAAGAATGCAGGGTAATGAATTTGGCATTGAAGTCAAGACTGATTCGTTTTTTATGTTATTGTAAACAGAATTTAATGTCGCAAAACATTAACAGCAAAATTGGCTTTGACAAATTGTGACCGGCTCCACAATAGAAAGGTATTATGTTGCAAAATTGAGTAATATACATGGTTGGAAAGCCAACGATGTAAGCTTTCATTTGGTATATAATAGAACTCCATAGCCCCTCTCGTTCTGGAGATGTGACGTATTTGCATTTTAATTAATTCCTTGGAGTTCAGATTACACAACTGAGAAAACGGGCTTTGAAATAGCTGGCTTTGTTGTAGAACAACAGAACAATGTATTTTTTTTCCCACTTAGTTAATCAAAATCAACATATCTGTGAATGAAACCTAAAACCTGAAACTGTAGGCATTAAAGATGTCATGCATGATAAAAAAACGGAAATCACATTTTGACCAAATTTTCACCCTCTCAATGTTGAGCGGGCCATAACACAATAATGCTCAGAGCAACTTAATACCCTTTTTTGAGGAGCCAGTCACAATTCGCATTAAAAGGAATATACAACATTTGCTTTTGCTGTAATTTTCAAAAACGGACGGATTTTGGGGTTAAAAGCCCACATAAAGCAGGATTGACCGGCTGTTTATGTACTATTTGATACAGCTATACTTTGACTGTAGGTGATTGATAAGCCAGCTGTGCCTAGTGCCTACCACTTGCATGTTTTTGTCTGTTGACTGAATTTGATTAGTCACGTACGGTGCTTGCTTGAAATATGAACTGACTGTTGGTGACTAGCCGGTGTAAAAGGCATAACTGGGAAGAGGATAACTTTTTTGATTGTCTGTGACTGTTCAGACAGCAAGAGGGTTAATCTTTTTAGCTTTTGACTGTCTGCGACTGTTTAAACACCAGGAGGGTTAATTTTTGTATCTGTTCCCACACACAGCTCCAGCATCTATCTCCGGCTTCAGGACGAGTCTCTGGAGCTGCCCGGAATCCCCGAACGTCTTGAGAGATCCTTCTGCTCGGGATCCCTGACCACCAAGTACTTCGGCGGCCAGGTCTGTGCGGAAGTCGCCTTCCCTAAATCCTACGCCAGTGTAAGTAAACACAGATTTTCTATTGTTGCGTCACTAAGTTGAGCAAATTTTTCCCCTGAAATAAGCGTGCCTTTTACGGTCTCCATGAAATAGACAGAGGCTCTGTAAGCAGAAAATCATGTGCTTAACAGCGCCGTGAAATCGGGCCCTGACGTACATGCAATAATAAATAATAATAATAATCGTAGTGCTTATATAGCGCTTTCCATCGTATCAACAATCTCAAAGCGCTTTACAATTATTACCCCATTCATCAGGCCATGAGACCACGCGGCAGCCGATATCAGCGCTCAATCGGTCCTCGACCCTCACAGGTACCCATTCATACTCCTGGGTGGAGAGAGGCAATTGTAGTTAAGTGTCTTGCCCAAGGGCACAAACACCATGTTCCTGGCAGGGTTCGAACCCACGCACCATCGTGCGTGAGTCAAACACCGTAACCACTGGACCATGGTCTTCTACATGGCCTACATGTAGCTAGCTAGGTGTCAATTAGGCACAATTCCTAACTTGTATGCAGATATTGCAAACAAAAGACTTGTATCTTCAATAAAGAACATCAGAGAAAGGGCACGTGTGTCACGTGAATCATGAAAAAAATCACTCAAGACTTGTGACTTGACTTGAAAAAAAAACCGACATGTTACTTGACTTGACTCAGGAAAAATCGACTCTTGACTTGACTTGTGACAATTTGACTCTCGATTTGAATTGACTTTTGAAAAAATGACTTGATGCGACACTGTCATTTTCCCCCAATCTCAACCCTTTGCTGAAAGGGTTAAGTGCCCTTTTGCCTCTGTGGTGTGACCCTCCTTTCTTGAGTTTTATTCAATTTGTTGATCAGAGGGCAAGTTCCGTTATCACCTTTGTTTTGTTTTTAATTGTCCCTCTTGCAGGCGGAATACCCACTGTACCCTCTGACCGGCCCTGGTCATATGCTGGTAACTCTTGAGAAGACCGACCCCTCTCTGAAGACCTGGAAGCTGGAAGGATCATACGGACTAGAAAAGGTAAACAGTCTTTCTATAAATAAATGTTGTGTTTGTAGCAATGTGTGTTTTCTCCCGAAATGAGTTCTACTACTGTTTATGAAGCCTCGTGTCTGCTCTTGAATATCGTGAAAACCTGCACACAAAATGCACAAGTTTTAATGCTCTCAAAACTCACAAGTTCGTCATGTACCTGCACTCCAATGGTTAACAAACTTCTGGAACGTCAGTAGGCTGAAGCACACATCAATTGACTGAATAAAACTTTTGAGGAAACTTTCAACATTGGAATCAAACTTGCACAAAGCAGAATGAAAACGATAAGTGAGAGGTCACACACGTCACACTGCGCAAACGCAGCACAGCCAGAGTGAACTCTGGTGCCTATGGCAACCAAAAGTTATACATGTCACTAAATGTTAAATGAAGAGTGGTTTATTTGCAGCTATCCGAAAGACAAAATTATTGTCAAAAAAACTTACTTGGTTTAATTGTAAGGGCATAAACTCCCTGTGAAATTATTCTTTCTGGCATGCAGTCAGCTGGAAGAAAATGATAAAAGAAGGTCACTTAGAAGATGAGTCAAGCGACTCAGTTTTTGGAAATTCCATTAGTAGTTGGGTTGTAACTTTTGGAATCCCCGAAGTTGCATGCAAGCGTTGGCACGATGCGCACACTCACGCGGTTGCTATTATTCGTCAGTTCAGTGTGTGATCTTACGTAGCTGCAATCGGCTGGAAGACAGCATTTACAGGGTGAGTAAAAAAAAAACGAAACCCAAATGTTGGGACCATTGTTTTAGTGAAGTTCTGCATGTAGCACTTTCAAAATCTAGGATATAAAAGCCCAATTCATAAGCTTTCTTTTAGTACAAGAATCATTCAAATCACTCATGTACTTTTCAAGTTACGGAGTTTTAAACACAACAACCACCGTTTTAAAGTTCTGTCCACGGATCACACAAGGCGTGCGTTCTATCATCCAAATGAAAACAATTCACACACATCCCTATGTGATTTGTTTTCGTTTTGCTGAAAGAACACTGAACTTTTTTGTGATCCATGGACAGAACCTTAAAACGGTGGTTGTGTTTAAAATTCCGTAACTTGAAAAGTACATGAGTGATTTGAATGATTCTTGTACTAAAACAAAGCTTATGAATTGGGCTTTTATATCCTAGATTTTGAAAGTGCTACGTGCAGAACTTCACTAAAAAAATATGGTCCCGACATTTGGGTTTTGTTTTTGTTTACTCGCCCTGTATTCCAGATGCTGATTTCAGGCGCAATTCAAACTATGACTTGGCAACTTTTGAATTGAAATCAAGATCCAAGAGTATTTCTCGGAATAAACAGCATTCACAGAGCTAAAACTTCATCAGGTTAGGGCCCGTGACCATTCAGCCCCGGTATGAAAAGGGCCCCCCGGTTAGCTCATCCCCTCCAAGAAGTCCTCTCGTACCGTCCCAGCTACCGGCCCAGGAGCTCGTCCGGTTGCTAATCAGAAACTCCTCTATCCTGGGGTGGGGTCTATTGTTTGCAAGTATTGACACATGTAATATATCCCAGAAGAAACCCGCTTGTGGTTTTCATCTCTCAGCGCGGAACAATAGAACACTTTCGTCGGCACAGATCAAAACCCCTGCCATGCGGTTTCACGCACAATGGGACCGTAAATTACCAAGGCGTTTGGAAGGATTTTATCTTTAATCCGGTAAGTCTGCTATTGTTCTGCTCTTGACGTTCTCTGAAGGGCAATAAATTGATGCGCCTGACTGACTTCAAAACTTCTGGTCAGACAGGACCATGTACCGGACGAGACTGGGCTGAAGACTGAACTGGCTTTGGACCGGACGGGGTACCGGGGGGCCCTTTTCATACCAGGGCTGAATGGTCACGGTCCCTTATGAATGTGTTACTGGTCGATAAAGCTTCGTCGTAACGGTTCCTTTTTTGCCACTTTGTTCTTCTACCTCACAGGAGACGGTTAAAGGCACCCAAGTAATCACTGATCGGTTCCACCTGATGTTTGGAGCCCCAGACACGGACATCCCTCGCACCTTCCAAGTTGACGTCTCCTTCAATCGCAACGACAAGGAGCTGAATTTCAATGTCATCACGCCGATCAAAACCATCGATTTGTATGGTAAGTACATGTACAAGTTCCATTCCCGCCACCCCCCCCCCCCTATAAATGCTGAAAAAATCATGAAAACACATTGGGTTGATGAGAAAATGCCAATTAGGCCACACAAAAAAAGTCTCCAGTTTCTGGTATGGAGCTTGCCCAAAAAGTGGTGCGGCGACGCGGCTTTGTTTGTTTTTTTACCTGATTTTTTTGCTTCAAATGTCAGCTGATGACTGCAAATGGTCCTCGACTAAACTTAGTGAAAATATATGGGAGTCCAGAGAGGCCACATAAAGCTTATTCTCGACCATAACCCAATCTAAAAACACGTTAAAATTGTGCAGCAGCAGGATTCCAGTCAAACCAGTGAGTATGGCAGTTTTGAGACATCATCTTTCATTGAAAAAAAAAACTTTTTCATTTTCCCGACGCACATGGCTACGGCGACGCGCGCGCATACCAGAAACCGGAGACTTTTTTTTTTGGCCTTATGTAAAAGTACTTATTTTTCATCCTTTCCAATGGTGCTTCAAACAGTGAAACATCTTACCGTAAGCCCACTGTGCAATTGTCTTTCATTTGTGCAATTTCCTTAATGTCTAGACATATTTATGATGCTGAAAAGGTTTAAAATAGGACTAAAAAGGATAAGATATCTGTTCAGGTGGAAAATTAAAGGTATTTCCATCGAATTCATTTGTTCTCCTGTCATATTATGTGCCACGTTGTTGGTAAGGATTAAGACACAATGCGCTACATGCATTTCATGCACCAATAGGTACAGTGTAAATCCCTATCAACTGTGGTAATGCCATTGGAATGGACCAAAAAGGAGTTGTGTTACATAATTAGCATTTTCTCAGCAACCCAAAGTGTTGTTTTCATGATTTTTTTTCAGTATTTGAAAGAAAAAAACTCTCAGCTTTAATCTGACATCCAACATGTCCAAAACATAAAAATTCACGTTTATGAAAAAAGGCATAAGTTTCAGGGTGCAATTTTTTTTGGAGTCACCCAGCAAATTTAAGCAAGGACTAATACTCCATTATTAAAGGGAATATATACAACATTTGCAAACATCAAAAAATGAAACTACCAAATTGTCACGAAATACCTTACTGAACTGTTAGTGAATGACAGTGTATAGCATTCTGTGAAATCATGGCACCTGGTGTGCTGACATTTCCAAGAAAAGTGGTATTTTTGTATCAATTTCCAACGCTGGTCGGCCGATTTATCATATTTCGTTAGTCCATATTTTCTTTGCAAGCGATTACACCCCTGTGAACGGGTACAAGCCAGCTAGACTGATTCCCTGACCGTACAATTCCCCGACATCTATAAATTGCTCCGTTGCAACTTAAGTGGGGTCAGGGAACCAGACTACAATAACATGATTGGTTTGGGTTTTTTCCCAGCATCTTTGAACCCAAAACGTCAAACAAGTCAGTGTAACAATATTTGCTATAAACCAACTCCCCAAATCATCCATTTCTGAAAATTACAGCAAAAGCAAATGTTGTATATTCCCTTTAAGACAACGAAGGAAAAAAAAGAAGTAGATATACAGCCATTGGTGGGTGGCACATATGGTTGTATAAGAGTCATCCCTGTTTTGTCTTAATTTCTGATGTCAGCCGTGAATTTGTTCTTGAATTGTTATCCCCCAAATAGGCAAGGTCGTGAACAACCCAATGCTGCGCAAACTGGAGACCTCGCTCACCTTGGACAAGACCAGCGTCTACACGCTGGACGCGGAGGTCGAGTCCCGCCCGACCGTGGCGGACGGCGATCCCGTCATCAATTTCTACCCGCGCATGGACATCACCAGCCCGCGGGGCAACGTGCTGACGTACCGCAGCTCCATCAGCGTGCGGGACGGCCAGCAGACGCGCGTCAACATGTGGATGTCGCTGGACAGCCCGCGGACCGCTCTTTTTACCGTATCAGGTCCGTAGGCTTCTGTTTTTCCCCTTAAGATTAGCATATTCCCATAATACCTTGACATTTGTTAAAAGGCATACAGTGGAATGTCGCCCTACCGAACACCGCTGCACCGAACATGCGGCTATACCAAACATCATCCTTGGCTCCCGATTTCTGTGTGCAAAACGTACCGAACATTGTTGTTGAAAAATGTCAACAGAAAAGCGACAAGTGGCTATTATTTCCCCAAGGAATAGAAGGGGAAAGCCACCCATTGATGTAGGTAGTAAGCTCAAAAACTGTGTAATTACATAATACAATAGTCGGCACGTGTTCAAAGTCGTCTTTCAGTAACTACCAGGGCATGCAGGGCGAAGTTATGAAGGGCGCTTTTTATTGAAAAGTGAGTACCGGAGCACTGGCAGCTTAAAATTGCTATACTGAACGATCGCTATTACGAACAATTTCTGTGGATCCCATGAAGTTCGTTATAGCGGCGTTCCACTTGATAGGATCATTTGCTTTTCATGCATTTTGTTCCTTTCTAATAATAACACCACTGAAAATCCGAAGAAGACTTTTCAAAATCTAACCTGTTGAAGTTTCAGCTCAGCGGATATTACACCTTTCGAGAGAACAGCAAAAAGCCATGCAGCATGCACAACCTTTTTGATCACGATTTCGCCGATGGTGCTGTTTATTCCAAAAATCAGTCGATAAGCCAGTTAGGTATTCCAACTGCGCATGTGCTCATCAAGATTTGACAAATTTTTGGGGGGGATAAACATTTCATCGTATGCATGCAGAAGCATAGCAGGGTACCAGCAAAATTGAACAGATCGTCGTGTTCTAAAGTAACATTTTGCTAAAAAAACGTTTGGACACGGAAGTGTTTAGGTGTCTTGTGTGTCCAAACTTATGTGCAAACGAAACTTTCCATCTCTTTTTGATTGCGGGAAAAATTTTACAGAATGCAGATTTGGTCACCGCGTCCCTCATAGCCTTGTGTGCATTTATCTGCCGCAGTTATCCCGAAAAAAACCAAAACATCGAATCTTGTTGTGTTCCAGACTATTTTTGAATACCTAATTGGCTTATTGGCTGATCATTGGAAATCACATTCATTTCTTGATTTTAAATGACAGCAAATAATGACAGATAACAATTCGGTAGGTTACTTTTGGAACAAATGCAAATGATCCTTTGTAATATGTTTCAACATTGTACTCCTACAAAATTGTGCCTAACTTACCCCGACAACAAAAAACGTTTCAAATCTGTGTTCCACGCCCAGACTAAACAAGAAATCAACAAATCTATCACTCTCCTTTCCAAAATAGCTGTGGTGTCATCTTTTGTTACATTCTACTCCAAATATACAACAGTCTGGATCGACAGAGTGGATGACTGATCCCTCTCGTCTTTCTCTCGAACTTCCTTCATGACCAGTTCCAGTTCCCTTGATTAATTTTTCGTTTATTGAATTGTTTATCTTTAATCGATTAATGTTTTTTCCTCTTAAATAATTGGTTTCCAGTTCTATTGCCTCGCCTTACTGTCTTCTCACTTTGCTATTCAATGAATCCTGTGATTGTGACATTAATGACCTTTCTTTACACATGTCTTGTTTTGTTAACCCCTTAAGGATGGGGTGTAATGGGGACATTCCTCCACACATAGAGCAAGTGGCCCGCATGACTGCACAGCCTTTGTGTGGTAGCGGGACTGCACAAAAGCAGCAGCTGTGGAACTACCCACTAGCCGTGTGCCACGGCATACCACAGCTGGCAACTGCATTCCAATGAGGATTAGCGGCCGCGGCCATGACCGCTTCCCGTCCTTAAGGGGTTAATAAAGACAGGAATTATAATTACAAAATTATTCTAAAGTGCCTCAGCAAGGAAGTGATTGTATCCTGATATCCTGGTTGTACGCGCAGGTGACGTCGTTAAGACCGAGAGCTCAAGGAAGGTGCGTTACAGCAGCGACCTTCAGATCAGCGGCCGCTACGTCAACGTGAATGTTACCGCCGCCTGGCAGAAGCAGAAACGAGACAACATCATCAACGTGGATGCCACGGTCCTGAGACTCGTCAATGGCGCGATTGTCAGGGACATCGTCATCAACGCCAAATACACCAACAAGACAACAGAGGTTCGTCTAAACCTCTAAACTATTTTGGTACAATACAGCGTGAATATTGGCCGACACGGAAAAAGCCAGCGAAATTATCGTAATGCATTAAGGGCTAATGCAATGTGATTTTTTTTAATGCAATCCTTGAAAATGCACCTTTTGTGTGCCATTTATCCTTATGTTCAATTTTCATTTTCATTTTGCAATTTTTAAGGACATTTTTGTGCCTTTTGGGGTTTTTATGCTAATTTGAAATTCCATATTCATTAAAAAATATTGTGATGTCATTCCGGGTAGAAACCTCAAATGTTACAGCTATTTCAGCACAAAAAGTTGCCAGAATTTTGGATACTTCGCTGTCATAATTTTTTTTTTTCAGCCAATAAGCGACCCTTCCTCACACATGTTTTCAATGAGCAAATTTTTGGTTCACAGATTGAACAGAAAACCCCTAAACTGAACAGTGTCTTCCTGAAATGATATCACAGCAACAGCGCCCTCAGTTGTCTGAAAGAGCATGGTTAAAGAACGGCACTTTTCATTATAAAAAATAACTCAAAAGGGATGTCAAATAGCTTTTTAAGAGGGGGACAATTAAAAACCCAAAGGATATTTGTGGCACACATTATACTACAGCTTAATTAATAAACCATGTTTCACTTTCTGTTAAATTGAGGGCAGTAATGTGATTACCATTAAGGCGTTTCATACTCCCTTTGACCTATGCGTTCTGGTTGCAGACCAGTAAATCGGTCCAAAATCGCCTACGCCGGCCAAATCACGATTTTGCAATGCCCTCAAATTCTTTGCCATTTGAGCATATTGTGGGCCATGAACTTGAGGGTTTGTAAAAAATATGGGTGGAGGCTGTGCACAGGACTGTGAGCTTGTAGTTCTGTGCAATTTGGATGAAATTGGAGCCCTAAAAGCGCTCTATTTTGCAAAGGAGTGTAGGCGTCATTTTCAAAATGGCGATGGGCTTCAGGACCATTTTAAGGGATGATCATCTTTGGATGGAAATTTCTCCTAAAAGTCATCAGTTAACCCCCAAAAAATTGAAAAGAAAATGAAAGATGATGAAATAAGCTTTAACTTGATGTGTGTCTCGAACACCTTGGAGAGTTGTGAGTATTTTTCCTGAATTTTTGAAGCGGGGGCATTTATCATTAGGGGTCTATGGCAGTTTATTTACTGGTCTGCAACCTTATATGCAAGACAGATTCTGCGAGCTGCTCTCCAAGAGTTGAAAAATAACCGCGATTTTTTTGGGGTTTTTTTTTTCGGCAATATGTGACCTGTTGTGTCAAAAGCAGACGCTTCTGGGCAGAGGTTGAAATTAAGATAGGGCAAAAAAACGCTGTTGGGGTGATTTTTTTCGATTTTCAAATTTTTGCATATTTGTAATCCTGAACATGTCTAAAATATACTATAAAAGTTTGAAACCCTAATTTGAACTCTCAATATAGTACTTTTGATGATTTGTTAAGGTATATCAGTTAAAGAAATTACTGTTTTGTGACGTTCGTGGCCACTTTCTCCGTTTTCTACTTTTCGGCACAATGAACTTCAAAATAGCATAACTCTGCCCAGGAATGACCGGTTTCAAAAATTAAACCACCTATTAAAAGGAAAAAGAACATACTTTAACAATATGCAAAAAATCTCATTTTTGACCTTATGCCCAGAAAAGTCAGATTTTGACAGAACAGGTCACATATGTCGGAATATTTCATGAAAATACACGGACTGCGAATAGTATCCATTACTTATAGGAGATAATATCTCCTGTCTTATGGTTGCCCCACCCTCCCATCCCCAGGATCAGAAGGAGTGGGACTTGAAGACGGAATGGATGTTCGCTCGCTACCCTCTCCTGAGCTTCCTGTTTGAGTACGAGTACACCGGCACCTCGCGTTCCTCCGAAGCGACTAGCAAGATGTGCTACAGATACAACGGAGAAGAGTGCAGCCAAGATACAAAGGTACCGTTAGTCTTTTAGTCAAGATCTTAAACTTTCAATAAAATCGGTCAGAAGGCAGCCTCGACTCCATGGGCTCGTGCGCCTTCCTTCACTAACCCCCGGCCGTGATGTACTCGTAAACGATGCTGACTGGCTATTCAGAGCGTACTGCGCAGGCATTTCGAAGATTGCACGTCAGGCGCGCCCATAATGCGCTCGCGTGTTTTGCATGTCACGTCACGTACGAATATTAAAAACTGCGCGATGCCTGTACGATATGGATTATGGCAGCCTCGTTTTTCGCTTAAAAAAAACCCCTGTATCTGCGGTTGTAAAGGGACGAAAGGGGTACAAATCTTTGCCAAATAACGCAACGTCCAAACCTTATGTTTGAAAGCATTGATTCTTCAAAAACACAACTTTCAACATTTTAAAGATGGCGTCGGCACGTAAAACGGATAAACTGCAGCCTAATTATAATGTGCCATATTTTGACACATTTAAATTACACAATTCCAAGGGTTGAGTTCCCGCAAGGCATGATGGGAAACAACATGGCGCAGCAAGATCTCGTACCCATGGGAACGAGGTTGGTCAGAAGGCTTTACAGACTCCATCAGAATGCCATCAACTGTTTATGAGCAGTGTGTAAAGTCCTCCGACCTAAAGGCCAATTTCACGGCACTGCTTAGCACACAAATTTGCTCAGCACAAAAAAAAGTCTGGCTTATAAAAGCAGTTTACCAGCCAAAACTCCAGGTGATTTTCATGCTGTAGCAAACAACAGCTCAATACTAATCGCGAGCAATATACATCGCATGGAGTTTTGGCTGGTAACCTGCTTTTATAAGTCAGACTTCTTTTGTGCTAAGCAAATTTTTTTGTGCTTAGCGCTTGTGAGGGACACACTGCGTGCGTGTACCCGATTTTCATATCTGTAAATGCTCACCTCTAGTATTATGTAACTATGATTCCAGGAATCTCTGTGTATCTGTGTTTGTCTGTCTGTACTTCGATAATCTTCAGAACCGGGCGCTGTATGAAGTTGAAAATCGGCAGGTGTACTGCTCAGGACTCCTGAATTTGCAGTGTCAAGTTTGAAGTTGTTTGGATGTCCGGTTCTTCAAAAAGCTGCAATTTGGCCCCATTTGCCTCTTATAAAAGATTTGGCCTATGTGTGCGTGCATAGTATACAAATATTGAGTGGCTCAGCGTGGAATGGGAGGAATATTATCGAAAGGTAAAATCTGGACTTTTCCATTTCAGGAGGCGAAGCCGAGTGAACTGGAAAAGTCCAGATTTTACCAAACGATAATATTCCTCCCATTTCACAATTTAAAGCCGCTCAATATTTTTTTTATATAACTGACATATAGATCCTTGTCATTTGATATATTTGAACTTTTATTTCAATACAAAACTGGAGGAAAATGTATTTCTCTCTTCCAAACCACCCCTTCACAAAAAAGTTTGAACCCAACGCTGTTGCGCTGGCTCTTTGGAACAATACGCGCTACGCACACCAGCATGCATTTGCACACAAATACCGCGTCATGATCCTATCTGTTCAATAGTATTTCCCATTCCCCATGGGCAGATAGTACTTTTTGAGCTGCGGCGTAAATGGGAGCAATAAGAAATGTCACGTGATGTGAGTTCCACCAATCAAATGACAAGGATCTGTATGTCAGTTATATAAAGCCAACTGACCTTCACTGGGCGGCTATTCCATTATCAACAATGGGTTCTTCACTGGGGGGAGGGCTATTCCATTATCAACAACTGGTAAATAAACAAAGGCACACTTTTCTTCCCTATGTTTTCTTACTATAATTCGAGAAATCTCTGTGTGTCTGTCCACATGTGAAAAAATGTGCATTCAACCTGTGAGTGTGCGTTCAACCTGTGAAAACAACACCATTGAATCGTGTGCGTTGTTTGCATGAGCAGTTCTCAAAAACGCTGCAGGCAACCAAAACCAGTGGTCAAGCAATTTGCCCCTTCCGAACAGGCACATTTTCAACAGGCACTCCACTAGTTATTAGAAATGAACAAAATGCTTGGATCCACAGTCAAAGAGGCTACTGCATTATCTATCTATTTTTTTGTTTGTAATTATTTAGGTTGTCATGAGCCATCTCCTCACGTGGGAATCTTCCGAGACTCAGACCATCGAGAATCTGAACTTCAAGATCCGCAACCCAGCCAACAACATCCATCTGGAGTTCCAGCAGCACGCCATCTCCAACGCCACCCACCCGGTGGATTTCTCCTTCACCGTCCTCAACAAGACCTCAGAGCTGGAGGTGCTGAACGCCGGCCTGCGCACCCGCACCCTGAGCCAGGAGCCCATCAAGGGCGACTTCGAGGCTTCCCTGCGGAGCCAGACGTGGCGCTACGCTATACAGGAGGACTGGGACATCGTCAAGGGCGGCCGGGCCGTCCTGAACACGGCGCTCCACTGGGAGGACCAGCAGGCAACTTTCGGCATTAACTACACCCCGACGTCAGATGAGGAGACGGGTCTGGAGCGTTACGACTTCAACACCTTGCTGACCTACCCTCTAGGACGTGTCACCGTCGACTGGTACGCCTGGAAGAGAGGATATGATGTCTCCCATGGGGCCTCCGCATCCCTCATTGACCAGTCCCTGTTTGCTTATCGTATAGATTTCACCAACCACACCGTGATCTCCAGCCGCCCCGACATCAATCTGGATGCTTCCTTCAACCTCACTCGCCCCATGAGCCCCATCTCGGTGGTGCTACATGCCAGCAACAAGAACAGCGATGTTAACTTCGGGTTCAACGTCACCCGGGGAAACACCAAGGCTTTCACGTCTGGCTACAGCCAGACAGTGGCCCTTGGCATAGACATGCTTCCCATGATCTACATGAAGATCTTTGCCGATGTGGAAATCCCGGAGAAGGATTTCAGTCTTGCCATCTCTCAAGTGTCTTCCAAGACTGGGCTGTCGTCCAAACAGGAGCAGTCAGTACACTTCAATAGCAGGCTGGTTTACTACCAAAATACCATCATGACCTTGGTCACAAATGAAGAAACAGGAAGGTATGACGTGACATACGACGTCACCCAAAATATGACCTATCCGCTGCCCGAGTATGACTACCGATTCATCTTCAGTATGATCAGCGGCAACGTTGACACTCAGCTTACCATCCACCGAGCTAAGATTCCCGTCTGTTTCCTGAAAGTCGACTACGACCTGAAGACACCGGGAGCTGACGAGAAGGATGGAAAGAACAGCCTGATTGAAAGAACCGACCGTCACGAGGTCCGAATCATCCTCAGAACCCCGCTGGCCGTCATGAAGGACGTCCAGTGGAACGGGACCCTTGACCTGGCCCAGACCAGCTTCGACTTCGAGACCCGTCTGCTGTACTTCCCCGATCAAGAAAAGCCCTTCGTTATGACCATCAACTACCAGGACAAAGGCAACGAGTTGGTCACCCACAAGGAGCTGACCACGTCCTTCGAGACCCAGAAACGCCGCGTCAGCATCTTCAACATGGCCAAGTTCGACCTGGGTTCGGGCATCATCCAGGGCACGACCTCCGTCAAGATGGGCGCCCTGAATGCCAAACCGGACAACTTTGAGCTCAACGTGGAATACACCAACAAGACAGAAGACCAGACCGTCTCCAACAAGCTGGTGCTGACCCTCACCTCCCCGGACAACGTCATCAAGACGGAAGGCAGCGTGAGCTACATCGAGTTGACCTCCTACACCACAGCCTTCTCCGTCCTAGTCTCAGAGGAGCCCATCTATTCCAGCACGACCGTCTTCACCAATAACTCGGACAGCAACCAGAAGGCCTATGATGTGGACACCACCGTCAACTACTTCGGCTACGGGTATCGTATCCACACTGTTCACATCCAGGACGCCGACTCCTTCCACCCCAACGTCAAGGTCTACCGTGTCGATGAGACCGACCCCATGGCCGAGGCTGACGTGGCTTACACCAGGGCCGGCCAGTCACCCAAGACCCACACCGTGATGCTGACCCTGAAATCTAAAGGAGAAGCACAGATGACCATCAACACGGTGTACACCAACGGCTCCAACACCCAGAACGTTCACGTCATCATCTCCACCCCGCAGGACCAGCATCTAGACATTGTCTTCAACCTGGCCACAGGATCCTCAGAGACCGAATCGGAAGCCTACGACGTCACATTCCAAGTCGACAACACCTACCTTCCAAACCGACAGTTTGAGCTGACCACTCACTTCAGCATCGGCAGCGCCCAGTACAACCTGAATACTGACATGAGAATCTCACAGGAGCACATGGTAAGCCACAATTTTTAAGAGGCACAAAAAAATTAAGAAAACTTCAATCAAGTTTTAAAAAAATGCAGCTTTGCGTGAAACAAAATGCTAGAAAGTTTTTGATGGTATTGTACAGGTTTGGTGTATTCTCATTTTTCTATTCTGAAAACATGAAGTTGAGCAAAAGTTGATTCAGTTGTTCAGGGGGCAATCCAGGTTTGGCTGACGGGGGTTGAGCTGTCAAGATAGCGGGGTATTAACAGGCAGGCATCTTGTATTGTTTTTTTCCTGTTATTTTTCTCTTTTTGGCGGCTGTAAAGAGGGAGGGGGGGGGTAAATTCTCCCCATAGTTCCGCCACAGTACAAGCACTCTAATAACCAGGCATGCAACTTTTCCTCGGATCCGCTGATTTCCTTGTTTTTTACTTCTCATGAATGCCATTACAAAGTGAAAAACACTGTACAAAATCTTTTGTGGTTTGGACTTGCCTCATTTTCCCCCTAAATTCCCAGTTGCATGCCTGAATAACTGAGCTGAAAATCACATTTCTGTGTTTGACTTGAAAAGGTTATTTAAGGTCTTTGTTTGCCCTTTTCAGTGCCCCAATCTTTTGTAGCTGCAGGTATCGGCCCAACAAATCATCATGTCTCTCCGTTAGTTAGTAACAATCGTTGCCATCGTCTATTGCTCCTACATAATTTTGAAAGTATCAGTAGCCCAGCCCAACATGTCACACGACCAAACTTGGGTCAAAGGTCATAATAGGGTCACTGGGTTTTTTAACTCAAAACTCTACTCCTTCCAGAAAATAATGATAATAATAATAATATTGGCTTCTTGTATAGCGCTCATGTCCGTCACAAAGTGATGCTCCTGGCGCTCTATTATTACCCTGGCTTTAGCACGGCTGCCATTACGGCGCTCAAGCATTGAAGGCATTTCTTCCTACCGGGTACCCATTTACTACACCTGGGTGGAGAGAGGCAATCGTAGTAAAGTGCCTTGCCCAAGAGCACAAGCACCATGTTCCCTGTCAGGATTCGAACCCATGTTCCACGCCACACGAGTTGAACACCGTAACCGCTGGACCACAGCACCCCACATGGCAAAATCATGGGCGTCGCCAGGATTTTTTCTAGAGGGGAGCAAAAAAAAATTTTGCCAAAAAATGCTTGTATTTCTCAACACATTCTCGATTTATCAGTTTTAGAGGGGGGCAGGGACATTTTGCCCCCACCCCAATTCATTAAATTTACACCACTTTGTCTTCGCGCCTCTTTTTCTGTTTTTTTTTTTTTTTTTTTGCTTTTCCAGGGGGGGGGGGAGGGGCAAGTGCCCCCCTTGCCCCCCCCCCCCCTCGCGACGCCCATGGGCATAATCATGTGACTCGTGCATGAACACGACTTAATTGGCCGCAGCTACCGAGATATATCCAATCAGGCTTGTTTTTTTTCTTGACGCAGATGAACATGGTGTACCGGTGTGAGGACACCTCCCCGTCAGACACGCACACCAAGAAGACCACCCGTTTCCAGATGAGCTTCCCCCAGCTGGCTGACTATCCAACCCTCCTCAACCTGGGGCTCCGCCTCGACCAGGAGGACCGGCGGGACGTCAGTGTGATGCGCAAGGGTGAATTCCGCTGGGGCCAGATGACCGACGCGGAGGCCGTGGCCCTCACGGTGACCGCCCAGAGCGACTTGCTGGAGGTCCAGGTGGCTCACCCCATGAACGTGCCGTCTCTCCCCAACGAGATCAACGTGATACTCCGGAACAACACCGATGCGACCGCTAGAGGCTCATTTGAAGTAAGTTAACCCTGTCCTTACCAGATGTGGACTTGGCTCTCCCCAGAACCAAATTGCTTGCTCAGTTATGCAGGAAATCACTAGAGCATGAAAAATGGACCACAAGTTGAAAACTCACTTTTTTTCCAATTTCACTGCCATGGAGTGATTACAATCAAAGGTATTGTGTGTACAGGTTGCTCCTTGAACCTTACTCTTTTATGTGATGTAAAAAGCAAGATTTGTGCAAAAAGAAGAAAATGATGTCCGTTTTTTTGTTTATCTGGTCCCAGTTATCGAACTGCAAGCCATTTCACCAATAGCACGCCATACCTCAAATTGTGCGTGGATACTTCTGAAGCACTTTTCTTAAAAGTTTTGTAATGGTAACACTATGAATAAACAAAACTTAAGCTCGGCTCACTCGAGTGCCACATCACGAAGAATAAACAAATTCCTGAAATTTTGACCCATTTTTGGGGTGGGGCCACATGTTATACAGTGGGGGTCAGTTATGCACATTACTACTTTTGGCAAAGACAAACACGGAATCTGAGTCTTGATTCACAAATGAATTGAACTTGGCAAGAATTCTGTTCTCTGTTTGTACGAACATTCTGTTGCTCTTTTCACTCCACCAGATTCAAGTCAACGAGGAGGATGTGAAACTCATGATGCTGTCGGGTTCCTACGCACGCGTCGACGGGAACGACAAGAAACGCCGCGCAATCCTGGCCTTCACCAGACCAGCACATCCAGTGAGTGGTTATCAAATTTTGAAAAGGAGATTTGTGAGGCGTTCTGGCAAAATGAGACAGAACTAGGCAGAGGTCAAAAAGAGTTTTAGGAAAGAGAATAAAATAATCCTCACAAAACTGTTTGTTGCACTTCAATCAGACATTCCATTCACAAGTCATGTTTAAAGTTCACATTTATCGACATGTTCCCTGATCCAACTTAAAATGAAAACGAGCAATATATATACATCAGGGAATTGTAAGGTCAGGGAACCAATCTAGCTGGCTTGTACCTGCATGACTATTGGTATGTAATCGATTGCAAACTAAATGCAGACTTAAAGTGGTAAATTGGGGGCAGTATTTAGAAAAAAGCCATTTTCTTTTTCCAAAGCTGGTCAGCCGACCAGCATTGGAATTAAAATAAAATACCACTTATTTTTAAGTGACAGTACACCAGGAGCCATTCTTATACAGGATGTTTTAGACTGTCATTCACTAACAGTCCAGTAAGGTATTTCATAATAATTTGGTAGTTTGAGGTTTGCAAATGTTGTACATTCCCTTTAAACAAAATTTCAGGACATCCAAATCACGTTGGATGCTGAGTTGATGAACGAGAACAGAATCTTCGGCTCGGACCTGACGATTAAGTACAGCGAAGAGGAGAATAGACTGGTCACCGCCATGATTGAGGTCGTTAACCATACCAGCGCGGACAGCATGGGATGGGACATCAACACGGCCATGCGACACTTAGTCAGTGGGTTGGACATGAGCACGGCACTGTGAGTATAGCGACTGGCATTAAGCTCAGGTGGGGTTATAGTATACACATATTGACTGGCTGTGAGGTCACTAGCGCACATATATGCACCTCACGCTCAAGGAACTGTGAATGACCACTATAGGGTCTAAGACTATATTGGCACTGTGAGTATAGCGACTGGCATTAGGCTGTGGTGGGGTTATAGTATACACATATTGACTGGCTGTGAGGTCACTAGCGCACATATATGCACCTCACGCTCAAGGAACTGTGAATGACCACTAGAGGGTCTAAGACTATATTTTGAGGCCGAATAAAATCCTCCTGTTGTCATTCACAGTCCAAAATAATCGAGTATAGTGCCTGAGCAGGCTTGTGTTCTTAAGCAAGACACTTTTTTATAATTGTCTCTCTCCAGCCTGGATTAGGTATGGGTGCTTGTTGCTTGTGAGGGTAGAGACCAGATTGCGTTGATCTCAGGCTGCAGCAGAGAACAAGTCTCATGGCCTTAACAGGAATAACAAATGCAACACATTATAATTACAGTGGAACGCCGCTATAACAAACATCACGGGATCCACAGAAATTTGTGCGTAATAGTGATCGTTTGGTATAACGATTTTAAGCTGCCGGTGCTCCGATACTCACTTTTCAATAAATAGCGCCCTACAGAATTTCACCCTGCACGCCCTGGTACTAATAGTTATTGAAAGACGACTTTGAACATGTGCCGACTATTGTATTATGTAATTACACAGTTTTTCATCTTACTACCTACAGCAATGGGTGGTTTTCCCGTTCTTTGCCTTGGGAAAATAAAACCCACTTGTCGCTCCTCTGTTTGACATTTTCTCAACAAAAATGTTCAGTACGTTTTGTACATAAAAATCAAGAGTCAACGACAATGTTCGGTATAGCCAAATGTTTGGTACAACGGTGTTCGGTAAGAGAATAGTGACATTGCATTGTATTTCTTAGTGGTAAAGTTTTCTCCCTTTTTTTAAAATTTTGAATCCATTTTAATTTTTTCTTTTAACTTTCCCCTTGTCCTCACAGCTCTGTCATGAACGACAAGAAGGCAGTTTCGGCCGGTATCGAGGGAGAGATTCTCGTCGATGGCGAACCAAGACCCTTCAACTTTGAAGTCAAGTGGGACAAGGAACAAGAGAAATACACCGTCAGGGTAAGTGACAGGCACAAATTGCGTTAGTAATTAGTCCAGTGCCAATTATTGCATTTTAGGCCATCAGCCTGGGGGTTTGGTCAGTATTAAATCAGGGCATAAATGATTTTATAGCACCTCACCCACAGATTCTGTGTCTTGATTGGCCGAGAGCGAGTCACATGATACTTTCTATTTTTGCTATCTTCCTGTGCACGGCCAAAAGTACTATACCCGTAGCAACCAAAGTACTATATCCGCGGCGCTGTATTTGTGTGCAAATGTATGCTGGCGTGCGCTTTGCACGTAGCGTGTTTTGTTCCAAAGTGAGCGCGCTGCAGAGTTGGGTTCAAACATTTCGTGAAGGGGTAGTTTGGAAGAGAGAAATACACAGTTGTAACAAGCATTTTGATGGACATTTTGAAGGAAAAAACGGTGATAACACCCAAAAAGCTGCCACCATTGCAATGCTATCACATACTTTCCAACTCTGGAGGTGTTTTTAATAATATCTGTTCTAATATATTGTTCTTTATAATAATATCCTTCTTTTTAATAATATCCTTGCAGTCGGACTCACCTTGGAATGAGATGGTTTTCACTGGACAGTTTGAGGACCGCTCGTACTCCGACTACAAGATTTACCGCGTGACCATGACCAACACGTACAGGGACAACCGCATCGTCAGGTCCATGTTTGAGTTCAACAGCCAGTTGAAGGAGATCTCCTATATGGTCAATCACAACCCCGGTAAGTTTTCGAGAACAAAACATCGAAAGAGATGTTAGGAGATATTAGAAGTAGTTTCATTGTCACAAAAAGGGAAACTTTACTGATTCCCAGAGAAGCTAGTTTCATGTTGCTTCCGTTTTCCTAATGATTTTCCCAGACAATCTTGAGGATTTCCTGCAATTCCGTGCTGATTCCCAGACAAACTAGTTTCATGTTGCTTCTGTTTTCCTAATGATTTTCCTAGACAATCTTGAGGATTTCTTGTGGTTCCATGCTGATTCCCAGACAAGCTAGTTTCATGTTGCTTCTGTTTTCCTAATGATTTTCCCAGATTTCTTGTGGTTCCGTGCTGATTCCCAGACAAACTAGTTTCATGTTGCTTCCGTTTTCCTAATGATTTTCCCAGACAATCTTGAGGATTTCTTGTGGTTCCGTGCCGATTCCCAGACAAGCTAGTTTCATGTTGCTTCCTTTTCCTTGTGATTTTCCCCGACAATCCTGAGGATTTCTTGTGGTTCCGTGCTGATTCCCAGACAAGCAATTTTCATGTTGCTTCCGTTTTCCTAATGATTTTCCCAGACAATCTGGAGGATTTCCTGTGGTTCCATGCCGATTCCCAGACAAGCTAGTTTCATGTTGCTTCCTTTTCCCAATGATTTTCCCAGACAATCTTGAGGATTTCCTGCAGTTCCGAGCTGGTTTCCCCTACTGTTATTCCAAAACATGCTAGTTTCATGTTGCTTTCCTTTTTTCCGACTGATTTTCCCAGACAAAGCCAACGATTTTATGCGGTTCCGAGCCGGTTTCCTGAACGAGACCGCCCTGCTTGCCATGTTGGATTCTGAAATTGACGGTCAGTACGCCCAGGACGCTAGATTCCTTTTGGCACTGGAATCACCCAAGATCCTCCAGACCCATATTCAGTGGAATCCCAATTGGGTGGAATACATCAGCGTGAGTAGCACAATTCTTAAATATTTTTAAAAGCGTTTGAAATTACTACCGAGGAAAAATGAAACCCTGATTTCAGGACTATTGTTTTAGTGAAGCTCTGCATGTAGCACTTTCAACATCTAGGATATGAAAGCCCAATTCATAAGCTTTCTTTTAGTATAAGAATCATTCTAATCACTCATGTACTTTTCAAGTTACGGAGTTTTGAACCCACCACCGTTTCAAAGTTCTGTCCATGGATCACAAAAAAGGTGTGCGTTCTTTCAAGTATCAGCAAAACGAAAACAATTCACACACATCCCTATGTGATTTGTTTTCGTTTTGCTGAATGAACACTTAACTTTTTTGTGATCTCTGGACAGCACCTTAAAACGGTAGTTGTGTTTAAAATTCTGGAAAAGTTTCATGAGTGATTTGAATGATTCTTGTACTAAAAGAAAGCTTATGAATTGAGCTTTTATATCCTAGATTTTGAAAGTGCTACATGCAGAACTTCACTAAAACAATGGTCCCGATATTTGGGTTTCATTTTTTTTTACTCACCCTGTATTAGTAATGCAGTGTGTCCCAGTAAAGCAAGCCCAGTACAAATCAGCGGCCAAATCTAAACAAATGTTTATGTGAGCCTAAATTTTGTTTGTGTTTTGTCATGCCGTTGATGTTGTTTATTGCCTGTGGAAAAATAAACTGAATTGATTGAAAACTTTTAAAAGCATGACTAGAAACGTAAGAGCTCCATAAAATTGAAATTTACCCTTTTTGTGGCATTAGCTTGTGCTGGTAAACAGTGGAGAGAGGGAGACCACGAACCTGTTTCACACACGAACACATTTCACATGCAAACAAGAATGACCATGTTTTTATTCCAAAACAAATTAACATGTAAATATGTTTATGAAATGAAGACATAGTCTCATTTAGGCCAAAAAAAAATATACTCGGTCTCAGGTCAGCGCGCGTGTTAATTTTAATCATGCTTGTCAACCTTTCTTTTTTTTTAAATTAACACGGAAGCTACAACAGCGCCCTCTATTGCTGCGCCTCCTCAAATTTTTGTACCAAGGAGCACCAAGGAATGGGGAAATTGCACCAAGGCAAATGATAAAGGGCACCAAGGCAAATTATGGAGGACACCAATGTATAATGAGGACACAAAAAAGCAAAATAGTACCCACCTTGTCTGTACAATACAAGCTTGAAAAAAAACAAAAAAACGCGTCGCCGCATCAATTCCGGAACTTCGGTCTGACCAGAGACCGACTATTTTTTGGGGGGCCTTACATGTAAATGTGTAATGAAATAAAGACATAGTCTCTTCTTGTTTGCATGTGAAATGTGTTCGTGTGTGATACAGCTTCGTCTCAAAACATACGATCACACATACGATCCGCGGACCACCTGTGCATTTTTCAACTTTTTATTTTTCATAATTTACCGACAGGAGAAGTACATAGCCGGCTACGACAGGCTGACGAGAGAGTTAGAAGCACGACGCGTGGACATGGAAGCAAGCCGAACGAGTTTCGGGGAACGCATCTGTGCTTCCTACAACGACTTCCTGGCCAGCAACTCTGACATCAAGACCGCTCTGGAAGACATGAAGGAGGCATTCCTCGTCAAATACGAGGCCAAGAAGGCGCGGTTTGAAGTTATGAAGGAGGACTTTAAGGTAGGACTAGTGGCCCTTTTTTTGGGGGGGGGGGGGGGTCAGGCCAACATTCTGGACCACAAGACATATAAATACATCGACCGCAAGGTCCTATTCAAAACTACACGCGATCTGCGTGGCGCCCCACTAAAATCAAAACTATGGGCAAATTCACCACTCGGTAACGATTTTACACACCATTGAGCTATTCCAGTAAAAAAAAACCTATTTTTCGGAGTCCATTTTTTCAAAGTCCATTTTTTTCAAAGACATGCGTCGCACGGTTACGCGCTTGAAAGTGTTTGAAAGTGTTACAAGATGTGAACTTGCTTTCAACGATGTCAGCCTCTGGCTAGGTTATACTTTACATGAACAAAACAATACTTTACATGAACAAAACAATACCAGTGACGTCATAAAATGGTAGAGCGGCACGTTAAACATTTTTACAAGTCACAAAAAGGTTGCCGAAACAGCCCTGTGTTTGTCCACAAACTTAAGTCCAGCTTTTTATTTGCTGTAGACAAAGTGGGAGAATTACTTCAACCAGCTGACCCAAGACTTGGCACCTTACCAAGAGACTCTGATGCAGAGATTGGATAATCTGAGGATCAGGTACAGGGAATGGCACATGGACATGACCGCAGCCGCAGAAGGTTACTTAACGGTAAGTGGTACACAGATAGCAGGCATTATAACATACAGGGTGCAGTCAGAATGATCTGGACCCAAATTACAGAAAATATTTTTCAAAATATGTAGCAATTATCAAAACCAGTGCCAATGATATGCTATAGGCTGGTATTTTGGACATATGTGATGCGATCAAGCTAAATGAGTCGTTTGTCTGGATTTTCGGGGGGAGATTCAGGCCAAAGTAAGGCCACTTCATCACATCTCTTGGTGTTCCAAATTCCATAATTTTTTCAACTAACGATGGTATCAACATGGGGTTTTCACAGCAGTAATGCAGAGATTGTGCTCTTTCCAAATCTGTAATCAAAACAAATTTTGACCAGGGTCGACAAACGACTCATTTAGCTTGATCGCATCACATATTTGGTGGAAATTTCATGTGTATCCATTGTACCATTGTGACGAAAAGCGCTGGCAAAGAACGCATGCTAAAAAAACACTCTGACCGCGGTCGCATGGTTCAACAAATTTATTGAAATCGCGTACTCATGTGAAACCACCCTACGAAAGACGACTTATTGTCAAGCTGTATACAACTTGAATTTAATAAAGAAATATTTTAACAACTAACTCTCTGGATGTGTGTTCGATTACTCATTCAAAAAGTGGAAACTTAAAATTGGCTAGGAACATAGCGATTGAGGCAAGAAATCTATTTTTCGGGAAGGAATTAGACAATTTAAGCACTGGGAATGCAACTTAATCATTGTGTCTTAGTACAAATTTGGGCGGTTTGATTTACTAAACGAAAAATAACCCTCCGTCGTCTGTCCGTTCCAGACCACCGAACAGCGCGTGAAGGCCTTCTACAACATGCACGTCAAGCCCATCTTCGAGGAGCTGAAAGAGTTGTTCGACAGCCTAGCCGAGCAGCACCGTGTCCAGCTGGACCTGTTGTTCCCCGCAGTCAGGCCGTACGGTGACAGCTACCTCATCCCCAAACCGGAGCCTGAACCCAATCATCCGCCCAAGTATATGGTCGGGGTAGGTGTACATTTCAAACAACTTCCCTGTAGTTTTTTTTTTATCCCCCTGGCTTTCAAGCTAGTCATGAGGATATTGCGATCGCGTATTCCTGCGTTTGTTTATGGTGTAAATCGAGGACACACACGTGCAAAATCATCGGTGAATCGAGGACAGGAACCAAATCAAGGACGACCTCGATTAGGAAATGTGTACAAAGCCAATGAGAGCTGTTGCGAAAAAGTTAGAGTACAAACAAAGGAAAAGGGAAGAGGAACAAAAGAAAATCCTTGATTTACACCAGAAACAAATGTTCTAGGGTGGGCGTGTTTATCTATTCAAACCGTGGACGAAAAATACCAGAGAACAAAAGAGAACGATATCGTCCACGATTCCCAGCATACGTCCACGATTGGGGTCGTGTACAAAACATATGGGCGTCTTCCTAAAGAGAGTACAAACAAAAGAGGGACAAAAGGATGCCACGATCGACGGTGTGAATATGACTGTGTGTCTGTGTGTGTGTTCCGTTTTGGTTAGGTTCACTGTACTAAAGTTCAGTCATCAATCTCAACCAAACTTGATATGTGGTTATTGCTCACGGTATCTGGTAAATTGATTAGAATCAGGCAGATCAGTGACGTCACCAAAGATCACCCTATCCGCTCCATTCACAAGTACCCCCTCAACCGGCAAAGAGAGTACAGTTGGGGGTGACCGACCGACGCCATCTTGCCTGACTGCAATTCATTTGCCGCGAAGCGCGGCCACTGCGTGTACATAGTACAAATCCCCTGGTGTACGTGCGTCACACACAAGGAACGGTGCGCGTCAACCAGCGAAATGTCCCGCCCATGGGACATCGTTGCTAGGTAAAAGGGCGCCCTCTTGGGTCGGTGCACGGAGCCCATACAGCCTAATGCCCACTGTCTTCAAGTAGGAGGAGTATTTAGAAGTAATGATTGGCCCCGCCCACCCCCCCCAAAAAAAACCCTCACCACCAAAAAACCCCTCCCCCTCCCCCTCCCCCCCCCCCAAAAAAAAGGGAATTCTTGAACATTCCCAAGATGAGTCTGAACATGTTACAAAGAATGTTCAATTTTTTCTTGGTTGTAAAGGGCAAAGAAGATTACATGTCTCTGGGGGAAGTCGTGCAGACGGCAATCAAAGTGCCAGGGGAGAGGGAGATCATCTTCAGCACCCGACTGACACGCCTGCGACAGCTGAAGGTCTGGAAGGACATCGAACGGCTCTGGAATGAGACGAAAGGTAAACCGATGTTTGGGTTTTGTCGAGAGTTGTACGTGTGAAACCTTTCTTTAACTGAACCGTTTTCGTCTTTCGCTACTTCCATTTGTTTCACTAAAACACTGCGGACAGTCCGGTAGAAATTGGAATATCCTCTGTTTGTGTAGCCTTTCGCCAGGGCCATCGTGGCTTAGAGCTGCGAATCTGTGTGCGACTGGAGCGAAGACGAAAACAGCCCGCCCGAGCGGCAAAGCCACGAGGCTTCTTTTAACTTGATTTTGTTGAATTATTCATATTTTTTATGCAAATAAGTAGAGAGCTGAAAGGTTAACCAATTACAGCGTGGATTTTGCCTAGCTGCCTAGTTCACCCGATTGCATGAAGCTCGTCTGAACACAAATTTGTGCAAGACAAAAAGTTTTAACTCGGCAGCAAGCAGTCAGCAAGCCGAAATTTCATGCGACGGTTACTTATCGAGTGGTTCCCAGATGATTTTATTGAAACTTTTTTCCCCAACCAACAACTCCCTGAAGTTGATTCCAGTTGCATTGATCATTTTTGACATTACTTTAAAAAAAAAAATTTAAAAAAATTGTTTATCGTGTGTCATTTATATCAGCCGAACTTGAAGCCATCTTTGCCGAGATAGACGGAGAATTCAAGCAGTCCAATTTCTACCTGGATGTTTTGGAGCAGTGGGAAGTGCTGAAGGAACAGTACCCCGTAGAGCAGTGGTGGGCCGACATTCTGATGAGGTTGGAGGAGATCAAGGAATCCGAGGACATTCAGGAGTTGATCGCTACATTTGAATTGCTGAAGGAAGAGGTAGGTGTAAAGAGATGTGTGTGGTTGAATGTGAGGTTTTGTGCGAGGACTGTGTATGAGGTTACAGTATAAGGCTTGGCTTGAGGCTCCGTTTGAGGCTTGGTTTGAGACTCAGTTTGAGGCTGGGTTTGAGGTTCAGTTTGAGGCTTAGTTTGAGGCTCAGTTTGAGGCTGGCTTTGAGGCTGGCTTTGAGGTTCAGTTTGAGGCTTGGATGAGGCGCAGATTGGGGATCAATTTGAGGTAAAGTATGAGGCTCAGCTTGAAGCTTGGATTGAGGTTCAGCTTTGGGCTCAGCTTGTATCTCAGTTTCAGGCTAACCTAGAGGCTCAGCTGAGTCTCTAGCTGATTTACATCTTGAGGTTCAGTTTGAGGATCTACCCCAGGCTCAGTTTCAGATTCACATAAAGGCTCATTTTAGGTTCCATTGCATCTACGTTTGAGTTTCATCTGGAGACTCGGATTACCTAGAGGCTCAGCTAGAAAGTCAGTCTGAGGTGAGCTTAGTGCTCAATAAGAGGCTCAGTTAGATGCACAGCTTGAGTGAAGTAGTGAAGTAGATTTATTTGGATCCCATTTACAGTTGAGTGTCCCGACCATCGACACCGAAGCCGGCCTGACCCGGATCCGGGAGCGCATCGCCAGCTCCCTGCAGGGCTACGGACTGGAGATCCTGGAATACCTGAAGACCCCGACCTACGAGCTGGTCCGCTACGACCTGGAGAACGGCGAGATCCTGTTCCGCCTCTTTCTGCCGATGGAAGTCCACAGCCTGCAAGAGGTCCCCGAGTCTTGGCGCCAGATGGAGATGCTGCGCCGTCTGCGGGAGCTGATCGCGGAGGTCCGGGAGCGGTCCAAGCGCACCTTGGGCGAGATCTCCATGGCCGACGGCACCACGCGCAGCATGTACGAGCTGATGTTCAACGAGCCCATGCTGCTGTACCGCGAGGGCAACGTCACCCAGTGGTTCCTGGGGGAGAAGATCAAAGCGCAGCGCAAGTTCTGGGAAGCGATCCATCTCGCCAAGATGTACATCAATCCCGTCAACTGGATCCCGCCCCACCAAGGTATTTTCTATAGGCATTCAAAATTTAACTACCTTTGACTTTATTTGCTGGACTCGGCCAATCAAATCCCACAGTTAACAATCAATGCATAATTCATGATTTCCTTTCTGCCAATACTCTGATTGTTGGTGTCAATCGACCCTTGACTGCATTTGCTGTAACTCGTCCTATCAAATCCCACAGTTAATCTAATGAATAATTCATGATCTCTTTCCAGCCAAAACCATGATCATAGGCCTTTGACCACATTTGATGCGACTCAGCCAATCAAATCCCATAGTTAATATAATATAAATCATGATCTCTCTCCAGCCAATGCCATGATCGTAGTTGCCAACCAATTCATGACCTTTGACCGCATTTGCTGCGACTCAGCCAATCAAATCCCACAGTTTACAATCCAATGAATAATTCATGATCTCTTTCCAGCCAATGCCATGATCGTCGGTGCCAATCACTACATGACCTTTGACCGGACCTTCTACGACTTCAGCAGTGGCTGTAGCTACCTCCTGGCCCACGACTTCATCGACGGCAACTTCACGGTGGTCGTGGAGTACAACCGCGACGGCGGCACCCGAACCAAGAGCATTGTGCTGTACTTAAACTCAACCGCCAGTTTTGAAATTCAGAGCGACTTTACGGTAAGGGAAAAAGGCTAAATTAAACGAGCGATACCTCTAGTTTTAACCTTGAAATTATTTTGTTTTAATGACCTCATGTGTACAATTTGTCAGACATGACTAAAATCCTTTTAGGCCATCAGCCTTGGTCCAAAATTTTGGCCACCAGTATCAAATGAGGAGAATAATCGTCATAGCGGTATACACCTCCAGAATTGGAAAATAGGTGATGGCAATGCAGCGGTGGCAGCTTTTTGGGTGTTATCACCCTTTTTTCCAAAATGTCCATCAAAATGCTTGTTACCACTCAAGGGGCGGTATACCTTGCGCATGTGCACCATAATTATTTATGCTCTAATTTGATACTGACCAAACCCCCAGGCTGATGTCCTATTTCTTTCTACATTTTTGGAGAATTTCCAAAAAAAACAACACAGTTTCCAAGGCGAAATCATGCCTGAATCAGTCATTGTAACTCATGGAAATTAACAGACGTTTGGCTAAGATTAAAAGGAATTTCCTAGAAATTATCATCCACCAATAATGCAACGTTTCTTCAGATTAGCAAACTTCCTTTTTCTTTTCTTTTTTCCCCCTGTATACCATTGAAAATTAATATCAAGTGTGAAGAAAGTTTCGCAAAGCTTGAAACTTTTGTTATCAAAGATAAAGATAATTCTCTTCTGCTGGTCGTAGATGGCCTGCCTAGTGTCGTCTTTGTACCTATCTCACTCACTGACTGACTGACTTTCACGTGTGAGCTTGGCAGCGCTTTTGTATAGAATAACAAGTAGCGCCAATGTATTGGCTAAATTCGGCCCATTGTTTAGACCAGATGCGTGGGGTGCTGTGGTCCAATGGTTACGGTGTTCGACTCGTGTGCCGTGGTACATGGGTTCGAATCCTGACCGTGGGAACATGGTGCTTGTGCTCTTGAGCAAGGCACTTTACCATTATTGCTTCGTCCTTCGAATGGGACGTAAAGCTGTAGGTCCCGTGTGTTGTGTAATGCACGTTAAAGAACCCATAACACTTATCGCTAAGAGAAGGGGTTTGCCCCGGTGTTTCTGGCAGTGGCTGCAATATGCGCCGCAGCACCTTGTAAACCCTTATAAGTTGCTACATAATGGGTCTCATATTTCTCATGAACTTTATTTACCTTTCTTTAATAAAAGACATATCTCCAGCGCCTTGAGTACCTAATAGTTGGTAGATACGTGCGCTATATAAGACTCCGATATTATTATGAAAAACTTGCAATGACTAGCCGCTGTAAAGCAGTTAAACAGAATCTAGGATTAATTTGTCTTCATTGGTCTTGTTTATTTCCAGGTGATGATGGGCAAGCAGTTCTTGGAGCTCCCCGTCCAGCACGGACGCACCACCATCACCCGCGACGTCAACAACGTCCGCATCCACAACACCAACGGCATCACCATCACCTGCCACGTGGCCCACGACCTGTGCACCGTCAACGTCAGCGGCTGGTACTTCGGCAAGACGGCCGGTCTCTTCGGCACCTACAACTACGAGCCCCGGGACGACTTCACCACGGCCGACGGGGACATGGCGCGCCACATCGACGACTTCGCCCGCAGCTGGAAGGTCGGCAAGCGCTGCTCGGGTTCCGCCACCGATCCGCTCCCAGAATGCAACAGCGACCCGGAGGAGGAGGCCAACGCGCTCTGCTCCGCCCACTTCTTGGATGGCACATCCAGCCTGACTCAGTGCCTCGGAGTGGTACGTACAATTGTTTCATCCACCTCATAAATATTTATGAACCAAATGCTCCCTTTGGCTCTGCCCACTTTTTTAGACAGATCTTGCATGTTTAGATTTTTACCCACTGTAACTGTATTATATTATCCCTAACTCCCTAGTGGGTATGGTCTGATTTTCTTGAATTGTGTTCGAGAATTCTGCAAAAAAGTTAGAAAAATTCTTACTACAAGGTTCACAGTAAGTATTCGTGCTGCAGATTTACAAAGTTGAACATAGTTGCAAGTTGCAATTCAAGCAAATTTTGTGTAAATTATTCTGATTTCGACCTGACTTTGCTGTCACATTCATGAAAATTATCAAAAAGGGGAACAAAATATATCCAAGGCTACTCTTAATGCAGTAACGTTTCAGTAAACAAAATATCCCCCCCCCCTAAAAAAAAAAACTTCAAGGCAGCACATAGCTCAACCGTTTTGAATTCTTCACTGAACTCCCCAGGTGGACCCTGCGCCGTTCTATTCTATGTGCGCCGGCAAGATGTGCGAGTTGTCAGGGGAGCAGCGTCGGGAGGAAGCCTGCCGCGCCATTAAGGCCTACGTGGATGAGTGCAACCGGCTGGGAGTGGGCATCGTCATGCCTGACATGTGTGGTATGTGACGTCAAATCAGTGGAGTACCACTCGTAGTCTGTACTCGTACATGAGTACAACCAGGGTACTTTTTTAAGAAAATACTCGCACTCGCACTCGTACTCAAATGTCAAAATACTCGGACTGGAATTCATGGTACTCGTGTTTGAAAACCAAAGTATACGGACTCGACTATTCAAAATTGTACTCCATTATCAAATTACTTATACTCAATTATAAGGACTCGGGGGGGGAATCAAGTAATTTTTTTTTGAATGGCCAAAAAACTCCTTCCTTTAAGACGCACATGCTCAAAAATGCTCAAAATTCACTTTAAATGAAAAATTTACTCAAAAAACGATTTTCTTATTACAAACCGACATGTCTGGAGCATCATAAGATTGAGAGGTTGATATAATTATTAAATTGGAAGAAATTTTGAGTGAAAAACGGAAAATCAGACGTACTCATCCCGTTTCAACCGGCATCCACACGGAGATCCCGTGTCACTTTATCGTATCACATACAAGAAGAATGCACAAAGTGATGACATTATATGTAAAATCAATAGCGCAAACTTCAAACCTGCCAAAACTGTCATTGACTGTTTGGGCTATAAGAACCATGATTTGAAGACCTGGTCTTCTGAAATTCGGGTCATATTTTAGGAGTTCTCTTAAACTTGAATGAGAAAAATTTGACAAACAAAATAACAGTGGACACTGGACAGAGTATTTTTGGGAGCCTGTTTTTTTTTTTTAATAACCATGCCAAGTACTACACCAGTTACTCCGATATTTTTAATAAAATGATGCCCTTCAAAAATATTGACTTCATTTTCTATTTTTAATTTTTTTTTAGTGGTGTGTGATTCCCTTGACGGCCAGTTCACGCAGGGTGAGCTTAAGAACCTGTCTTCCCCAGACGTCATCCCCAGGTCAGCCGATGTCATTCTGATCGTTGAGGAGAAACGCTGCAATGCGGACAAGCTGGAACACATTGCCGAAATCGTGGACATTCTGGACACCCAGCTAAAGAACACCCGGCGTAAGTTAAACAAACAGAAATTCAGATTGGGCTAAGACAGTTAAAGGCATATATAGGTTCATTTGCTTTTCATTCCTTTTTGTTCGTTTGCAATGATACCACCCCTCGAAATCCAAAGCAGAGTGTTCAAAACCAAACCTGTTGAAGTTTCAGCTCAGTGGATATTACATGTTTTTCAAGAAAGCGGTGAAAAAAATATGCACAACCTTTTGATCAAGGAACATGAGTTTACCTCTTTATTTCCAAAAATCTGTCAATTGACTGATCATTGGAAATAACTCACATTCTCGGTTTCTTCAAAATGACTGCAAGCGAAACAAACTAATTTTCATGGGTGTGGTTAGTACTGGTATGATCTTAGGTGGTCCTGAAAGGTGGACAAAAGGCATACATTTGGCTGTTTTCCACACTTTAAATTTTCTTTTTCCTTTCAGAGTTCTCTGACAACCGGTTCGGTCTCCTGGGCTTCGGAGGCGAAGGAATCCACGACCTGCCACACATCCACACCATCGACGGCCAACTCTTCAACGAGAAGCGCCCTCTACGCTTCCAGGGCTTGCCCGAGCTGGAGTTTGCCGAGGATGGCAGCAACGACACCTTTGCGGCCATCTTGGCCGCTGCCAACTACCCCTTCCGCGCCGGCGTCGCCAAGAACATCATCCTGTTGTCTTGCTCCGGCTGCCAGCGTCTCTACCACGTGGTGGGTTGACTTTTTTGACCCTGGCCGATCTTTCCTCTGAACTGAGTTGACCACTCCATTGACCCTGGCTGACCTCTTCTTTGACCTTACCTGACCTCTTCTTTGACTCAGCTGACCTCTTCTTTGACTCAGCTTACCTTTATGACCCTAGCTGGTTGACCTTTCACGACCTTGGTTGACTTTTCATTTTGATCTTAGCTGACCTGTGTCTTGACTTTATAGCTGCATGACCTCTATGCTTGGCTGACCTTTTTTTTTACTTTGACCTTAGGTGACCTCTTCTTTGACCTTTGCTGACCTCTATGACATGGGATGACTTCTTTAATGACCCTTGCGGACTTCTAGGTTAGACTTCAGCCGACCTCTCCCTTGACCTTAGCCGACCTCTTCCTTGACCTCAGCCGACCTCTCCTTTGACCTTGGCAAACCTCTGTGACCCTGGCCGACCTCTCCCTTGCCTTAGCTGATCTATGTGACCTTAACCTATATGGCCTCTATGGCTATGACCCTGGCTGAACCATGTCTTGAGCCAACCTCTCCCCTGACCCTTGATGATCTCTCCCTTGACCATGACTGACCTCTATGCTCCCGACTGACCTCTGAAATACCCTGTTTGACCTCGCGTTTAGCTTAGCTGACCTTAGGAGCCAGGTCCAAGTCACATTGGATCCTTCCACAAAATCTTTAAACTGCTTATTGCACCTAGAGCAAAATCGATCCGATTTCCAGCATTTACTAAGAAATTGGACGTGTTCCCATGATACACAGTGGATATAGCAGAATATGTATTGCCAATAGCAGCTTATCCGCATTGTGAATCACTACCACCCATTTACACATCTTCGCATTTCTAAAAACAAAGTTTGCAACAGTGAGTGATATATTTTGTGTGTACATTGGTCTGTTTAGGATAAGTACTACAAGGACGTGGCCCGTGTGCTGCTCAGACAGGGTATCCAGTTGAACCTGCTGATGGACGCCGAGTTGGAGCTTGTACCTACTCGCGGCAAGAACACCTCCCCCAAGAACCAGGTCATCTACGGTAAGCCATAAGAAATATCGCTCTAAATGCCCCAAGACCAGAGTCAGTTACAAGTCATATCAAAAGTCATCCAATTTGGACCCCCCGATACCAGAACCTCGCTGTAGGCTAAGATGATTGGTTTAAACCGCTCAGATTTATGGGGGGAATATGGCAAGAAGAAATGTTGTGTTTAAAGATGTACAATATTAAAACACCTACGGTAGTGACTTACAATTGTGACAAATTTCTTTGAGTTTGAGCAATTATTTTCCTTACCACTTACTAGGTCATGAAATAGATAATTTGCGTTACAATAATAATACATGCTTCTTGTACAAAACTCGTAAATATCCTTCAAAATTTGCGTTACTAGAAAACAGAAATGTTCTCAAATTGTAAATGGGTTATTTTACTCATCAAATTATTGAAGTAAGAAATTTCTATTTTTTGTTTCCAGTGGGACACAGCCTCCCCTCGCTTAAGGCCTGTGCCCCTCCCCCCTCCCTCCCCCACCCCCACCCTCCCCCACCCCCACCCTCCCCCCCCCCCCCCCCCCCACCCCCACCCTCCCCACCCCCACCCTTGTGACTCTCCACTTAGAATTCGGGGGTAGACAAAAAATTAGCTTTGTATCGTAAAGCTCCTATGACTGCCCCCTCCAGAAACCCAGGCCCCCACAAGTGCCCCCATGCAAAATTGTTACCCAGTTTCAATGCCAGTTAATTATTATCTCCCATTGTAGGTGTCGACAACCGCACCGTCTTCACCAACAAGGCCCTGAGCTCGGGCAGCCTGATCGGCGACAAGTCCCTGCGCAAGCTGGTCAACGAGCCCATCAACCAGTGCGCGCTGCTGGCCTACGAGTCCGGCGGCGCCCTCTTCGACGCCACCAAGATGGATCAGAAGAAGTTCGCCGACGTGCTGACCCAGCGGATGGTGGAGCACACGGTCGTAGAGCCGTGTCAGGTCTGCAGCTGCCGCGGCGACGTGGACGACGTCGGACACGCTATCTGCGAGCCGTGCCGCATCTTCGAGAAGTACTCCTGGGTCTTTGTAAGTACACAAGATTCGTAAACATGTCACAAAGGACACAGACTTTGGTGATTCATTGTCATATATGGCAGTAAGCCAATGAGCACACTTTTCTCACAAAAGTTTTTAAGGCCCCAAAAAAAAGTCTTCGGTTTCTGGTATGAAGCTTGCCCAGGGTTGGTGCGGCGACATGGTTTTTGGGGGGTTTTTTAATACTTTTTTTTCCTTCAAATGTCGGCTGATGACTGCAAATGGTGCCCGACTAAATTTAGTGCAAAATATATGGGAGCCCAGAGAGGCCACATAAAGCTTATACTCGATCGTAACCCCATCTAAAAACATGTTAAGATTGTGCAGCAGCAGGATTCCAGTCAAACCAGTGAGTTTGGCAGTGTTGAGACATCATCTTACATTGAAAAAAACCTTTAAATTTTGCCGAAGCGCATGGCTACGGCCACGCGCGCGCATACCAGAAACTGGAGCCTTTTTTTTTTTTGAAAAAAAAAAGGAACAAGTGTGTGTGCACAATAAGCTCTGGCCCGGTTCCAGAATGTCTCTTTTCAGTTACAAAATAGACGCGCACGCGCATCGATCGAGACAAGGGGCATGTTCCGAAAACTTTCCCCAAGAGTATATTTAATAATAATACCGAAGTCTTATATAGTGCACGTATCTACCGACAATTAGGTACTCAAGGCGCTGGAAATAATGTAAATTATTAAAGAAAGGTACATAAGGTTTATGAGAAATATGAGACCCATTATGTAGCACCTTATAATGGTTTACAAGATGCTGCGGCGCATTAAGCAGCCACTGCCAGAAACACCGGGGCAAACCCCTTCTCTTAGCGATAAGTGTTACTGGGTTCTTTAATGTGCATTACACAACACACAGGACCTACGGCTTTACGTCCCATCCGAAGGACGAAGCAATAATGGTAAAGTGCCTTGCTCAAGAGCACAAGCACCATGTTCCCGCAGTCAGGATTCGAACCCATGTACCACGGCACACGAGTCGAACACCATAACAACTGGACCACAGCACCCCACATATTTACTGACGACGGCATTGCATTTGGTCCTGGGAGCTTAAAAACTTTACGTTACTAAATTTGAAAAAAAAAATATTTTGCTTATGTGGACAGGATATGGAGCGTGCTGTTGCGGAGGCCGATTACTACGGACGACATGGCATCCAGTCCTTCGTGGATTACCTATACACCCCATCCACAGCCCTGGACACACAGGTCAACAACACCCCCAAGAATCAACCCTAGGGACAGAGTCAACTAGAGTGGGAATGAGAATGCGGACGAACAAAAAAAAAAAATACGGTCCTGATGCAAAAAAAAAAAAAAAATGTGTATGTTTGTTAACACTGTCTGGAAACTGATCATGTTTTTCTAATTTTTTTTTTCACGTTTTATACTTTTATAAACAAATTACGTAAGCCAAGATGTAAAAAAAAAAATTTTAAAATAAAAACTGTGATTATTTACCACAAATTGCCTTACTTGTTTCGCCAGGTTTTGGGGAAAATTCAGTATTAATATGCAACAGTGATATCTTTTCTCCTTTTTTTTTGCATTATAGTATTTTTTTGTTGATTGTACACACTTGACGTTTTTGTAGTAGGTATCGCATGTGTAGTGCACGTTTCATTAGCTCCTTTTGTTGGCTTCATTATCTACAAAGGTACATCGTTATATCTGGATATTTTGCTGCGTTTGGTTTATTCATTAGGAGTTTTGTCCAAAAAAATACATAACAGACCTTGTTTGTACAAGAAGGAATACCTTCTCAATTTAAGAAACTTCAGGAAAAATTTGTTTCGCTTGCTTTTACAGATGAAAAGATCACTGCAATTTTTGTTAAATCAGTGGATTTGTTTATGTACGTAGATGAGGCTGTTCTTGTACGTAGTTAAGTCTCTGCAGGGCTTAGTTTTACACTCAAAAAACACAGATTAACTATTTCAACTATTGTTTTACATTTGGAAAGAATTTTTTTGAATTTGATGCTTGTTTGCTAACTGTTCAATAATCTTGTCCGTATCAGAATTCTCACACACTTTATCGTTTTGATGTGTGAAAAGTTTTGTGGTGGTTGGTTTTTTTTCTCCATTTTTTACAGCCGGAGAAAGATTCTACCTCTGTGGTACTAGATTACGTTATGTAGGCATTCTTACAAAAATATAACAAATCCTTGTGCAAATTTAGGTTAAACGATCAGAAATATTTTCATAAAGAAAAGTGGACTGAGGAACGTGTACATTGCGTATGAAGAAAGTAGTGTGTAGAGGGCGCTACTTATGCAGATCTTTTAACAGCAGAGCGCCCAGAATGAGTAAGATAATAGTGGTAAGAATGCTGCAAATACAATGCAAATTATTTTTTTTTCAAAATATTTTTTTTTTTTTTTTTTTTAATTAGAAGCAAACATTTTGAGCACAAATCAAGTTACATCCACGTTCTAGTTGTGAGTCTGAACTAGTTACTTAAATATTGGCTGGTTACATCCGATTTTTTTTTTTTTTTTTTTTTTACAGATTAACATTCTTGTGTTACAGGTAACGTGTTAAGAGAGATTTTGGGAAACTTAGTACATGTACGTTGTAGTCAACGTTTTTTCTTTTCTTTTTTTTAGGTTTGTATGATATTTGTGTGATTGTTATGTTTGATTTTCTGGATTAAAAAAAAAGGAATAAAAAAATTAGTTTGTGGTCCCTTTTCTTTGTTAAATTTTGTTTTCATGTTGAAAAAAATTCACTATTTAAGGGTTGTTTGCAACTGTGATTATTGAATAATACTTATATTGCAATTTTTTTGGCGTGTAAGTATTTTGTTTATTTGATATGTTGCCTCTGCTTATACACATATTGGCAACGATATTAAAATGAAAAAAAAGAATTAAGTTAAAGGTACAGTCCATCATTTGTAATTTGTGCATTCTGTTCGTTTGAAGCAACAAACGTGCTCAAAATCTAAAGAAGGGTGCTGAACAACTAACCTGATGAACTTTCAGCTCGACTTCAACTGTATATTCTGAGAAAAATTGCGTTCTAGGATTTCGATTTCAAATCAAAAGTTGCTGAATCATGTTTTAAGCCTGAATTCAGCGTCCAAGACACGTTCTCACTGAGCTGATTGCAGCTACGCGATGTCGCACACCGACAGCAACCGCGCCGTGCGTGTGCGTCGTGTCAATGCTTGCGCGTGCTTCGCTAAATAAAAAAAAACATCTAGTACTAACGGAGATTTCCAACGATGTGTCTTTAGACGCATCGTTGGAAAGGGCTTCTTTCGTTGATTTCTTCAAAACAACAGCTTGTCAGAAAGAATAATTTCACAGGGAGTTTAGTTCCCTTACTATCTTTCGACCAAGTATGTTTTTCAACAATTGTTTCGTCAGTTACTTTTTGGATTGCTGCAAATGATGGACTTAGCTTTAAGCAAGTATTGTCCAGTATATACAAGGGAACACAAAGTGTCGATTCTTGTTAACCCCTTAAGGACGGGGTGTAATGGGGACATTCCTCCACACATAGAGCAAGTGGCCCGCATGACTGCACAGCCTTTGTGTGGTAGCGGGACTGCACAAAAGCAGCAGCTGTGGAACTACCCACTAGCCGTGTGCCACGGCATACCACAGCTGGCAACTGCATTCCAATGAGGATTAGCAGCCGCAGCCATGACCGCTTTCCGTGCGCATGGGGTTAATGCCTTAAGCTGTGACATGAATTTGATCCATTGTTTAGTGTTGAGTTGCTGTGTAAAAGCCCCACTCTCAGCCTTAATTATTCATTTGTACCTTTACCGGATCTTATTGTTGACCCTCCGCATGAGTGCACAACTTTTGTTCCATTCATCACAATGCACAGTACATTTGTCCTAGAAATACAGTCACACACATGCAGTCTTTATCATGGGTTGTAGTTCATACAAGCTCTTCATCAGCTCTGAAATCCTAGTGGAGTAATATATGGGAGTTTTACAGCTGGAGATGCACTGAATTAACCCTCACCTTCCCAAATTCACCAAATTCATCTTTGCAAAATGGAGGATTTTGCAGGATTGTGGCTTATATGGTTCATGTGCGGCTGGTTTTGGAGGATGCACTGTGTCAAGGTCTTGGACCGGACCTGTGCTGTTTATGCTCAGCCGTGCATAAATTTAGGACTTGATTATACTTGAAATCTGCCTCAACATATTGACAGTGATTGCTGGAGGATTTTGTGGGATTGAGGCAGTGGTCACCCCTCCAAGGACCAACTTCAAGAAATAACTGAGGATTTGCAAGATTGAGGCTGTATGCAATTTTTACATGGAGGCAGTTGGAGGATTATGCAGGATTGAGGTTGCATCCTGGCAAAAATGCCTAGGGAGTTGGGGTTAAAATAACTATTCGAAGTGATCGTATGGGATTGAAGATTTTTAACACCAACCACAAGGAAGTTTGGTGAGCAACTCAAGTGTGGAACCACATTTCATTGTCCACTCAAATGAAGACCACTGGAAATTTTGTTACCATGGAGTACACATCAAAGCATCTCACCTACCACAGGAAATTAATTCATTTGGAACACATAACTCTGGAATATCATCTGAGAAGTACAGTGATCGGTAAGTTTTTAGCCGTTAATTTGATTAATTCAGTTATTTATATATTCTGATAATAATACTAACTAGAGCTAGGTCTCATGTGTGATAGGGTTTTTCCATATCATGAGTTTTTAATGAGTTGATGCTTTTTTGTCCATTTGCAGTCATTTCAATGTTCGTTTTTTGCTGTATGAACTGAGTTCCACGAGTTCCAACATGTATTGGCTGATACAGCAAGTGTTGTAGTTCTTTAAAAATATGCACGACGATGACATCATAGGACGTCATTTTGGATTATGCACAGTAGTACCATTATCTACCTACCCACCAAGTTTTATGACGCTCGGACCTACCGTTACATGTGATTTTAAAAATCACATGTCTGATGACGTCATTGTGACGTCAGACATTTGTCGCAATTTTGTGCAATCATGTATGACCTAACAAACCTAGTTACCTAAAGGCTTTTTAATTTAGGATTTCACGGTTATCAGATGTGGCTTTAAGGTTTAAATACTTTTTAAAAATCAATGAAAAATCACATGACACTATTGTGAATGACTGAAATTGTAACGTATAACACATCCCGGTCTACTTTAACATATTCAGTTTCAACGCAATCAGACTTGCAAGCTCTAGATGTGAAATCTTAAAATGTACACCTTTAAGGTGACGTCACATGACCAATGATGAGGTCGTCATGACGTTATTGTCTAGGACCAACTTTACTGCAGAGTCTTGTGCTTGTGCCTAGTTTAGAGTCAATCTGATTGAATTTTATGTAAAATTTTGAGAGTAGAATTTGAAAAGTTTAAAAATTTATTTAAAAAATCAATTGATGACGTCATCATGACATCACTTCGAATTTTCCATAATTGTACCAATATCTACCTACCCACCAAATTTCATGACGATCGGACCTACCCTTATATGTGATTTTAAAAAAATACGACTTTGCTATGTGGTTTTATGCCTATGTTAACGTTTCATTGGTATAGGACTATGTTGTAGCCCAAAAAGGTCAGACAAAAGACGTGCACAAAGTCTATGGGATTTTGGATAGAAAACCCAAGAAGAAAAAGAAAAATCTGAACAAAAAGAAAAGCTTTTCCGCAACTATACAGAAAAGCCAATAACAATAATAATAATCATAATATTCCCTATAATTATATCCACGGATTGTCCTTTTGGTAATTTTTTTACCGGCCATTACTTAAGCAACAGAGAAAGAGTTATGATAAAACTGAAAGTAAATTGATTAAGATTAGATGTGAACATAAAAAACTGAAAGAGAATAAGTGATATTCAGTGAAAATCATTAGAGGTAATTTAAAAAATAAAAATAAAAAAATAATAAAAAGGGAAAGTATTTTATTCTATTTCACTTTAAAAGATGGTCTATAATTGCCACCGAAAATGAAATTAAAAATATCGGACCGTCAAGTTGAAAAATGCAAAGAGAAAACTTAGTTCGATTGTGTTAAAACAAAAACATAGAAACAACCAAAATGTTGAAAAGGCAAGGTTTAAATAATACGAATTCCTTAAATTTACGGTGAAAATTTTTGACAGAAACATTCCGTTTACCAACGCGTTGCAAACTCTTGGAGGCGCACTATTGGGAATCGCCCGTATTGAAACCGCTGCCGTCGGTGCGGCTTATACGCCAGTGCGGCTTATACGCTGACTTCAAATCTTAATTTGCAGATTTTTGCGTGCTGCGGCTTATACGCCGCGCGGCTTATATTCCGAAAATTACGGTAGTTGTAGCTTTAGCGGATGCTGTATATTTCCGTATTTTGCTTGAAGTTTTTTTAAGTCTCCGGGATTTTTTTTTCAAGTCAAGCATGAAGATACACCGTTCAATGTACTGTAAAAAATTCCTGAACTTTACGGCAAAAATTGTTGGTAATTAATATCAGGTACATGTCAGATTACTTTGAACAAATACCTAAAATTCATGCATTTTGCAAAAAAAAGAAAAATAAACTGAAATTTTAAAGTGGACTGTTACTTCTCAAATGAATCCAGTTTATGCATGTAATTGTTTGCAGGGGCTATTCACAACAGAACCTGTAGATTCTCAATATACATGGGCGTCGGGAGGTGGGGGCAAGGGGGGGCACTTGCGCCCCTCCCCCCCCCCCCCCCCCCTCCCTAGAAAGGCAACAACAACAACAACAACAACAACAAAAAAGGAAAAAAGAAAAAGAAAAAGAGGCGCGAAGACAAAGTGGTGTAAATTTAATGAGTTGGGGGAGTAGCAAAATGTCCCTGCTCCCCTCTAAAACTGATAAATCGAGAATGTGTTGAGAAATACAAGCATTTTTTGGCAAAAAAATTTTTTGCCCCCCTCTAGAAAAAATCCTGGCGACGCCCATGTCAATATAATCTACATTTTAGGAGTAGATCCTATTAATAAGAATCTAAAGTAAAGTGTAGATTCTTAAAAAAAATAACACCAAAAATTAACTGCATAGAGTGACATCACAAGAGTAGTTTAAGAAGACACAATTACAAAAATGTCAACAATTTAAGCCTGCTTTGCAATGCCGGTCAAAAACAATTTATTTCATTTTTTTTAATAATTTTTTTTAAGCACAAATCCATGCACAAAATAATTCAATTAAATTTCATAATAGTAAAATCAATTGAAAATTATGTAAAAAGTGGGTACATCAAAATAATATATTGCACACATTTACAAGCTTACAAAGTCCTTCACAAATTGCCCATTTATCTTGGACAAACGTTAAAACGAAATGTGATGCGATCAAGCTAAATGAGTCGTTTGTCGACCCCAGTCAATATTTTTTTATTGCAGATTTGAAAAGAGCACAATCTCAGCATAACTGCTGTGAAAACCGCATACTGATACCATCTTTAGTTCAAAAATTATGGAAGTCGGAACACAATGAGATGTGATGAAGTGATGTGATGAAGTGGCCCCATTTTGGCCTGTATCTCCAAATGAAAATTTCCGACAAACGACTCATGTAGCTTGATCTCATCACAAATGTGAAATACCGAGTAAAACCCTGTTGATGTTGTATTGGATGGTTTAAATCCTAATCCTCCTCAATCCTCCAAAGTCAGCAAGGTGCTTTTGGAGGACTTTGGAGGACGCATGGTGAAGTGGTGGGAGAAATCAGAGATTTCAAAATCCGGTTATCCTAATTTTTTTTCAAACCGAATAACGGTTATCCGATTTCACGGGAAGGACCCATCCAGCTCACAGTCATATGCCAAGAAAACGTGACGAGTGAGGTGCTGCATGCAATGCCGTCTAAATAAATGGGTATAGTTTACAGGATTCAGTGACCACTGGGCCTTTACAAAAGCACTCCAGAGCTGTAATGTTGAGAGAAAAATGGGTGGGAACTCTCTGATAATTCAAATGGGCAGGCTATTCATACACCAAGAAGACCACTAGCAAGTGAATGCAGTTACAATCACAGACCATGGAGCAAATTGGGGATGTTTTAGTTGTTTTCTTTAGCCTGTGTCACACAAAAAAAGAAGGCTTAATTTTGTTTATTATAAGGTTGGTTTTGAATATCCTGTTTCCAAACTCGAAACCGAACAGTGGATTCAAACCAAATTTTTAAAAATCCGGATATAAATCCCACCACTAGCATTGTGTCAAGATCTTTAGCTTGACCTTGCATTTTTTATGCTCAGTCATACATAAAGTAATCCTACATAACACTAGATATATATGTTGTATACTTCTTCAATGTCTAAAAGCGAGTTTGAGGATTCTGAAGGATTTGGCACTCCTCCACTGAACAAATTCAAGAAAACAACCGATGATTTGGGGAGATTGTATCCAAATTTTTACTTTGTGGCAATTGAAAGATTTTGAAGGATTGAGGATGCATCCTAGCCAAAAGGAGCTATGGGGTTCGGGTTATCAACCAACCAATGGTAAATTCCACTTCAAAAATATTCCACCTTTTACAAAACATCCAGTAAGCAAGCTACAACAGCAGACCATGTAGCCTACTAATCACAATTTAAAGACAACTTTACAGTGGTAACTTGCACACATACTTATAACCAGGTCTTCATTACGACACAAGCTTGAATTTGTTAGGTGGGCACACGCGACTGAAGGGACGGTCTGTATACTTAAAGGCCCAAGTTGTGAAGTGGGCACTTAATAAAAATAATAATAAATAAACAATAATGTGTATTTATAAAGCACACGTATCCACCATTGTTGGTGCTATGAAGGCGCTGCATCATTATTACGCAGCAAGTTCAACAATACAGCAATAAAAAGTTCAATCATATCAAAATAAGAAATAAAAATGTCACAGTAAACTTCTGCAGTGCTGTAGGTAGTTCTTTCTTTCAAGTCCCTAAGTATACTGTGAATCCAAACTATGCATTAGACTGTTTCCCAGGCGAGTCAAAAAAATGAAACCCAAATGTCGGGACCATTGTTTTAGTGAAGTTCTGCATGTAGCACTTTTTCAAAATCTAGGATATGACAGCCTGATTCATAAGCTTTCTTTTAGTACAAGAATCATTCACATCACTCGTGTACTTTTTAAGTTACGGAGTTTTAAACACAACCACCGTTTTAAAGTTCTGTCCACGGATCACAAAAAAAGTGTACGTTTTTTTTCAGCAAAACGAAAACCATTCACACACATCCTTATGTGATTTGTTTTCGTTTTGCTGAAAGAACACTGAATTTTTTGATCACTGAATTTTTTGTGATCTGTGGACAGAACCTTAAAATGGTGGTTGTGTTTAAAATTCCGTAACTGAAAAGTACGTGACTGATTTGAATGATTCTTGTACTAAAAGAAAGCCTATGAATTAGGCTTTCATATCCTAGATTTTGAAAGTGCTACATGCAGAACTTCACTAAAACAGTGGTCCTGACATTTGGGTTTCTTTTTTTTTTTACTTACCCTGTAGTTGGGGCATAACAGACATAACAAGGTGTTGATATACACATTTCAATGAGCTGCTGATTAAATTTGCTTAACAGCAAATTTATTTGCTAAGCAAAAATTACATTCTACAAACTTACATTCTATACTAGTTTTTCAATACTGTTTTTAAGAATGACAGAACTTGTGAAGTACTCTTAATACTATTTTATTTTTGGGGGGTACTGTGGTCTATAATTTAGAACTGCAAGGAGTCCCATCTATCTTTGACATGGACAATTAGTCGCGGCTCGTTTATCTTGATTTCATCAATATGTTGCTGCCGGATGTAATCCGTGTCGAAAATCCAAAGCTCCCTGAGGCTCTTGAGCTCATGGACCACACCCATCAGAGCCTCTGGGGAAACCGGGCTCCCGCCGCCCAGATCCAGGATCTTCAGCGACTGGAGGTTCTTCAAGTGCTTGAGCCCCACGTCGGTGATGTTGCAGCAGCAGTGCAAGGTCAGCTCCTCCAGTTTGGTCAGGCTGCTGCCGATCCGGTAGAAGGCCGTGTCGCTGAGTTGCGAGCACTGCTGGAAGCGCAGCACCCGGAGCTCCGTCAGCTGCTCCACCAGACAGGAGAAGCCCCGCTCCGTGTAGGTTCCCTCACTCTCGTCCACCACGCTGCTGCGGCAGGACACCAGCTGCAGCGACTTCAGCGTCCGCAGCGTGGCCAGGTGGCCGAGGGTGTTGTTGGTGATGTGGGGACAGAACACCTCCAGCTTCTCGATCTGGTAGAGCAAGCCCTGCGTCAGGGAGCAGTACCAGTTGGCGGCAAACTGGTACGACACCAGGCGCAGCTCCATCAGGTGCGGGGGCAGGAAGGCCAGATCTGTCGTCTTCAGGTCCTTGCCTTTCAGAGAGAGCGCCGCCAGCTTGGGGCAGTTTTTGGTGAGATGCTGAAGGATCTTGTTGCTGACGTGGTGGAGGACTAGCGTCTCCAAGTTATCCGACAGGTAGGTCTGGACAAACAGAAGCACCTTGTTCAGATTTCGGTTTTTGACGTTGCCTGTGATGCTGACATTCTTCCACAGTGACTTGTCCTTCATTAGAGTGTTCCATCTTTTGCTAACCCTGTCAAAAAAACACAAGGGGGAAGCAAACACCATCACATTTGTGTGTTTTAGAAAGGGCCATCTTTTTCAAGCCAGGTGATAATGACAAGTCTTTATTATAGACACCACCATGGGATGTGTTTCAAAAGTCTCTATTCACTTGTTCCTCCTGACTGCACTTTCAAGCAATCCACATACTTCGCTACTACTTCACATTCTTTCGCTGTCCTCGTTTCATAAAAAATCTTCCTCTATTTTATCCCTCAAACTGCATCTCTTTGAAACTCTCTACTGGAATCGTGCGTCCCTTCCACATTCAATCTTTCGCAATCCAAGCGAAATGTGAAAAGATACCTTCATTCACCATTTCTTTCTTTCTCTAGCCTTTGTAGTTTGCAGCCCTCACCTTTTGATTGGTCTCGGCCGTGAGTTTGGGTGATATCCATAAAACAAAAGCCACAAAAAGTCTGGCTACACCTAAAATTAGATGCACATAGACATCTGTACATGCCATAATACAAGGACCGTCGACATAACAATATTACTCGATTTTTCAATATTATTTTGATACCGATATCGCCGATAGCAATTTTTAATCATGTCGAAATATCGAAATTTTCGATATCGAGGAATGATATCGAAATTATCAGAAATGCGTCAGATTATTGTTAAAATAAATCTGTGTTCTGTGCTTTTACTTTGTGTTTAACCTTTGCTGTATAATGAAATAGAACTCAGCGGCAACTTGAGCTTGTGACTCAAAATAAAAAAACAGCGCGAAATGCCAAGCGGCGTTGCTTTGTGCTCTGCGTTCGCTGGAATTCTCGGTCTCCCCAATGTAAAACCTCATAAGACACCGCCTGTTCTGGACAAACTGTCAGTGCTGAGATTTGTTAAAAAGTTTGAGCAATATGCTCCAGAGAAATCCGTGGAAAATTGGGACTTAAAGGGAATGTACAACTTTTTGCTTTGCTGCAATTTTCAGAAATAAATGGATTTGGAGGATTAGTACGTTATAGAAAATATTGTTAAACTGACTTACTTCACGTTTTGGGCTTGTAGATGCTGGAAAAACCAAGAAAACCTATCATATTCTTGAAGTCTGGTTCCCTGACCCCACTTGAGATGAAACGGAGCAATTAATACACTTTGGGGAATTGTAAGGTCAGAGAATAAGTCTAGCAAGCTTGAACCCTTCACAGGTGTGTAATCAATTACAATAAAAGTCGGAATAACTAAATATGAAAAAGTGGCAACGGTTTTTGAAAAAAAGCCAGTTTTCTCCAACGCTGGTCGGCCGACCAGCGTTGGAAAAATACAGTTTATCTTGAAAATGACAGCACATCAGGAGCCACGGTTTTAAAGGATGCTTTAGACTGTCATTCCCTAACAATTCAGTAAGGTGTTACGTGATAATTTGATCATTCCGTTCTTTGATGTTTGCAAATGTTGTACATGTATCTTCCCTTTAAGTGATCTTTATGGTCTTGAACTTTTACATCCAGGGATACTCAATATATTGAATATTCTCAATGTTGGATTTCCGATATAACGATTATTGAAAATTTTGATATCGACGGTGCTTACCACACTACACTAGTTCGACCTCCCCCCCCCCCCTTTCCTGCAGAAACTCCCTTCCTTGCCCCTCCCCTCCCCCACCCCTTCTTGATCTTTGTCTCACCTTGCAGCTCGGCACCTGCTCTTGATTGGTAGAAAGGAGAAGATCGAAATGAGGCTTTCGTCTGGCAGGATCGCAGTGCCTGACTCCCACGGGTGTGTGAACACTTTGGCCTTCAGTCTCGGAGAGCGTCTCTGACCAGACATTGCGATGGCCGGGCTTCAGAGATTCATCCACTCACAGCAAATAACCAATTCTGGAGCGTTTAGTTAATCAACCATACCTAGTATTCACACAATGAATTTTGGTTCATTATTTTCTTATGTTTGAGAACAGTGTTGGGGTCATTGGGGGACAGAGCCACCTGGTGAAGGCTAGTGTCCCTGCCTTATGCATTTGATAGGCGCATAACCATGATAACGGCTAGCCCCATAAATGTGGCCTATTTACTGGACTACCTCCGTAAACATAGGCCACACATCCACATGTACAAAAACGTGTCGCACTTTGCCAAATTGTGATTTTCACATTTAGGCTTAGTAAGTTTGTAGGGTTTTTTGCTTTAGAAGCATACTCACCCTCTGAATAGGCTAATCAGAAAGTGCTGCCTTTTCCAAATGTCTATTTTTCGTGAAATTTCCAGATACATTTGCACACGTTTGCGTATCAAAATTTCAACATAAAGTTTCACAAAAATTAGACATCTGAAAAAGGTACATTTGATAGGCGCATTAGGGTACATCAACTATACTGGAAAATCAGGTAATGAAGTCGCATCCTCCCATGCCCCCCCCCCCCCCCAAAAAGTTAAAATTGAATTAAATTTAAGGCAGTGTATATTTTGCCGGAGACGGCAAACCTTTAGTAAACGTTAGTTTGCCGGATATGCACTGAACATGCGCAGTTACTGTTTTTTTGTACATTTTCCGGTGAAAAGTTTTAGTCTGGCTCCATGCCAAAATTATCGTTGTTACCTCGTATTCACAAGATGGAATTCAGACCATTTTATAATTTCGGACTTTATTTCCCTTTTAAAAAAAATCCTCCAGTGCCACAAATCTGAAAAAGAAAATGTAATAGTACTTAATACTCTGCAAAAAATGTTTGAGACATGTTAAAATAATAAAAGAAGAATATTCTTATTTATTTGGGGATGAGAAAAAAAAAAACTTAAAAATGTGGTGCGGTCGGAATCGAACGCGAGTCTTCCCGCTTGCTAGAGCCTTTGGCTTTGCTTAACCACTACACCAAACGTGCTATACAACTTTTAGTGGGAATTTAATACATCTTATAATTCAGCCCTATTTTAAAGAGTACAGCGCCCTCTGTTGATATGGATTGCCGCCGGCAAACCTTTAAGGCTTTAGTAATCGTTAGTTTGCCGTCATTAACTCCGGCAAAATATCCACTACCAATTTAAAAACCTGAGGTGTCCTATACAAACAAGCATGTGCATGACAAGTGTCACTGAGTGTGTAAACTTCACAATCAGCTAAGGCAGCTTTGGGAGATTGTGAAGTTTAGCTGAGGCTCATGGAGGAATTCCTCCATCATGTCCATGGTTTCCTTGAACATGTCGAGCATGGGGGATTGGAGGAAGGCCTACCTTGGTTTTATTCTTCGTCAGCGTTTGTGATTGATTGTCATTATTGATTGATGATGGTCAACATTTCATGCATACAACGGTAAATAATTTTGGCGCCCCCAACGTTCAAATTAGCATAATTTCACTGGTTCTCTAGGTAATTTATTATACAGCTCTATGGGTCGGAGGTCGAGTAAGCATGCAGAGTACCATCCAATTTAAATGGCACTAAAGAGAGCATGTGGTTCCAGCATGGCAGTTTTCAAATGAAGCATAAATTTCTTGCATTTCATGAACTGAAATGCCTTTATAAAATTATCATATTCGATTGAGAGAACACCCAAAAAGTTCTTCGACATTCCAGCTTTCACAATGAACAAGTCAAACATAAAAGAGGCCAATGAGCACCTTCAGAAACTGTACCAGCGGGTGCAGGACTTGGAGAGCACGGTGCAGGAACAGGCTGAGGCGATGATTCGCAAGGACGAGGAGGCCGGGGAAGCGCTCCGCGAGCTCGGCCGAAGCAAAGACCGCGAGATCGCCGAACTGCGGAAATCCTTGGAAGCCTCGGAGGTCCACGTCCAGCACCTCATGGGTTCCTGCCGGGACAAGGACGCCCAGATACTGCAGCTGAAACAGAGAAGCAGGATTCTGGAGGAGGTCTGCCAGGAACTGCCGTCGCTGGAAATCGTCGTGGGCGCCTTGAGGAAAACACCGCTTTCGCCGGGCATGCCGGGGAGCCGGCACGCTTCCGGGTTCGACCAGGGCGTGGCGGCGAACTCTGAGGGAGGGTCTCCCCTTCCGGTTGAGGGAGAACAGGAGGCGGGGAAACCGGGGGAACACTTGCAGAACAATATTTCAAGGAACTTTTCCATCTCGGATGATGATGATGAAAGACACTTGCCTTGAAGAAAAATGTCAACTTCAAGACATTGCAATTTAATAGCATCAACTGCGCAAAGATGTTTTCCATGTAAAAATAATATTTTTAAACCCCCTTTTCTATTGATAGTGCCTAAAAAAAATGCCATAAACCATGTCCTTTTTCCCACAAAAAATTGGAAAGATTCCCATTCCTTGCAGTAACCTATCACTCAGTATCGCCATCAGAAAGTTATACATATATGTCCTAATTTAAAGTCAAATTTAGCAGGAAAAGTATTGAAACATTTACCAAGAAAACACTCGGAAATTTTCAGGCCAGCCTCAAAGGGTTTGTGCACAGGGTGGCAAGTGACGTCCAGGTGTGGAAATCTTTCCACACAAAAAAATGTTATCGACTGTGATTTGTTAAGCACTGAAATAATCTGTTTACATTCCAAGAGCCTTTGATGAATTAGCCCGTGGCCTCGGTATTCCTGCGCTCGAGCTGAGGCCACACTAGTGGGGCTATTGCAAAATTAGACATTTTCATTTTTGAAATCACTGAATGTCCGTGAACGTTTGATTAGGTGGGCTGGAATTTTCAATCATAAAGAGAAATTCTTTTAAAAGGTACAAATGACCAAGTAAATCGTAAAAAAGGGAGGAGTGATACTTGGCAAACTGCCAAGTGAAAGTTTCATTTTCCCCCGTTGGTTTACTTAGCAAGTTAGTTATACAGTAGACTTGATGACAAGTCGTTAAATATTTTTGCATTTTGTCTGTGAACTTCAGTCAAACTCCATCGGCGCGGCTGGTAAAAGACTAGTACGTAATCAGCCGGGTTGCGACATAATTTTATCAGAAATAGTCAGCATCATTTGGTCTGGGAACCAGACTACGTGCATTGCAGCGATATGTTGCGAGCGTGGAGCCAGTAACCGATTACCCTACGCAAAACAAGTACCGACTCGGCACCAAGTCTAGTTGCATAGCAGTGGGCAAAACTACATTGATTTACATTAAAGACAAAACAAGTTGAGGCCAGTACACACTGTAGTTCAGTTTAGTTTAAATATCCACTATTTTGGTATTTATTTTCCATCTCGTTGTATGATAATATAAGGCTGAATTTTAAAAAACAACATGTTTCTCGTCTGGGTTTTGGGAAAAAAAGGAGGAAGAGGGGCTTTTTATTTTTTATTTTATTTCAAGATGGCCACCATTTTAAAATTTCATGCAACCGTTAGTGTTTCCACTGTTCAAAGACACTTTTAAAATGAAAGACAAGTTGAACAAGAGAACTGAACATATTTACATTGTCATTTAGAGTTGTATTGGTCTACAATGAGTTTTAGATGCATTTGCTTTAACCGCTAAAAGTTGTGATTCATTTCGATGTTTTTTTACTGCATTTTTCCAAAATAAAAAATAATTTAAAAAATCCAGGCGGCCTCCAAAAAGGAAGCAGGTGGGGACGAGAAACATGGGTTTTTTTTACTTCACCTAATAAGGCCCATTTATTTCTCATTGATCAATTTTAGTCAGCACCAATTTTTAAGCACAGGTTTTAAAAGGGTTCATGAAATGAATTGTTTTTAGAAACACATTTTTTACTATTCTTAAATGTATGAAGACTATTTGACATTCCTTTTTGGTTAATTTTATTGAAAAGTGCACTTCTTTAAATATTGTAAAATGTCCATGCTTTTCCGGACATCTGAGGGTGCTGATGCTGTTGCTGTGATGTCATTTCAGGAAGACACTCTCCAGTTTAGGGGTTTTCTGTTCAAATCGTGAACCCCAAAAATTGCTCATGGAAAACATTTGTGAGAAAAGTTTGCTCATTGGCTTACTGCCATTTTCTGACACTTGACAACGAATCACCAAAGAAAAGAACTTTCACGACAGCAAAACATCAAAAATTCTGGCAACTTTCAATGCTGAAATAGCTGTAACATGGAGGTTTCTGCCTGAAATGCTATCACACTTTTGCTCATGAATATGGAAATTTGCATCAGAATAAAAACAAAAAAGGCACCAAAATACCCTTGGATTGCAACACGAACATTTCATTGAAATTAAGGTTAAATGGGACACAAAAGGTGTATTTTCAAGAATTGCATTAAAAAATTCACATTGCATGGGTCCTGGCTTTAAAGGAAATATACAATATTTGCAAACAAAACTACCAAATTATTATGAAATATCTTACCAGCCCTTACTGGACTGTTAGTGAATGACAGTCTAAAGCATCCTTTAAAATCGGGGCACCTGGTGTGCTGACATTTTCAAAAAAAGTGGTATTTTTGTATCAATTTCCAACACTGGTTGGCCGACCATCGTTGGAAAAAAACTGGCTTTTTTCAAATACTGCCCCCAATTTACCATATTAAGTTAGTCCGCATTTTATTTGTCCATAAATGCTCTGTTTCATCTTAAGTGGAGTCAGGGAACCTGACTACAAGAACCTGATTGTTTTTCTTGGTTTTTCCAGCATCTACGATCACAAAACTGCAAACAAGTCAGTGTAACAATATCTGCCATAAACTACTAACCCCCCAAATCCATCCATTTCTGACAATTACACCAAAAGCAAATGTTGCATATTCCCTTTAAGGCAGAGTTGGAGAGCAGTGGTTTTGTATTGCATAGATAAGCATGAGTAAACATTTAGTAAGAACAGCTGTCATGGGAGATTAATTAAAGGGAATGTACATTTGTACATCATTGGCTTTTGCTGTAATTCTCAGAAATGAACTATTTGAGGGGTTAGTATAGTAGATCAAATATTGTTTAACTGATGTTTGACGTTTTGTGTTCGAAAATGCTTGAAAAACCAAGAAAAACAAAACTGTTTAGTCTGGTTCCCTGACTCCACTAAAGATAAAATGGATCAATTTATAGATGTCAGAAAATTGTAAGAAAAGGGAACCAGTCTAGCTGGCCTGCATCCGTTCATGAACATGTAACCAATAGCAAACAAAATTTGGACTGAAAAAAATTGTAAATTTGGAGCAGTAGTTGAAAAATAGTTAGGGTTTTCCAACGGTGGTCGGCCGACCACCGTTGGAAATGCATACAAAAATACCATTTTCTTGAAAATGACTTTACACCAGGTGCCATAATTTTACAGAATGCTTGAAACAGTCATTTACCAACATCCTAGTAAGGTATTTCGTAAAAACTTTGTAGTTTTATTTTTCAATCTTTGCAAATGTTGTATATTCCCTTTAACCCTAACAGTCTTTAAATTATATTACTATACCTCATAAATATTCATCAGGCAACCACAGCATCGTATTGGTCCATTCCAGCAACTCTTACTGTGTGAAAATTTTACTATTCCCCGCATCTTTGTACGCGGTGTTGGATGATTGGGACTGTTTGGATGATTGGGTCATCCAACACCTCAAGATCATTAGTTTTCACTATTTTCCCCACAAACCATGTTGTATTTGTATAATAAACACACCCTAGGAAGTTAGGGTTATTTACAATTTTTCATGTATTTATATCAGAATGAATAAATAGCCTTTTCATGAAACCTTCCTGTACAGTTCCACAATAAATATATTTATTTCTCAATATTTAATAAATTATATCTGCTGTTTTTTTGCATCATTTAAAAAAAAACGCCAAGTACAGTGACCTGTGACCATAGCTTTGAATTGAAATATCTGGAACCCTGACTCGTTCAACATGCTGCTGCATTAGGCAGTAGCCATGAATTTAAATATCTGGAACCCTGACTCTTTAACATGCTTCTGTATTATTAGGCAGTGTCTGAATCACCTATGGCTACGGCTAGGAATAACACGTGCACCTATGGAAGCCACTGGCTAGCCGCTGCAGCCACTTCACATAGACTTATGTGATAATAGTTTGGCTGTAGCTAGCCAAGTAAATCAGATACCACCTTACATCACATGACTTTGGGCCAAGCTCTAACATTATTTTGCAAATAATGCAAAATAATGTTAGAGCTCCTGCTCGTCACTTGTTGAATAGACTTCATGCACAAAGTACCCCCTCAATGGTTAAAAAAGGGAGAGTTGGGGGGGCCCTATTTGGAGGGACATTTGAATGCATGATTGACTGCACCTGATGCTCGAGTGGAGACGCTTGGAGCATGTGCACTTGCAAAATTAACCCTAACCATCCCAAATTCTCCAAAATCCTCTTTGTAAAATGGAGGATTTTGCAGGATTGAGGATATATGGCAAAAATGTGTGGCTGATTTTGGAGGATGCACTGTGTCGGGGTCTTGGGCCGGGCTTTGTCTTGTTTATGCTCAGCCGTGTATCAAGTTCGGCCTAGATTATACTAGAAATCCTCCGCACTGCTGCAGGATGTCACTGGCTCTGCCTCAACATATTGACAGTGATTCCTGGAGGATTTTGCAGGATTGAGGCAGTGGTCACCCCTCCAAGGACCACATTGGATTGAGGATTGAGGCTGTATGCAATTTTAACATGGAGGCAGTTGGAGGATTTTGCAGGATTGAGGTTGCATCCTAGCAAACATGCCTAGGGAGTTGGGGTTTAATAAGTCGTGCAAACAAAGCACCATACATGTGCAAACTAGTACGCGAATACAATATGGTCACACAGGCCATGTACTGTTCATTTATGGGGTCCATGTGTAGCAATGGTGTTTCTAAACTTGGGAGTAGGCCTGTATGGAATAATTGTAAATATTTATTACTATAATATAAACATTATTTACTAATAAAAACATGGGACACTAAACATTAATTTTTGACTTGCAAATGGCTATATTCGCCGGTCAAGGTTTCAGAACAATAGTGCTCATCCATGCTTCGTTATTGCATTGTTTTGCATAATTATTGATGATTACTGAATAACATACTACTCAGACAAGACTCGACTGTTGATAAGAAAATTACAAATGAAAATACGCTCCTGTGATAGCATTGTAAAGTAAAACAGAAATAAGCCAAAACTCTGGCAGAATACAGTTGCAAAAAAATCTTATTTTAAAATATTTCTGCATAGATTATTTTGATAATTTATAAGAATCACAACTTATGTACAACATATTTTGACATTTTTGGGAATTTACGCACGGTGATCAAAAGATTTCTGTACAAAGAATAACTTTGAGCAGAATATCTTCAAAAAATATTTGGCTTTTTTCATACATCTTAAAATATAAATAGCACAAGAGTTATCAAAAAAATCTTTTCCTACAAATTTAAATATTGGTGGGGAAACACGTCTCAAACAAATTGGACAGTAAAAAAGAGAAAAAAAATTGGGCGACTCCAAATGTTAAAAATTTCTTTGAATGGTTACCCCGTTAGTCAGGAATTACTGTCTGACAGACAGTAATTCAAATGTGGAGAAGTAAATCAATAATAAATGGTGGTGGATTTTTTTTCGTTTGATGACTTATTCAAAAGTGAATACATGTAACTTCTATATTGTTAGGAAAATAGCAAATAGGTCTCTCTCAAATGGCGTCACTTCCTACAGATTGCCACGTGCATCGGCATTTTGGGCGTCAAATTTGTGTGAGGCGCATCAGCTGCGCCGTATTTTGAAAACAAAAATCAACCACACGCGCGTGTTTAGAACATTTTGCACACTGCGGGCACAGCACCTGATGGCATTGAAGACGCAGTTGTAATTTGCCTACGAAGATTGCATCCTATGAGAGTCATCTATTGAAATAATAAACCTTTTTTTGAGGTGAAACTAAAAAAACAAAAACAAGGAATGCATGTTTTATTGAAATTTATTTATCTGGAAATGTCAGCACGCAGGGTAACTGAGACCATTACAGATTTTATGGAGTTGCCCAAGTTCACTAGAATATTTGTATAACCTCGCCCCATTCCTCCCGATCCCACTGTCCGTTAGGTCTGACGTTTGGGGGGCTCCTTTTCCAATCCCACGTCGTGACTTTCTGGTTCCATTCCTTGCCGTAGTTGGCTTCAATGTATCGCTTGGTGTCGCACGGAACCCGCACCCTCAGCTCCAGTAGCTCCGCCCAGCAAAGGGTGAACTTGGGGAAGACGTATCTGGAAACAAAAACCATACAAACACACAATGTTATTGCAAACAGGCCCAGTTCCGAGCTTAATTGATGACAACAGCACCCCACAGCCCCACCCAACTCCACCCCCACCCACCCTCCATTCTCTCAACCCTAGCAAGAAAAACAGATGTGCTTCATTTAAAGTTGCATTTATTACCTGTGCTCTTCAACAAATTCGAATTTTTTTTTATCCCAACCCCTTTGAGTGATTTACTAGGAATCTTCCTCCCTCCTGCAAATTCCAACACCATGGTAAACTCAACACCTAAACTGTTGGACTCTGATTATGGTGGTATGCCTTCCGCAGACGTGTAAGATAAACCACATTCTGTGTGTAATGTATGTGACACACACAACGTGTATCGTACATGTACATTGAATGAAAACGACAGGAAAAACGTATGCGTACTCCCCCGCGTCCGATGTAAACAACCAGGTTTTTTAGTCCTTTCTTATGAACGGTAAGACATTAAGTTAGTTTCCTTTCAACTAGAGCTTTTAAATAGTGTAAGTATAAACAATCTGAAACATGACATTTTCAGGGATTTCAGGCCGTAATGCACCTTTAAGTATTACAGGTACAACATTTGCCACAATAACCCTCCTATGCAAACATACATTCTGTGCCAAGTTGTCCTTTCAGTCAAAATCAATCAAGTGACTATTTTCAACAGTTAAGAGCTCCCAGCCTACATAAAGCAGGATTGACTGGCTGTGACTTTTTATGTAGCTAAACTTGATACAGTTGTGCTTTGACTGTAGGTGATTGATAAGACAGCTGTGCCACCAGTTTTCTGCTTTTTTTTCCGTTGACTGAATTTGACTAGTCAGAGTGCTTGCCTCAAATATGATCTGACTGTTTGTGACTAGCCCTGTAAAAGGCATGGCTGGGGAAGCGGATGGAATTTTTTGACTGTCTGTGACTGTTTAAATAGTAGGAGGGTTAAAGACATTAAAACTACCACATTATTTTGAAAAAGCAAAACATTCCACAGAATTTTTTTTTTTTAATCATCTTAAACTAAAGTCATTACTCAATGTTTACTTCTTGTCTCATGTGTATGTTGACTGAATTTGACTAGTCAGAGTGCTTGCCTGAAATATGATCTGACTGTTTGTGACTAGCCCCTGTAAAAGGCATCGGTGGGGAAGCGGATGGAATTTTTTGACTGTCTGTGACTGTTTAAATAGGAGGGTTAAAGACATTAAAACTACCAAATGATTGTGAAAAAGCAAAACATTCCAAAGAATTTTTTTTTTTAATCATCTTAAACTAAAGTCATTACTCAATGTTTACTTCTTGTCTCATGTGTATGTTTTCTATAAATGTCATTATTCCACTAATTGATGCATTGTTCTCGTGCACGTGCCTCAGGTGTTCCCGTGCACGTGCCTCACGTGCTCCGCATACGCTCGTTAGAGGGTTTCTTGGAATAGGTATAAGAGTGACGCATGACACCTTAAAACAGTAATGCTAATGAGCACCGTTGTATGTAGCAGAAGTGTTTTCCGAAACCTTAAAGTTGATTCGTGCTGTTCTCGAGTTTCATCCTGAAAACCACACGTAGACGCCTTTTCTAAATTGTGGTTTTTTTTCTTGCGATGGAACAGTTGTTCACTTTTGAATGAGACATCGAGCAAAAAAAAAATTGGCCCACATTTAGTTATTGAATTTATTACTGATTTGGGACAATTTTGGAGAAATTTCTCTAAAAACACTGCAGAAACTTTGAACGAAGCATTGAATTTTATATCAATCACAGGCTAATCACTAAGCAATCTTTAAAGGGAAAATACAACATTTGCAAACATCAAAAAATAAAACTACCAAATCATTTTGAAATACCTTGCTGGACTGTTAGTGAATGACAGTGTAAAGCATCCTATAAAATCATGGCACCTGGTAAACTGTCATTTTCAAGAAAAGTGGTATATTTGTATAAATTTCCAACGCTGATCGGCCGATCAGCGTTGGAAACAACTGGCTTTTTTTTCAAATACTGGCCCCAATTGACCATCGCACTTGTTTGCAATCGATTACAAACCTATGAACGGGTACGAGCCAGCTAGACTGGTTCCCTGATCTTACAATTCCCCAATGTATGTAAACTGCTCTGTTTCTTCTTATATGGAGTCAGGGAACCAGACTACAGGAAAATGATCGTTTTTCTTGGTTTTATAGCATTTTCGAACCCAAAACCTTTGAGGTGGGGGTAAGGGGAGGGGGGGGGGTGAGAGTGTAGTCACACCCCGACACTTCTAATTGGGGGAAGGGGGGCCACAGGGATGCAACCCTACCCCGAACTGCCTGTGCATGTGCCATAATTGGCGCAAATGTCCGGACAAATTTAAACTTACTTGTATTTATTTCCGGAACGTACTTCGGTGCCGCCGTTCCACATGTGATCTTTTTCATCGTAGAAAAAAAAGATATCCAGCTTGATGCCGTCATCCACGAACGACAACTCAAAACTGTCCGAAATCTGTTGTAAAAAAGACAAAAAAATTGACATGTCCATGCCTGAATAATTGTTGCTGTAAATTGTCTAAATTTTGAATTGTATTTTGATTCAAAGGTAAAAAAAAAATTAAAATAATCAAATACAATATTGATGCTTGTATTAGGCCAAAAAAAAATATTCGGTCTCTGGTCAGACCAAAGTTCCGGAATTGATGCGGTGATGCAGTTTTTTTTTTGGGGGGGGGGGCCTTTTTTTTTTTGGAAGCTTGGATTGTACAGACAAGGTGGGTACTATTTTGCTTTTGTTGTGTCCTCATATACATTGGGGACCTCCATAATTTGCCTTGGTGCCCTCCATCATTTGCCTTGGTGCAATTTCCCCATTCCTTGGTACAAAAATTTGAGGAAGGTGCGGCAATAGAGGGCGCTGCTGTAGCTACCGCGGACAATTTGAAGAAAAAAAAGGTTGACGCGCATGATTAAAATCGATGCGCGAGCTGACCAGAGACCGAATTTTTTTTTTTTTGGCATTTATAAACAGACATATGTGAGCTGTTCTAGCAAAATGAGACGGAACTCAGCACAGGCCTTAGTGGAGAAAAATGAAGCAAAAAAAAACCAACACATTAGGCCCCCCAAAAAAAGTCTCCGGTTTCTGGTATACGCGCGCGTCGCCGTAGCCATGCACGTCGGCAAAATGAAAAAGTTTTTTTTTCAATACAAGATGATGTTTCAAAACCGCCAAACTCACTGGTTTGACTGGAATTCTGCTGCTGCACAATTTTAACGTGTTTTTAGATGGGGATATGATCGAGAATAAGATTTATGTGGCCTCTCTGGACTCCCATATATTTGCACTAAGTTTAGTCGGGCATCATTTGCAGTCATTAGCCGACATTTGAAGCCAAAAAAAAAAAAAAAAACAGGTAAAAAAAAAAAAAAAGCCGCATCGCCGCACCACTTTTGGGGCAAGCTCCATACCAGAAACCGGAGACTTTTTTTTTTTGGCCTTAGGGGGATTTTTTCCAATTTTCAGATTTATTGATATTTGTAATCTTTGATACCACACATATTTTATAAAACAAACAATTTGAAAGCGGCTGATCTTACCCTCCCAAACTGGTGTTTGAGAGTGAGCCCTCTTGAGTCAAATTCTTGTATAATCTGGCTGTTATAGTCTTTTATCCACATGCCGAAATCCACGTCCTGGCTGTGGGCAATGATGTCGCACTCACGGAACCAGCCTGGAGGTAAACAACAACAAAAACAAAACAATCAACAAATAAACTTGAAAATAAACATTAAAGAGATATATTTCAAAAATTCTAAATACCGGTAAGAGGGAATCTCGACATGGGAAACCATAGAAAAACGAAATAGATGTTAGTTAAGCACAATCGTGGGTGTCGATCAATGGGGGACATGTCGTCCCCCCCCCTTTTTAAAGTGGGGAAATATCATACTGTTTGTCACCCCCCCCCCTTTCTTTTGGTCCCTGAATATAAATTGTGGCCTACAATTGATTCTATAGCTCAGAATAGCTGATGCAATGACTCCAAACTTGAAGATTGATGTTTAAATGATGATCTTTTGCTAAAAATAAAATGGTTAAAGTGGTCAGAAATTGCCTCACATCACACCACAGAGTGTCTAGAATCCAAAACTTTAAGGTCCCGGACCCCACGCTGTTACGGATTCGCACTCACGTTAGTTCTGATCAAGGTATGTCGTCCCCCCCCCTCCCCTCCCCCCCCCCTCACTTTTGAGAAGCGATTGAAGCCCTTGAGCACAACTGGTTTGGGCAGTTTCTGTAGTGTACGTCATTGAAGCTAACGAATACCCTAGACACCACATGGCACGTTAGGCAGCACGTGCAAGAAACAGCTGCTCTGTATTAAAGGGAATATACATCATTTGCTTTTGCTGTAATTTTCAGATATGGATGGAATTTGGGGGTTGGAAATATATAGCAACTATAGTTACACTGACTTTTTTGAGGTTTTGGGTTCGAAAATGCTATAAAAACCAAGAAAAACAATCATTTTCCTGTAGTCTGGTTCCCTGACTCCATATAAGAAGAAACAGAGCAGTTTACATACATTGGGGAATTGTAAGGTCAGGGAACCAGTCTAGCTGGCTTGTACCCGTTCATTGGTGTGTAATCGATTGTAAACAAGTGCGATGGTCAATTGGGGCCAGCATTTTGAAAAAAGCCAGTTTTTTCCAATGCTGGTCGGCCAACCAGCGTTGGAAATTGATACAAAAATACCACTTTTCTTGAAAATGACAGTATACCAGGTGCCATGATTTTATAGGATGCTTTACACTGTCATTCACTAACAGTCCAGCAAGGTATTTCAAAATGATTTGGTAGTTTTATTTTTTGATGTTTGCAAATGTTGTATTTTCCCTTTAAAGTGACACTTGTACTGCAGTCAACAAGTGCAATTTTAGACTAAATAAGTTGGCGGCATGGTGGTGCGTTCAAGTCGGTATCCAAAAAAAAAAAAGTTGGGACATGTGAGGTCCTGTTTCAAAATGAAGAACAAATTCTGACATGTTGCTAGAAAGTATTACAGATTTTTTTTAAATTGGTGTTGGGGGGGGGGGGGTGGGAAGGGAGGAATTTTAGGGTCTTCAAATTTTTAGAATAACCCCATGTTTGAACAGAAGACAGAAAACCTGTGACTTTTTAGTGCTGAGTACACAGAGCACTATTACTTTTATACTATTGGTTATCAAAACAGGTTTATTTTTCACTTTTTTTTTTAATTTGGTAACAATTTTGCACAGGTAATCTTCTCATTCCTACACCATGGGAACAAAGGCACTTCACTTTAACATGCGGCCACTCATGTCTTTGTGGTGAGTGGCCAGAATTTGTATACAAATTACACCAGTGCAGATTGGACAATTCGAGACCCAGAGCCATGAAATTCTTTCTCTGGACGCACAAAACCACAGAGGACAGTGTGACTATCAAAGTGAAATATACAGGGTGTATAAAAAAAAAATGCAAACTAAATATAACGGAATGCCAGACGTAGAATGTGTAAGCAACATAGATAATATTGGTATGGTTTGAAAGATACACCTTTCCACTTTAAAATGAGACATCAAACGTCCAAATCTGATAATTTTTGACAGAATTAGGAGTAATTTTCAAAGCGAGGTCAAATTATTGACCAAGGGACCAAGCTTTCAATTTAAGGCATTGGGACAAATGTAGCCTAATTGCCTCTGTGTGGATGTTTGCCTGGCCTACAAAAAATGTGTTTAGCGAGTTAACACAATTCTGAACACTTTCTTGCTATCACCTCATGCTAAAAAGGTTTAGCATGTAAACATGTTTACAAACTGATAGCGAGAAAATGTTTAGAATTGTGTTTACTCGCTAAAGACATTTTTTTGGTAGACCAGGCAAATATCTACACAGGGGCAATTAGCCTACCTTTGTCCCAACGCCTAAAATTGAAAACTTGGTTCCATGGTCAATTTGACCTCTCTTGGAAAATTACTCATAACTCTGTCTAAAATTATCACATTTGGACGTTTGATGTGTCATTTTAAAGTGGAAAGGCGAATCTTTCAAACCATACCTGTATTATCTACGTTGGTTACACATTCTAGGTCTGGCATTTCGATCTGATACACCGTGCCCTCTGGAGACGTGTGTACAATAGGGAACAAAAGATTGTATACGTCTCCACAGGGCAATTTCTATGAGATGAATACGTCTCCACAAGGTTTTCACGAAATAGATATATGGATTTTACTCAAAAACTAGGAATTTCTAAGCTATGTTGATCCGTCGCAAATGGAAGAGTTTTAGAAAAGGGGTATTAAGTCCAAATTTCAGCCAAGGAAATTAATTCTGGTTAAAATAAGAGCATTTTGAAACTACATTTTCAAACTCGAAAACTTTAGTACACGAGAACAAAGTAATGTCTCCACAAGGATACAACTTTCAGTATGTATGTTATATTTTGTTTGCATTTTTTTTTATACACACTGTATAAACACAGCTTGTCTAGCGAGACATGTCAAACACTCCCCCCTGGGAAGTAAAGATCGGAGATACACTGATCGTTAGTAGCGATAACAGGGCATTCACCTAAGCAGGTGCCGCTACTGAGCCAGAATCGGATGCCGAGCTCGTCCAGGACCCGTTTGCCCTTTTCTAGAAGGTCCCGAGCAGACTGGCGGAAGGCCAGAGCCTCGGGGGTCCCGTCGCGCCCGTAGCTCCGCCCGAAGGCCCTCGCCTGGTCGTAATTGCACTCCAGGTGTCGCGAGAACGGGATCTGCTCCAGAAACCGGTTGATGTCCTTCGGGATGCGTAGGTTGACGCCGTCGGCTCGTCTGGTTCGAAACTCCATTCTGAGTGAGGGGTGAAAATTGTATGAAAATGTGTAAAACTAACATTGGCTGTGATGCTGATTTTTTTTTTTTTTTTTTTTTTTTTTCGAGGGGTCTTTTTTTAATTGTTAAAGGCAACCAGACTATAGAGCAAGGTTGTCAATGTAGTCAGCTTTTGAAAAATGGGTGTTCGAATTTGCCTTTAATAAGGGAATAAATGTGCGCTTGGGAGGTGTTAAACACCATGTTTAAGACTGGTTGGAGTTTGGAATGCTGATAATTACCCAGGGCGAAGCCGAGGGCAATTATCAGCATTCCAGACTCCAACCAGTCTTAAACATAGTGTTTAATACTGACCAAGCACATATTTATTCCCATTCATGAATACTTTTTCGGTCAAAAAATCTAAACTTTTCGGTCCATGAGTCAAAACAAAGTCAAAAATAAGTTTTACTTTTTGTTTTTCGAAACACCCCTTTAGCTATATATATAATAATGGAGTGTCCAGCTCGTGAGTAAGATGTAAACAACTTCTTTTATGGAGATTGGCGCACGTCGCGCGTACTGCGGGATGATGTGCAGATGCAGCTGTGGTGAGTGTGTGGCAAGGCCAAATTTATCTTGTATATTTTTCATGTATGAAGTGTATAGTATATAGGAGTAGCTCCCCTTTAGAACAAAAAGAAATCATTTTAGTTTTACTTAAGATTCCCCCCCCCCCCTTTCTTGGTATATGTAGTGTGTCCCCCTGGTTGTTTACTTTAGCCCACATGTTCCCCCTACATAAGCTGCCACATGGTCCAGCCACACTTTAGTTCAATCAGCAGAAACTTGAAACTTGAAGAAAAGAAACCCTCTCTTTAAGGTCCACTTTATACAACACTGTGTTGGTTAAATACTTTTGGTTCTTTTGGTTTAAGTCTTTGGTTTTTTTAGGTTTAAGTTTTGGTTTTTAGTCTTTGCTCTTACTTGATTTTCGTGGTCTTGGTTTTATAATTATCTGGTCATTTTGAAAGTTCTTGTAAATAAATTCTTTTTTGTCTTTTTTTTTGTTCGAAATCTAGAATTTGTGTCCCTTGTCTCTATTAATTCAATCTCCTCGCGCCTTTTCTCTTCAAAGATCCTGAGTTTAGTTTAGTTTTGTTTAAGTTAATCCCCATTGAGTCTTAAGTTTTTGCGAGTTCCCCAAGTGTGTCATTTTTCCAGGTTACAAGTGCGTTGTGAATTTAGGACTATGAAATACTGACTCATTGGTAGTATTGCGCATGCCTACTTGAGGATTGTGAACGTCCAACCAATAACATGGTAAAAGGCACTGGATTTCATAGGAGTCCAAATTTCATATGACACTGGAAAAGTGTTTAAGACCAGCCAGCCATGTCTTTATCATCCTTTTAAGACCGGCCACGTGATGGGCTCTCGACCAATGGGAATGGGTAAACTGTCTTAGGTATTTATGAATTGAAAATTATGTTGTACAAATATGCAATATGCCAAGGTCCAGTGATTACGGTGTTTGACTCATGTACGATGGAGCATGGGTTCGAACCCTGCCAGGAATAGGGTGTTTGTGCCCTTGGGCAAGACACTTGACTACAATTGCCTCTCTCCACCCAGGAGTATGAATGTGTACCTGTGAGTGTAGAAGACCGAATGTGCGTTGATATCCGCTGCCGCGTGGTCTCGTGGCCTGATGAACGGGGAAATAATTGTAAAGCATTCTGAGATTATTCATACGATGGAAGGCGCTTAACCCTCCTGCTATTTAAGCAGTCACAGACAGTCAAAATTCACTTCCACTTCCCCTGCTAGACTTTTAACACAGGCTAGTCACCAGCAGTCAGATCACATATCAAGCAAGCACTGTGACTAGTCAAATTCAGTCAACAGACAAAAGCAGGCAAGCTGTGGTTACAGCTGTTTGACCACTCACCCGGAGTCAAAGCATAGATGTATCGAGTTACTTAAACAGTCCAAGGCAGTCAATACTGCTTTATGTGGGCTGGAAATTCTTAAGGGTTGAAAAAAATCACTTGATTGATTTTGACTGCTAGGACAACTTGGCATAGAATGTATGTTTGCATAGGAGTATTACAATTTATTTTACTTATTTTGTTTTGTACTTCGGAGGGGAAAAGTGAATGACAACCAAATATAAACAAACATACCGGGGGGCAATTAGCATTACAAATATATCAGCATTACAAACATATTTAGAAAGATGATATTCAAAGAAACGGTTGTGCATGTTGAAATTTACAAAAGAGGATTAAGGACAAGAAATGCACACCCACAATCGTGGTTTATAATCTGTCTTGTGTAAGGCTTCGGGGAGCTGACAAAATATATCCCTTGATTGATGCCGATGGCTCAAACAGATGAGCAGATAAACTCATCGGACTCAAACCACCATCTTGTCAATCTGACCTTTTCCGGTGTCATTCCCAAGATGCGATGCGTAGATTAGATGGGGTTTACCGTGGCCAAATCGAGGTTTCACTCGTGCATGCCCCGACTCGCCCTAAAGGATTATACAACAGCTGCTCTTGCTGTATTTTTTCAGGAAATGGACGGACTTGGGGGTTAGTATTTTGTAGCAAATATTGTTACACTGACTTGTTTGAAGTTTTGGATTCAAAGATGCTGGAAAAACCATGGACAGCTAGAAAAATGGCTTTTTTTAGTAAAACATGTACAATTCTGACAGCATGGATCAATTTCAGTAATTCTTTTTTTTTTCAGATGAGTGGAAGAACATGCTCTTTTGAGACGTACTTCATTGGTGTTTCAAATTTGATTGCTTTTTAGGAGGAAAAAATATAATTAATCCAGGTCAATTTTTTTTTACTCGCCCTGTATAATACCAAAACTGGTTGTGGTTTTTGTTTGTTTGTTTGTTTTCTTGTATTTTGGGTTTTTTCTGGGGCCCACCTTGGTGTCCTTGTAACTTTTATGATTTGCATATTTCAGGTCCATGTTGTCAGATAACAGTTTGCAGAACACACTTTTATAGGCGAAGTAAAAAAAAAACATGTTTCTCGTCCCCGCCCGCTTCCTTTTTGGAGGCCGCCTGGATTTTTTTATTATGTTTTATTTTTGAAAAATGCAATAAAAAAAACCACCGAAAAAGTCCACAAATTCATCGGAAAATAAATTGTAGATCAATACAAGTCTAAATGACACTGTAAATATGTTCAGTTCTCTTGTCCAACTTATCTTTCATTTTAAAAGTGTCTTCGAACAGTGGAAACACCAACAATTGCGGGAAATTTTTAAATGGCGGCCATCTTGAAACAAATAAAAGTAAAAAATAAAAAGCCCCCCTTCCGAAAACCAAAAACCCTTTCGAAAACCCGGACGAGAAACATGTTTGTTTGTTTATTCGGCCTTAGTTCTGTTACTGTTTGATGCCAGAACATTTTTATCACTGACAATCCTTCGAATGACATTTATATTACATGTACATTCATAAATACCTAAGACAGTTTACCCATTCCTATTGGCCAAGAGCCCATCACGTGGCTGGTATTGAACGGTCGATAAAGACATGGCTGGCTTGTCTTAAAACACTTTCCCAGTGTCACATGAAATTTGGACTCCTATTAAATCCGGTGCCAGCACCGTTTTATTGGTTGAACCTTCACAATCCTGAAGTAGGCATGCGCAGTACTACCGGTGAGTCAGTATTTCATAGTCCTAAATTCACACTACACCGGTGCATCTGCATTCTGCGCGACATCACGCAGTACGCGCAACGTGCGCGCCAATCTCTATATAAGGAGTTGTTTACCAGAGGGCATTGTAAAGCTAGAGGGGTGTTTTGTTGAACAAAATCGTTGGAAATTTATAACTTTTGACTTTTTTGTTACTCTTGTGGACCGAAAAGTTTTAATTTTTTTTGACCGAAAAAGGTATTTATGAATGGGGATAAATATGTGCTTGGCCAGTATTAAACACTATGTTTTAGACCGGTTAAAGTCTGGATGCTGATAATTACACTCGCCTTCGGCTCTGGTAATTATCAGCACCCAGACTCCAACTGGTCTAAAACAGAGTGTTTAATACCTCCCAAAAGTTTTATTTTTTTTTGACTGAAAAGGTATTTATGAATGGGAATAAACTTGTGCTTGGCCAGTATTAAACACTATGTTTTAGACCGGTTGGAGTCTGGATGCTGATAATTACACTCGCCTTCAGCTCTGGTAATTATCAGCACCCAGACTCCAACCGGTCTTAAACAGAGTGTTTAATACCTCCCAATCACACATTTATTCCATTATTTCTTTACCCAGGGTACACCAAAACAGCTAGGAACAATTTTCCATTTGAGCCCTGCATGCATTACAAATTATCATTTAAAGTCAAAGCAAAGTAAACAAAGTAAAATCCAAAATGGAAAAAAATGCATTGCTGGAACAGACGTTGAACATCAATTCTTACACAAGGACCTTCAAAATAAATATATGAAAAAAAGCTTAAGTAGACTGCATCATTTGCTGATTACGGGACGGGCAAAACCCCCGCGAAAACCCTTTTGGGAAATGGGAAAATTCCCATCCGGCTCCAAATTACCATGGCAACCAAGCTTAATAACTCCATAGATCAGCGCATTTGGAATTAGCAGGTTCATGGCAGAAATATCGCTGATTGATAGCTTTAGGTAATGTTGCTTTGAATATGGTCAGGGAATTCGACATCCCTACTTAGCTCATGAAAATGGAAATGTCCACTGGCTGTAGCTGGCATAAGTACCTAAATGTCTGCAAAACATGCTTAGAAATGGCCATCGAAAGACTTGGAATGAACTTGAATTGGACCAAAACGTGAAATTGTAGGGTTCTATATTTTTGACAAATATTTTCACATAGTGCTTGGATTTAAAGGGAATGTACATCACTGGCTTTTGCTGTAATTTTCAGAAATGAACTATTTGAGGGGTAAGTATAATAGATCAAATATTGTTACACTGACGTGTTTGAATTTTTGTGTTCGAACATGCTGGGAAAACCAAGCAAAAACAAAAATGTTCAAGTAGTCTGGTTCCCTGACTCCACTAAAGATGAAATGGATCAATTTATAGATGCCGGAAAATTGTAAACTAAGGGAACCAGTCTAGCTGGCCTTCACCCGTTCATGAACATGTAACCAATAGCAAACAAAATTTGGACTGACAAAAAGGGTAAATTTGGAGCAGTAGTTGAAAAATAGTTCGGTTTTTCCAATGGTGGTTGGCCGACCACCGTTGGAAATGTATACAAAAACACCATTTTCTTGAAAATGACTTCACACCAGGTGCCGTAATTTTACAGGATGCTTTAGACTGTCATTTACCAACATCCTAGGAAGGCATTTTGTAAAAGCTTTGTAGTTTTATTTTTGGATGTTTGCAAATATTGTATATTCCCTTTAAATCCGGATTTTTAAAAATTTGGTTTGAATTTCACTTTTCGAATTCATTTATTTTTGGAAACTAAATATATTAAAAACCAAACTTTAAAAAATTAAGCCTTCCATTTTTTGTTACACAGACTGAAGAAAACAACTGGAACATCCCCCAATTTGCTCCATGGTCTCTGATTGTAACTGCATTCACTTGCTAGTGGTCTTCTTGGTTCATGAATAGCCTGCCCATTTAAATTATCAGAGAGTTCCCATCAAATTTTTTTTTAACATTACAGCTCTGGAGTGTTTTTGTAAAGGCCCAGTGGTCACTGAATCCTGCAAACTATACCCAGTCATTGGGAGGGCATTTCATGTGGCACCTCACTCGTCACTTTTTGTTGGCGTTGACTGTGAGCTGGATGGGAACTTCCGGTGAAATCAGATAATTGTTATTCGGTTTGAAAACAAGTGCGACTGCACAATAAGCTCTGGCTGTCTTGCATGAAAGTCTTGCGTGAAATGATACAATTACTCACTTGGTTGTGATTGTCAATTGGCAGCCCCTACCCTAATTTTTTATGTGGAAAAAATGAGAAAAAAAACACCCAAAACCATCAATTACTACTTTTTACCCTTGACTACACGCAGACGCCTCCATATGATCGGACACCAAAAAAATTTCCAAAAAAAAAAAGTTCCCTACCTACCAACCCTATTTTCCAATGCCATGTAATCGGAAGCAGAATAATGTTTTTTGCCTCATCCCTATATAGGCCATGGAGACTCAAAAACCTGACACATGGCCAGAGGCAGGGGTGATGTATAGTCACATGTGTGTAGAAGCCCCTAAGTTCCTAACCATTACATACCACGTGACATTTACATATACCACATTTTCTTGCCTCCATGAACACAATTTTCATAAATAACTCCACGAATTGTTACAATTTTTGTCAAGTATTAATTTTAATGTATTTTGTTTTTTGTTTTTTGGACAGTTACAATTTGGTACTTACAGTTTTATGGGTGAGTTAGGGGGTTTTTTGGGTCAATTTTTTTTGTCGGGACCGACCGACCAACACCAAAGTGACTTGTAAAAGCTCTAATGCCAGAGCTTAAAAATTAGGATAACCGGATTTTGAAATCTCTGACTTCACCCACCACTAATTTCACAGTATTACCTAAGTCATTTTCCCATTCATGTTTTTTTTCAAATTGACGTACTTGTCATAAGCTCCAGCAAAGGTCCCACCAAATTTCAGTTTACGGAGGTTGAGGTTCTGGAAGCACGGTGACAGCAGGGACATTCTTCGGGACGACAATTGATCGGCTCGGGCCGCGCCGTGCCACAGGTAGCTGCCGGCGCGCTCGTAGAACACCACGAGATGGATAAACTGGCCCGAGTACTCAAAGAGGTAGTGAAGTGGGATCTCTCCCGTTTCCTGGTTGTCGACGGTGATAAGGCGCGGGTCGGGGCCGTACAATACCGTACATCTTATGTCGATATGCTCCTCAAGGAACAGGAGAAAATCCTGCATGGAGCAAATTAAAATGAAAACTGCTTCTTATTTCAATTCCGAAGATTTGAAATGACCGAAGTTTATACGCATGCGTGGCAGAGCCAGAATTTGCTGAGAATTTCATGTTTTTGTTGTGAAATAATAAATTAGGAGTGGTTCCCCCTGGATAATTTTCCTGTGTTTAGTTAGGTGTGTCCCCCATTTGTTTATTTAAAAGGGAAAATACAACATTTGCAAACATCAAAAAATAAAACTACCAAATCATTTTGAAATACCTTGCTGGACTGTTAGTGAATGACAGTGTAATGCATCCTGTAAAATCATGGCACCTGGTATACTGTCATTTTCAAGAAAAGTGGTATTTTTGTATCAATTTCCAACGCTGGTCGGCCGACCAGCGTTGGGAAAAAAACTGGCTTTTTTTCAAATAATGGCCCCAATTGACCATCGCACTTGTTTGCAATCGATTACACACCTATGAACGGGTACAAGCCAGCTAGACTGGTTCCCTGACCTTACAGTTCCCCAATGTATGTAAACTGCTCTGTTTCTTCTTATATGGAGTCAGGGAACCAGACTACAGGAAAATGATTGTTTTTCTTGGTTTTTATAGCATTTTCGAACCCAAAACCTCAAAAAAGTCAGTGTAACTATATTTGCTATATATTTCCAACCCCCCAATTCCATCCATTTCTGAAAATTACAGCAAAAGCAAATGATGTATATACCCTTTTAAGCCCTAGATTTCCCCTCTATTTAATTTTTGCCACTTTAGCCACATTCATTCGGTACAGCAGGCCAGCAGAGAAGAATTTACTCTTCACCCTCTTAACTAGAGTGGTGCGTTCTGCTTGGATCTTGTCCGCTGCAGTCATTGATTTCAGTCAAAGTGTGCTTTTAACCACTTCGCGCTGGGATTATTTTTTTGCTGAAAATTTTGATTTTCACAAAAGGCAAAATTTTCCAGCCAACTTCTGATATAAACAGCCAAACGCCACACATACTGATTCGCAAGAGTCATTCTAACAGTATTTGTAGGATAGTTCTTGCCGAAACCTTATGTTTCAATTCTCCAAGATGTGCACTGGAGCGTAAATTGTTGAACAACAGGCCGTGCATAATAGCCAATTCAAGATCAACACACGGTCCGCCTCCACAGACTTCACGGACTTTGTGTGTGTGTGTACAAAAAGCACGAGGGATTAGTGTGTTTAGACGTCACCCGGAGGCGAGTCCTGGCAATTTTGACGTTTTGACCCATCAGCCGTGCCAGTGCATAAAATCAGCCTGTGCGTGTTATCACGTCCTCCATTGCAAACTGGTCAGGATCCAGTATTTCCCACTGTGTCATTTTTCCAGGTTACACATGGATATAAATTGAAACATAAAGTGGAATATGATACAATATGTCCATGCAGTACATGAACACAACTAGAAGCATTCTATTTTTAACCAAAAAGATCATACTTGTGTCGGTAAGTTGCTTTTCAATTTCATTTCATTATATCAAAGTTATTAAGTACTGATTTGTACACAGTGAAAAAAATCTTACTTGGGATATTAAGCGTGAATCCAGAACCCCAAACGTTGTAACGTTGCGTTCTCCACACAAATGTTTACATTTGCCCGGGACTGACTCTTTCATTTCTGTCCTCCACAGTAGTGCAATGCTCGTCAGACAGTCCGGTTCAATCAAAAACACTGGCACGCTGAACTTTGCAGAAGCGTCAGCAAAAACTTTGGTTGCTCTCTTAAAATCAAAATAAAAGGAAGTCTCGGTTTTAGCAAACAGAAAATGTTGGTGCACGATAATGGTAACGGTACTGAAATAACTGCAACATTAGGCCTAGCAGAAGATTTGCAAGATATAGGATGTAGCCAAGACCTTAGTGACTGATAAGGCCGACAAAAAAAAGTCTCCGGTTTCTGGATCTGATACACCGTGCCCTCTGGAGACGTGCACACAATAGGAAGCAAAAGATTGTATACGTCTCCACAGGGCAATTTCTATAGATGAATACGTCTCCACAAGGTTTTAAAGAAATAGATATATGGATTTTACTCAAAAACTAGGAATTTCCAAAGTGGGTTGATCTGTTGCAAATGGAAGAGTTTTAGAAAAGGGATTATTAAGTCCGAATTTCAGCCAAGGAAATTAATTCTGGTTAAGAATAAGAGCATTTTGAAACTTCACTTTCAAACTCGAAAACTTTACTACACGAGAACAAAGAAATGTCTCCACAAGGATACAAATTTCAGTATGAGTGTATGGAGCTTGCCCCAAAAGTGGTGCACCGACATCGACGCGGGTTTGCTGACTTTTATTTTTGGCCTAATGGACAGCCACTGCATGGCCAATTGTCACAGTGGTCTGCTCTTGCATGACCGGTTAAATAGGACCATCCTTTATTTTCCTTTGTAACCTGTGTAGTAACCAGGGGTTACGTCTCGATAGTCCGAAGTACCATTGGTCCGAAGTCCCATTGGTCCAAAGTCCCATTGGTCCGAAGTCCCATTGGTCCCAAGTCCCATCGGTCCCAAGTCCCATCGGTCCGAAGTACCATCGGTCCGAAGTCCCATTGGTCTGAAGTCCCATTGGTCCGAAACATAATACTGTGTAGTTCCACTTGTTCAGGCCACTGACCCTAACCCTTACCCTTACCCTAATCCAATGGGGCGTCGGACCAATGGTACTTCAGACCAATGGGCCGTCGGACCAATGGGACTTCGGACCAATGGGACTTCAGACCAATGAGATGTCGGACCAATGGGACTTCGGACCAATGGGACTTCGGACCAATGGGACTTCGGACCAATGGTACTTCGGACTATAGAGACGTCCCCGTAACCAGGTATGGGTAGTTGTGCATCTTTACCAAAAATAAAGTCGTCAACCGGTCAGCATTTCAAAGACGTTTTTTTCCTCACGTTTTCCATCGGTGGCAGAGGGCCCCGGTTTAAATTTATGCGGCTGACTTCATAGCCCAACATAATATTAGATTAAACTGTCAAATCATTACAAAACTTACATATGGAGGGATTTTCCTTGGGTGCTCATGGGATTGTCCTCCCTACCAATAAAATGGGAAGATCAAATGCAAATGTTAATAATTTTATTCGTATAGGCCTTATTATTAAAATAAGTCTATGATAAGTAGTGACCTACTTAAAAGTAGCCTAATACAAACTTAAAGAGGTCAAGTTAGGGCCTTTCAAAAAAAGTAACTAAGAGGACGCTGTTCCTTTGATGAACCAAGTTGTGATTCAAATTTACTTTTTACGGCTCATTTTTAATAGTGTTCTAACTTCTATATAATTTGAATTAAAATTCTGGTATTTTAAGCTTTTTTCTTGGCTTTGCAGAATCTGCCGGAATCCAAATTTGAATGAAACGTTTCTCATGACTTTCTTTAAAAAAAACTACATCAAAAACAAATACGGGCCAATGGTAAGCCTATAGAAACTATTTGAAAAATGTATGAGCCTCCCTAACTAGTCAAGAAAAGATTCTCAGATCACAAAAAACTAAACTAAACATTTTAATTTTTATAAGGTCCGTTTTAGAGTTAAATAATAATAATAATATAAAAATTTCCACCGCGCATTTTCCAAATAAAGTTGATCAAATGCGCCTTACATTACAATAAGAATAATAAGGCCCCAACAAAATAGTTCTGCTTCCGATTACATGGCATTCTAAAATAGGGTAGGTAGGTAGGGAATTTTTTTTTTTGCTAATTTTTTTGTGTACGATCAGATGGAGGCGCGGCGTCTGCGTGTAGTCAAGGGTAAAAAGGTATAAAGTGATGGTTTTGGGTGTTTTTCTCATTTTTCTAATAAAAAAAATTAGGGTAGGGGCTGTCAGAATAGGGTAGGTAGGGAAACCGGAAGCAGAACTATTTCTCTTTTTTGGCCTAAGACTAAGTTATTTAAAAATTCAATCAAAATACACAAAAACCTACAACAATTAAGTCAAATCATTAAGATAAACCGGTACGTGAATACCAGCTAAAATACAAGTTACTCATTAAAACCCCATAAACTGTTAACTTCGAAAAGAGGAATCCCCATTCAATAAAATAAACACTAAAACAGAAAATTTTAAAATGTCAAATTTGATGCCCGTCATGTCCGTGTATAGAACTTTTTATAGAAGTCACATTTCCACCACACTCTCTTTGCACCTTACCCATAAACTGCTCAAGCTGAATATTCCCGAAGTCCCCGCCCATTTCAAGAGGTAAATCTGTGCAGCGAAAAACAGCATTCCAAAAACAACGAGTCCAATCAAAACACAGCGTCGACTGACGTACACGTGCGACATGATTCCCAAATCATTTCAGGCATGTCAGGCGGGAACAGCGACAGGTGAATGAACACTGCTACTGAAAACAAGTGTAGGCAACCAATTTGCTCAATAAGCATCGCGATGATCCCCTACACTTATTTCAATCATTACATTACTGGTATTTGAACTAGTAAAGTAGTATAACTTAGTTCGAATATAAGAGCCGAAAGTTATTTTGCACGTATGGGCGCTGCCATCTTTGATAGTCAGGCGTCAAACCAATTATATTTTCATCGGTACAGTACTACAGTAGAGGCGTTCAGGCTCCAGGCTTCAGGAAGATTTTTCAAATAGCGCCCTCAACCTCCGAGAATACCACACACGCGCGTAGTGTGAGGTATTCTCGGAAATTCCTGCGGGTAGCGCTGCCGATATGCAAAGATTCGTCTTGATGATACAGGCCCTACAATGTAGAAACCTCATCACTCAAGACCCTGAGAAACTAGTACACTGTAAATAAAATATTGTTGTGCACATGTGATGTGGCCCTTTCTCTCATCCCCCCCCACTTTTTGACCAGGGGGGATGGGCTATTGAATCATTCCCCCCCCCCCACACACACACACCCACACACCCAGTCACACACTTTTTCGTGATGCGAAAAAAATGCGGATTTCGAGGTATTTTTCGAACATCCCAACAACCAAAATGTATTCAACAGCACTGAAAAGTGGAGAAACAAAGTACAAAAGCTTTTAAAATGCAGTTTTGATGTAATCGCCAGTATACATATTCAGTGATATACATCTATATCCTGAAGAGCGCCCCCTAGTGTAGTGTGGTGTCCAGCCCCACCCCCACCCCTTTCGAGTTTCCATCTCCCCCCCCCCCCCCCCTCACTCACTGGCACAGATTAACGCCACTGCTTCCTCCGATCTGATGTCATGCATCAACATATGATGTACAATCACATAACTCCACAGCTAGATCGCATTATTTTTTTTCCTATTTTAACAGGAAAACTGTGCCTAGTTTCTTCGACCATCTTTTACGGCTCGATCCCCACACGGTAACCCCGCCCATAATTCCCGCAAACTCCTACTTGTAGCCTATGCGTTCTGCATACAATAAACACTCGTCATCGATTTGTATATTTTGACAAAATATATATGAGATTTATTCACCATCTGAAACAATCAAAATACAATTTTAAAGATACAACTGTTATTGTCACATACATATACACAATGAAATAGACTGACCCGAGAAAAGTATACATTTCCCGCACTGATCTAGCACCTCTCGAATAAAGAAACATTAATTAAAACATCGTCTTTCTTATTCCATGTATCAGAGGACGCGGTACGTCCTAGATTGAGAAATTGGGACGGATCTGACATTTCAGGCAGAAAACTTGTTTTTCATTTCAGAGAAAAAAAAATCAACATACATGTATTGAATATTGAATTAAAATCGAGGTAAAAAATCTTCATTTTTGGAACTTACGAAGAGAAATGAAAGCAATGACATAAAGTATGTTACCAATTAATATCAGTCTGCTCTTACGGAATAATTTAAAATTTGTGATTAAACATACCCTAATGTTTAGCCACATTTTGATAAGAAATGAAGTGAGGCTAGATTTTTAAATAGTCTGGCACCATCCCATCCAACAGTTCACAATTTACAAAATACATTCAGGGAACACGACAAGAAAATGGCTTCTTCGTGAAAAAGGTCCACGGGCATCCCAGCACGCCATCGGGTCTATATCTCAATCTCAGCAATTACAATGAGCCGCGCTTCCTTGGGTTAAAATTCTGCGCAGCCGACGCCGGGTCGTAGGCATCATTTATGACACCCGAGACGGATGACGCGGAGGATATTACGTTGGGCAGATGAACAAGCGGCATAGTGATCGTCAGCGTACCGCGCCTCTCACCGGACGAGAATCCCCTGGAAGGACCGGGCATGTCGTCTTCCGGAATGCAAGGGAAAGGGTTGGATATCTCTTGGTGGATTACCATTCCAAGGGGGTTAGCGGGTTCTGCGGGAATGCTGGCTTTCTTCGTCGTTACGAACAGGCGTTTGTGGGTGCCAACCTTGTGGACCGGGTGGGTCATGGAGGGTGAAGCGATCAGGAATTTGGAGAAGGGGTTGTAGAAGACGAGGCGCGAGCGCTCGGCAGTGCCTGTCGCCACGGGCAGCACGCCTTCCTGCTGAGGGGTGATGGTCGTGTTGATGTTGATGGAGATGTTGTAGCACTTGCAGCCGCAGCAGCAGCACATCTCCTGCAGCTCGCTCTTGAACTTCCGGTTGAAGATGGTGTAGATGATGGGGTTGTAGACGGCGGCTGACTTGGCGAGAAAGACGGGCAAGGCCGAGACTGCGACCGGGAGGCTCGAGGCGTCGCCGGCGAAGGCCCAGAAGGAGATGACTGCGTATGGAGTCCAGGCGATCATATACGCGAGGGTAACCGAAAAGGAGGACTGGGTGTCAAAAGAGAGAGACAATAAAATTGAGAGGATCGCTAAAGGGGTCGTGGAATCATTAAGATGACAGAAATGTTCAGCACAAAACGAAGGCCTTCAGTCATTTGAGAAAATCTTTATTTATGGTTCTTGGGGAGTGGGGTGGTTTTTAGATGGTTTGTATTTTAAGAACAGTTGCCTTTTAATGAACAAGGGATGTCACACGTCATTTTTAAATACGATAACGCAATTTTTTAACTCGGGATTAATATTCCATTTTAAATCTGATTACCAATACATCGTCTGTTTTAATCTAGGGTTTTTAATTTTGAGTGGTTTTAACTCCTTAGTTTATTTTTAGTAATGTATTCATTATGTCTTTTATTGTGTTTTTCTGCAATTCTTGTCATTATATCATGTTTTTATGTATAAATCTAGGGCCCCCAGGGAAAACAGTTCATTGACAACTGATTGGGCTACCCTGGTAAAATAACACGAAATAAATAAATAAATAAAACATGCTAAAAACAGACAAATATATGTGCGATTTATTTTAACATAATTTACTTGTGGCAGGTTTCACCTGTTCTTTAACTAGTACGTTAGCCATACAGCTACTTAAGGGGTCCACAAAATTGGACACTTTGACGAATTTGATGTGTCTACAAAATAATGTAGGCCTACATCATGCGCATGAAATGAAACGAGAACGTGATTTAGGTTGTGGATGGGGAGAGGGGTGTACAGCTCGTCCCAAAATACCCGCAACTTTTTTTTTTACGAGGCTCTAGCGTCGCCGCAGAAACACGTAGACCTACCGCCATTATTTTTATATCATTTTAAAGCTTGGAATCTTAAATTTATCCCTGGTAAGTATTGGTTTAATTTTCAAAAGGGTTCTGAAATGATTCGCGTTCAAATAAAGGCATTTCAAAAACAAAAATGTGGAAATGCTTCATTATATTTATGATGTGACGATCTCGTTGCCTTTTACTTTCTGTGTTTCCTATTCTTTTCGATCCACGTAGACTACACTTTAAATGAATTCACAATATTGTTCTTCGTTTCAAGTTCAATTTTGAAATTCACGTGCAATTTGTATACCTATTCAAAAAGCCGTGCGCTCAAAGTGTAACTAATTTTGAATCTGTACCGCATCATAGATTTCCCTTGAAGTCGGTTGAGTTTGTTTTCGACATGATGCCTTTATTTGAACACGGATTATTTTAAAACTCTTTAAAATATCAACCAAATACTCGCCTGGGATAAAGTTAAGATTCCAAGCTCTAAATGGTATAAAAAATAATGGCGGTACGTGTTTCCGCGCCGACGCCAGTGCCTCGCCAAAAAAAGTTGCAGGTATTTTGGGACGCGCTGTATTTGGGGAAATATACAGGGTGAGTAAAAAAAAACACGAAACCCAAATGTTGGGACCATTGTTTTAGTTAAGTTCTGCATGTAGTACTTTCAAAATCTAGGATATAAAAGCCCAATTCATAAGCTTTTTTTAGTACAAGAATCATTCAAATCACTCATGTTCTTTTCAAGTTACGGAATTTTAAACACAACCACCATCTTAAACAAAAAGTTCAGTGTTCTTTCAGCAAAACGAAAACAAATCACATATACGGATGTGCAGTGAATTGTTTGTTTTGCTAAAAGAACGCACACATTTTGTGTGATCCGTGGACGAAAGAACTTTAAAACGGTGGTTGTGTTTAAGTTCCGTAACTTGAAAAGTACATGAGTGATTTGAATGATTCTTGTACTAAAAGAAAGCTTTTGAATTGGGCGTTTACTCACCCTGTAGACATAGACACCCCCTGTAATAAATACCTTGATCAAACGAACTTCGGTCCAGAAATGCGTAAAGTGGGTCGTGTGCTGTTGCAGGATCATTCTGCGGTGGGCAAATATCGCCTTGGTGATGGCTCCGTAGCAGCCAATCAGGCACATCAGGGGGAACAGGTAGCAAAAGATGAATATGCAAATGATGTAAGCCTGGTCGCTGGGTAGCCGGCTCGCCCAGTCCACGGTACAGGAGGTGCGGAACCGCTCCGGGACGTACCTGAAATAATAACCAATCAGAATTAGGTGCGTCACGTCACACGGGGCCGTATCATAAGTCCGACGTCTCATAGGTCCGACGCCTCATAAGTCCGAAATTTCAGACTTATGAGGCGTCAGACTTATATCTTAAAACATTCGTTCGAATTCACCGAACGGATTCCAATAATTCAAATTCGTCCAGCAACATCGATTTAGTGCACTTCCAATGTTTAATTTCGTCTTTTGTCAAACAATTTCAAATTTAGTCCAAACAAATTCAAACAAGGAGCACATGTTTTCGACCCTGAGTATCGATTTCGTCTCGTCTACGCCAAACCCTGTTATTCAGAAATCAAATTCGTCTAATTGATTTATATAAACGAATTCGATCTCTGAATGCTGCCATTCGGCAAAAGCTTATAGACGAATTGGATCTGTAATGACGAATATTCTCGACCCGGTGACTAAAGAGGGTGACCAAACATTATAATTGAATAAATGGCTAAAATGGTTTTGTTAAAAGCGTGTGAAATTATTCGTGGACGAAATTAAACGAATGGGTTGGTGAAGTTGAATGAAAAATCTTTTAAAATAGCCGGGAAAACCTATATTTGTTTTAACAACAGTGAGGACTTTGCCCAACCTTGTTTCGAAATGATCACAATTATCGTATTGAGGAAAAGTATATGTACATGTAGACCTATGCCTATATGTAGTCTTTAGTCAAGGCGCGCGTGTGTTCACGAGTGGCGCCCCAGCACGAAAAAATACCAGTCGAGTGGCTTCGCCGCTCGTGCTAGTCTTTGTACGTGCCAGCATCCGGGGTGCGTCACGTGACCAGATATGATAAGCGCGTGGGACTTGACTAAAGGCTAGCCTATATGCTGCACTACAGGGTGAGTAAAAAAAAACGAAACCCAAATGTTGGGACAATTGTTTTAGGGAAGTTCTGCATGTAGCATTTTCAAAATCTAGGATATAAAAGCCCAATTCATAAGCTTTCTTTTAGTACAAGAATCATTCAAATCACTCATGTTGTTTGCAAGTTACGGAATTTTAAACACAACCACCGTTTTAATGTTCTCTCGATCCACGGATCACAGAAAAGGTTTGCGTTCTTTCAGCAAAACGAAAACCATTCACACACATCCCTATGTGATTTGTTTTCGTTTTGCTGAAAGAACACTGAACTTTTTTTGTGATCCGTGGACAGAACCTTAAAACGGTGGTTGTGTTTAAAATTCCGTAACTAACAAGTACATAAGTGATTTGAATGATTCTTGTTCTAGAAGAAAGCTTATGAATTGGGCTTTCATATCCTAGATTTTGAAAATGCTACATGCAGAACTTCCTTAAAACAATGGTCCCAACATTTGGGTTTCGTTGGGTTTTTTTTACTCACCCTGTATATCACATGGGCCACTGTAAAGCCTATGCGTGTCTTCAAAAAAATACTTCCAAAAAGGAAACAATCAAATCAAACCAAAGTATCTGACCCGAACCAAACTATATACATTCACGTTCTGGTTCCCAATGCTCACTGATTATGCTCATGACATCAAGGTTTTGAAATCCTGAAGTCGCAGAGCAGTGTACTGTTTCCTCATTATTTTGAGCTTTTAAGGCATCGGTACGTGACCAATTTGTTTTTCATTGAATCATTGAACCGAGTGCTGGATCGACCCGATCAAATTATTATGAATACCTTACTGGACTGTTAATGAACGGCAGTCTAAAGCATCTTGTAAAATCATTGCACCTGGTGTGCTGTCATTTTCAAGAAAAGTGGTATTTTTTGGTATCAATTTCCAACGCTGGTCGGCCGACCAGCTTTGGAAAAAAAACCGTGCCCTTTTTCAAATAGTGCCCCCACATTTACCATATTCAGTTAGTTCGCATTTTGTTTGTAATCGATTTTACACCTATGAACGGGTACAAGCCAGCTAGACTGGTCCCTGACCTTACAGTTCCCCGACGTGTATAAATTGCTCTGTTTCATCGTAAGTGGGGGTCAGAGAACCATACTACAGCAACATAATTGTTTTTCTTGGTTTCCAGCATCTGCGAACACACAACTGTAAACAACTCAGTGTGACAATATTTGCTATAACATACCAGCCCCCCCCCCAATCCATCCAATTTAGGAAATTACAGCACAAAATGATGTAAGTTTCCCTACCTGCTCCAGCCCATTAACGGTGGGACTGTCCAGACGAGCGCATACATCCATACGGCCGCTATAATCTTCGGCATGTGTTTAGCAAGCAGGGTGTCGTCTGAAACAAGAGGCAATGCGTTCTTTAGAAAATGAAATAAATATAATAAGGATTTGAGAACCTGAAGGTCGTTTTGGGGGGAGGGATGGGGTTTTTTTTTGGGGGGGGGGCTGTTAGTTAGGGCGTTTGCTTGTTTCTTTTCTTTATTGCTAAGAAGGAAATGAGTGATCACCATATGCTTTATGGCACAAAAGGGGGTCACTGCATGGGTCGAAAACCCAGCCTCAACTCCATGGGCGCGTGCGCGTTCCTTCATCGCGCAAGGCATGATGGGAAGCAACATGGCGCAGCAAGATCGTACCCATGGAAACGAGGTTGTCGAATACCTGATTGTTATTCTACTCAAAACACTACTCCTTCCAGAGAAATTACATACGGCACAACCACACCACGACTCGTGCATGAACACGAATTCGTTGGCCCGCAGCTTCCGAGATGTTTCCGATCGAGTTTTTTTCTTGGGGGGGGGGGGGGGGGGGGGGTGTCAACAACAAAGGACCTTAATCCAACGGCTCAGCATTATGCAGTACGCACATACTGAAATTTGTATCCTTGTGGAGACATTTCTTTGTTCTCGTGTACTTAAGCTTTCGAGTTTAAAAGTACAGTTTTAAAATGCTCTTATTTTAACCAGAAAAAAAAAAAATTCAAAAAATTCCATCTTATAACAGAATTAATTTCCTTGGCTGATATTCGGACTTCATATCCCTTTTCTAGAACTCTACCATTTGCGACGGATCAACATACCTCGGAAATTCCTAGTTTTTGAGTAAAATCCATATATCTATTTCCTGAAAACCTTGTGGAGAGGTATTCATCTATAGAAATTGCCCTGTGGAGACGTATACAATCTTTTGTTCCCTATTGTGCGCATGTCTCCAGAGGGTACGGTGTATCAGATCACAATTTCTTACCAAAGTTTTTTTTGCAGAGTTTCAGGTAGCGGCATACGGCTATTGCAACCAGCGTCATCATCGCGTTCATGGGGAAAAAGAATCCGCAAAAGCCGTACCATATGCAGCCGCTCTCGCCAAACATCCACTGCAATATACAATTTAAAAAAAAACACCATTTTTTCATTTTCCCCCAGATTTTCTCGAATAGATCAATAGGCAGGCCTGACACTAATGACGTCACGCGTTGTTTACTAGACGGGCTCCATACTTCGTCTAGCGTCCCGACTTCGCTCCCATACACTCTAAAAACAACTTAGTCAAAATATTGACTGGTTTTCCTAGTTATTGGAAATTGACTAGGAATTTAGTTAAACTAGTTTCATACTATGCCTAAGTAGTTGGATTCGACTCCAATTTCAGTTATTTGCATAACTATTTTTCCAAAGTCTATAATACTGACTGGAAAAATCTAGTCAGAATGACCGATTTTCAGTTGCACTCAGCTGACCCCAAATGGCGAGTCAAGTTTACAGATTTCTTGCCAAATTTGAGTGATGCTTTTTCAGATTGTAGGGTTTTCATCTTTGTGCGAGTGCTCTGAGTGCCACTGGTCCACATGTATTTTAGATTTGTGGTAGCCTTTAGTCAAGACGCACGTGTCTACCCGGACGCATGGCTCCCCAGATTCTGACACGAAAAAAGACCAGTCGGATGGCTTCGCCGCTAGTGCTTGTCTTTTTACGTGCCAGCCAGTGGCGTCGCCAAGGGGGGGCCAGGGGGGGCACGTGCCCCCCCTGGAAAACCTAGTGCCCCCCCGAGTGCCCCCCCCCCCCCCCCCCATCTGAGATTTGGGTTGGTAAAAATATATATATATATTTTGTTATATTCAACTCCCATCATCTGAATTGGTTAAATAGCAATTTCTGGAGATATCTTCAGATCGAATTTAGCATCGTATGTGGCACCATTTTGCATCTAGCCCATCCTCCGTATGCGAAAATTTTCCAAAGGGGAGGGGGGCCCTTAGACCCCTCCCCCAGGACGGCGATCCGTATCCACCTAAGTGCCCCCCCCCATCAAATGCTGGTGCCCCCCCTGTGCCCCCCAGACTGAAAAGTCTGGTGACGCCACTGACCAAGAGGATGGGTCAGAAACACAAAAATGGACCACGGCATGAAGCAGAAATAATCAAAAGGTGAAAGAAATGAAAAGACTCGCATCGTATACCTTCGTTTACTTTAATTTTGAATGCACAGAGTGCTAAACAGAATGCGCGGAAATGAAAACGAAAACAAGAATCTCATGCAAATAACTCTAAACCAAACCGACTGCTATAATTTGAATGATCACTTAAGCCGAATGACATAACTTCAATTTAGGATGTGTTAAACTTGAAAACGTCAAGTCTTAAAACGAATTGGAAACCTGAAATCTAATACGAACCACGAGAATGACAGCATGGCGCTACTTCGCTTCAAATTGGCCACTATCAAGATGAATTCGAATGCTGTTTTTGTGAATTGGCCGGGAAAACCTATATTTACTAACGGAAATTGTAGAATCTATGAGAAACGAAATTATATCTTCCCCTTTCCCAAAACCTTTGAATTGTGTTATTCAATTGGGTGTTGTCGCGCTTCAATTGAAATGCATTATATGGATAAATGTTTATCGCCACTGACGGTATTTCGCTGCCAGAGGTCCAGGTCAAATGCTGTGAACCCTTAGGGTACCGTGTATTGTTGTCCGAAGAAAAACAAATATTTCCGTGAAAAAATTTTGTCAACCGAAATAAGTTATTGTCCATTTGAGTTGTTATGGTACAATACTGACGCAGGTTCAAGGTGACAAGTATAAGGTGTGGAGGTATTCAGGGTATTATACTCTGCATGCACTTATATACACCCACTGCCCGCCACTTGTTCAAGCATGGCTGAAGCAATCATCCAAGCGACGTCAGAACCGTTCCACACGGCATTCACGGTGGTTGATTTTTTTTGAAAACAAAATAGCAGCGCAGCCCTCCCACGCACCCCCAAGCAAAGCCCAGTCCTTTATTGCTGAGCCTGACTGACCCGCAAGTGGGCGAGATTTTCAACGAGACAAACTTGTAATGGGACTGAAGGACAGTTCGATTGACTTCCACGACTAGTGCTTCACTTAAAGGGAATATACAACATTTGAAAACAAAACATTAAAACAAAATCCAACTACCGAATTGTTACGAAATACCTTACTGGACTCTTACTGTAAGTGAGTGACAGTCTAAAGCATCCTGTAAAATCATGGCACCTGGTGTGCTGGCATATTGAAGAAAAGTGGTCGTTTTGTATCATTTTCCAACGTTGGTCGGCCGACCAGCGTTGGAAAAAAAAACTGGCCTTTTTCAAATACTGCTCCCAATTTATCATACTTATTTTAGTCCGCATTTTGTTTGCAATCGATTGTACCCATGAAGGAGTGCAAGCCGGCTAGACTGGTTCCCTGACCTTACCATTCCCCGTTGTCGATAAATTGCTCCATTTCATCTTAAAGGGAATGCACAGCATTTGTTTTTGCTGCAATTTTCAGAAGCAAATGGATTTGGAGGGTTAGTATGTTATAGAAAATAATTATTGTTAAACTGACTTGTTTCACGTTTTGGGCTTGTAGATGCTGCGAAAACCAAGAAAACCTATCATGTTCTTGTAGTCTGGTTCCCTGGCCCCACTTAAGATGAAACAGAGCAATTAATACCCTTTGGGGAATTGTAAGGTCGGCAAATCAGTCTAGCTAGCAGGCGTGTACCTCTTCACAGGCGTGTAATCAATTCCAATTTTTTTTGGACACACTTTTTGGGGACCACATATTTTTTTCGCCCCCCCCCCAAAAAAAATTGTGTTCTGGATCCGCCCTTGTACTTGTACACCGCGCTGCACTTTCCTAGGGGAGCAATGTTTTATCGCTATTCTAGAGCAGAGACTATCTATGCCACTTCGGTAATCGGCCATGAACTGGGCCGAACACGGTCAAAAAGATCGAATGCATTTTCAGATGTCGAATACATACATGTGTATGTACATGTACACATGTACATGTTCACATGTGCCTAATTCGTAACCGGCGGATGTTTTATGTCGAACAAAATGCATGCAAAACGTTGAAGAAAGTTCGGTTTGTAAAATTTCAGTTTGAGGAAATGCGTTCAAAACGTAAAGACGTTCGGTTTGTAAAAATTTCATTCGGTTTTAGGAAATGCATTGCAGCTGGACTGGTAAAACACACATTTGATTGAAAGATATATTTGATTTAAAGATGCATTAATTTGATTTAAAGATGTATCGATTTTTAGAAATGCGTTCGCTTTTGGGAAATGCATTCCGATTACCAGAACTTTCATTATAACACTGTTATTTCGGTTGTGTACTATATGAACCTAGCAACCAAAATTTGAATGCACGTTGAGATCAACATTCAATTACCTAAAAAACACCAATCAATTTCACATTAGAAGTATGCGATTTCATATTTCAACCATGCAATTTCAAAAATAGGGCATTCAAATTAAAATTGCACAAACGAGCATCCAAATTCGCCGGAGCTTCCAGCTGTGTAAATTTGGTCATTCGAATTCACCATTATAAGCAAGCATAATGTGGAAAGCAAGCAAAGTTATTCGAAATAGGTCCATGTCGTTCCGTTGTTGTAAAAATAAGATTGAGTGTTTTTTGTTACAATTTGGAAATATAGATAATAAAAACCTGTCTCCCACAAGACTCTGCCACTGCTCTGATCACCATGCAAACTGTAAGATTGAAGCACTAGAAACATCAATATGCCAGCTCATGGGCGTTACATGAGAATTTCAAATGTAGGCCGTGGTCATTTGATCGAAGCTTTCGATGTCAATGCCCAAGGCTATCTATAACTTGCAGACAATCTTGGCATAAACAGATCTACTGCTGCAGGTCAATTGTAGCCGCGTATCTGAGATCTGGCAGACGTGAAAACCTACCAAGAGCAGTGGCGTCGCCAAGGGGGGGCCAGGGGGGGCACGTGCCCCCCCTGGAAAACCTAGTGCCCCCCCGAGTGCCCCCCCCCCCCCCCCATCTGAGATTTGGGTTGGTAAAAAAATATATATATATTTTGTTATATTCAACTCCCATCATCTGAATTGGTTAAATAGCAATTTCTGGAGATATCTTCAGATCGAATTTAGCATCAAATGTGGCACCATTTTGCATCTAGCCCATCCTCCGTATGCGAAAATTTTCCAAAGGGGAGGGGGGCACCCCCTCCCCTTAGACCCCTCCCCCAGGACGGCGATCCGTATCCACCTAAGTGCCCCCCATCAAATGCTGGTGCCCCCCCCTGTGCCCCCCCAGACTGAAAAGTCTGGTGACGCCACTGGTGCCAGCATTCGGGGTGCGTCACGTGTTCGGATAAGCGCGTGGGACTTGACCAAAGGCTAGATTTGTGGAGGTGAGAGGTCAATTTTTGGTACAATATTTCTCTTTCACGTCATGCGACTTTTCAGTTTCCATAAACCGAGAAGCTAGTTACAATTTTACAAAGGCCTTTTCCGAGGGTGACTTTCTTTAGAAATCAATGTACCAGGTTTTTTTTTTAACTCCAACTTTTTCACGCTAATCATCATATATTCGCCGGGGTCCGGATAATCTATGTAATGGACCACTGGCGAAATCCACGGTCTATTATCCATGGGCAGCAAAGTACTCGTACTCACATAATTCACATTAAATCCATATTCACTTTTAAAAAAATAGGCCTATTACCTAATGTCACACATCACTTTGTGAGATACAGCGGACACAATCGGACGGCACTTTTTGGTTTGGGTAAATTTGGGTGAATATAAAAGAATTGTCCCGCCCCCCCCAAAAAAAATGCAATTGTGTCCTCCGTATCTCATAAAAGCGTATTGCCTATTGGCTCACCCTATCGGCAAATCCTGACACAGCTGGCAAGGGATAACCAATCAGACAAACCGTTAGATCTGACACCGCTAGGTTAATCGTCAGAAGGTCCAGCGCTTTCAAGTTCCTGCGCTTGCGCAGTGAGGTCACCAGGACGGCACCGTTGCCAACACAGGATATTAGAACTGTTGGAGTAGTCGATAAAGAGATCGATACGCGTAAATAAGTCATTAATCAATTAAACAATCAATACAATTATCAAAAGCCGAACTTCACTGTCGATACAAAATCAATAAATATATTTGTAAATGAAAAATTCCGTTAAATGTCAGTAATATTAATTGATCCTGGTGTAAGAGGGATATGCAATTAACACACGTACGTGGTTACATAAACGAGTTAATTAAAAACAAAAGCAAAAGACTTTTAGTTGATGTTTCGATCATTTAAACTGCACACAAAAAGTATGAGGCGCCCTTTATGACTTTATTGCGAAACAGATAACAGGACGACACAATATGGGACAAAACATATAAATATTGGACGAACAATCAATATATGACGAAACAAATCAATATACGACGAAACGAATAACAGGACGAAACAAATAAATATAGGACGAAACAAATAAATAGATATAGAACGAAACAAATAAATATTGGATGAAACAAATAAATATAGGACGAAACTAGTAAATATTGGACAAAACGAATAAATATAGTACTAAACAAATAAATTTAGGACGAAACAAATATCGGACAAAACAAATAAATAAATATAGGATGAAACTAGCTTCGTTTTCTACATATTGATTAATTTCGCAATAAAGTTATAAAGGGCGCCTCATACAAAAGTGCCTGAAAAAAATCCTGAAATCATGGATCGACCAACACATTCTTCATGTTGTCATGCGAATATTATAGGTAATAATTATGTAATCTGATAATGATGCCATTATAAGTAGGGAAGGTCGCCCGGTAATCATTTCCCGAAACAACGTCCGGGCAAAACGAAACAACGTTCACAATGAACGCAGTAATTTTGCTATTCTCAAAAACCTTGAAATTAAGGCCTTAGATTTGATTTATACACGCAGACCAATTTACTGCAGATTGGTTGCTATATAACCGGACAACTCGAGTCGGTTGCGCCTTAAGAGCTTGTTACATCGATCAGTTTGCCCAAGGGATATCATTCTATAGCTGCATCGACATAATGTTTTTATTCATCGTTTTCTAACTCCAACTTTAAGATTAATGTCACCAATCGGGGGTTATTCTGTACGGAGCCCCTAAAGGGACATCCAAAATAATTTTTTTATAATTAATTTTGCGCACGACATAATTTGCAAAAAAACGTTAAAATGAGGCAAAGAAAATCACTGCTGAAGGCTAAATAGCTGTCAATCATTGAACTGATATGACTTGAAATGTATAGCGTAAAGCGCCTGACACGCTGCTTTCGTTACACACAAACTCGTCCACTGCACGTGCAGCAAGCTCCGTTAATACTTATAATTATCTCGTGCGCACGAGATAATTATCTCGTGCGCACGAGATATATGTCGTGCGCACGAGATATATGTCGTGCGCACGTGATAATTATCTCGTGCGCACGAGATAATTATGTCGTGCGCACGAGATAATTATGTCGTGCGCACGAGATAAAAAAAATAATTTTGGATGTCCCTTTAGGGGCTCCGTAATTCTGCCGCCCGGAAGATAATTTAGGAGCTTATCCGCCCCCAGGCTTAGGAAGGGCTTTACATGCAGGTCTGTGATATTGCTTTATGTCCGAAGAAACGTCAACAGTTCATATTGAATAAAACTGCTACTGTCGGAATTTTGGGGAGAAAACCCAACAAATATTACGATTCGTCTGAGAAAATAATGTACTACAGAGTGTGCTGAAACAAGTGCAACATTCAGAAAAAAATATTAATCAAAACTGTTAAATGTTTTTTTCTTTCTTTTTAGGCCTAATTAAAGCAACATGTAAAGAATTTCTGGAAAAGTCAATGGTCAACCCACCAAAAAAAAAAAAGATAAGAAAAGATGACACATTGATCATCATTTTTCTGTGCAGCTTGAATACCTGTGAGAGTTCTGAGTATTTTTAAAAGATTTTTGAAGTACGGGCCTTTAGAACTAGTGTCTATGGGAAGTTATTACGAACAATGCTCAAAGCGTTAACATGGCCATATGTTGAGAGACAATTTGGGCGTTGTAGCGACGTGGAATCTCACGCTATGAAGCAATTTGGTAACATTATGCGTCTATTCACAAGATGGATTTTTTTTTTGCGTCGGGGTGATGTAAATCAAATTAGGTATTGCCCTTCACCGACGTATATATTTTTTTCCAACTTTCACTCGGGAGGTAACACACTGAGTATACAGTGTATATACGTCGGTGAAGGGCAAAACCTAATTTGGTTATACGACTGTAACAATGTAAATTTTGAATTAAAGCAACATGTAAAGCTATTTCGTCCCCAGAGGTTTCTTTACTTCCATCCTCGTTTTCAATAGTGGGGGGAACGTACTGCTCGACACCATGCCACGGGAAGTACGAGGTTGACGTCAAATCCTGGGATATGACGCCTTGGTATAGAGTTGTGACGCCGCAAGAAGGTTATAGCGGTACTGCCCCCGTGTGTGACGGATTATCTGAACAATAGCACAAAGCCATTCGCGATTAAAGGGGTTGTTATGATAGAAGTGAAAGCGTGCAATGGATTGGTGTACATGTTCATCATCACGGTGTGTCAATGGCATTAGACGAAGTCGTTATCTAAAACGCATAATGGATTCATATACTCGGCCCGAAAGGTAAAGCCAACGCCAATTTATACATCAAGGCCCCAGTCCGGTTAATACTTCACACGCGCGAGTTTCAATGCGAAGCGAATTCGCCAGAGTATTCGTCGACTCTCACAACGAAACTTGAAATGCGCTTCGCTTTAGTGGTCAAGCATGAGCCGGCTATAACTCGGATCGAAGGCCGAACATTGTTTTTGACAAAACAAGATTAAATGTTGTTTTCGTTTACTCACTGATCATTAGAATCCAGACACCGGACAGGATTGCAGCAACATTGGGGAGTTCGGATGCGAAAGCGTCTTCCTCCATCGTGCTCATCAGTGAGACTAGATCCTCGGAGACAGGAGTTAAAAAAAAAGACACCACGGGCCGGCAACAATCGTGACTGTCGTCAATGACTGTCGTCAACAAACCTGACAATTACTGCGCTGGTCATTTAGCATCGCATCCCTCCTTGCACGGTGCGTCTCTGAGATGGTGGATGGGAAGAAGCTGTACATTATCTAATGAAAGAAGAGCTATGGGGGGGGGGTTCTATTGTCAATTAAGGAATCTCTTGATTTGGCTTGACAAGTTTCAAAGCAAATGAGGGGAAATGGCGTAATTGCTCTGGCAGATGTTGGACTTATAATTTATTGTGTATGCCTACATAATCCTTCATTAAAATCGGCCCGGGGCCCTATACATGTATAATTATAATAACATTCAAGCAAGCTGACACAGAACAATCACGAAACCTCATTAAAAGGTTTTGCAAACAAATGCGTGTTGTTGTTGTTTTGGGGAATTTTTTGGCTGATTCAAGGAACAACCATATTCAATCAATCTGATTATCTGAAGTAAGTTCTTTAAAAAAAAAACTACCCTGTCGAAATTTCAGCTCAGTGGATATAAAATCCTTTTTTGAGAAATCTGTGAAAATGCATCTTCATTTGTCTCGATTCAAAGCATAGGTTTCCGTTGGCAAAGCGATGGTTTAGTCAACCATCGTGAAGAAATGATGGAAATTTCTCTATTTTTTCGAAAACAGCGATCGTGTAGTTACGGGCCCGGTTTGGTTTAAGAGAACAAAATCCACTTTCAATTTATTTGACGTACAGGGTGAGTAAAAAAAACCGAAACCCAAATGTCTGGACCATTGTTTTAGTGAAATTCTGCATGTAGCACTTTCATTTTCTGGGATATGCAACCCTTCAGCCACAGCTGTATATCCATCCTTGTATAATATGATTTACTCCTGACTCTCTGATTGTGTGTCCCAAGCATCGTGTCCCAGTCGCTATACGACTTGGTGTTCGTTTTCATCATTTTCTTCTAACAAGTGACGTATACTCGTGATAATTCCATCTGGGCAGCAAATTTCCAGATAGCCAAACACCTTTGCAAGTCATTGTGTACATACCTCAATGCAATGTCTTCTAGCACCATTCGCAGACACCTTCACCGAATCATTCGCAGGAAGAAAAGTCTGCTTCCGAACAACTTATCTACAGTGTCCCATCTTTCGCTGAATCCACCAAGTGAAGAGGCTAGACCCAGCACTCACTGTGTGCAATAAGCATCCTTTTTCATTTCTCATGGTGACTCAATGATGCCTTTTTCATATCAATAAACATGTTGATGTTTTTGTACATAGACCGGCGTCACGTCTCGTGGCTATCCGGGTCGTTAGTAAAAACGTCATACACGTACACGCGCGTACCAGCATACCTTTGCGCGCAGAGTTCTGGAATACAATTTCGTGAATGTGCAATCAAAAGTACGTTTTTCTCGTTCAAAATAGCAGATTACATCACATAACATTATTAAACTAAAAGTGACATAGAATGGCCAATGTTTGAAAACCCCCTCTAAAAGCGAAAAGCCCGAGGAAGTCTTGTAAACGAATCTGAATGAGCATAAACGAAACGTGCTGCTCAATCGCTTGAACTGAAATGGAATCGAATGCTCTGGTAGCGAAAATGAAACGCGTGTTCAGAGCGATTCCTAAATTCAGGCGAAAATGAATGACCAATTTGCAGAAGTAAATGAACATTTTAGGAAATGGGCCATGAAAAGCTATATTACCTTAAAGGGATATTGTTACCTTAAGGAAACATCCATCTGCTGAAAGGAAACATCCATCGGCGTAGAATAGAGATCAGTGGGAATAACCCTATGTACTGATGACGTCACACAATGCTTACCGCAGTGCACCGCGGGATTGAGTGGGGGTCTGATTTATTTTAATTTGCACCACGAAAGCTTTCAAAAATGACCCTAAAAAAACCTTGTCTTAAAGTAAACTGTATTTCAGGTCGGTGATTCTTAAAAATAACGGAGAATTTAGGTATGCACAACGCTAGTCACGATGGCAATATATCGCACGGTACTAGCGCGCGTGACGTGACTGCACTGTTTACATATGAGGATTTACATAGCGCTAGTGCAGCGGGCAACGAGCGACTTGCTGCGGCAGGAAGTTAGCGGGAAACGCGCTGCTTCAAGAGCGGTACTTAACCGGTACAACTTCGAAATGAGTGATTTAAACAAATACATACATCAAAAAGTTAACCACGGAAAATATATTCACAATAAAAAGACAGATCACCTTCGAAGAATCAAATTGCAGAATTTTGTTCTTTATATTTTGTTTGGCAACTGGGACCGAGTTGTCTTGGGACCGAGTTGGTTTCGGACCGAGTTGGCGGGAAACCACAGGCGGGTTTCGAGTCTTTTCGGTCCCAAACCAACTCGTTCCCCAGTCAACTATACGTCCCAGGTCAACTCGGTCCCAATTCAACTCGGTACGTCCCGATACGTACAAATAGATGGAGTAAATTTCTGCAATTTGATTCTCAGAACACGATCTGTCTTTTTTTTGTGTATTTCGTTTCCGTGGTTAACCTTTTGATGTATTTAGTTGGTTTAATCATTTATTTCAAGGTTCTACCGGATGCACCGCTCTTACTTGAAGCACTGTACGTGTTTCACCGAAACTTCCTGCCGAAGTAAGTCGCTCGTTGCCCGCTGTACAGCGCCACATTCCCAGTGCAGTCACGCGCGCTAATAGTACCGTACGATATATGGTCATCGTGTCTAGCGTTGCGCATTTCTAAATTCTCCGTTATTTTTAAGAATCATCGACCAGAAATACTGTTTACATTAATGAAGACAAGGTTTTATCACATTTACGGTCATTTTTGATACCGGTAGCGTTCGAGGCGCAAATTAAAATAATTCAGACCCGAAATACACAATACCTCATGTTTTCTATAGCGATCGCGGTGCAGCGACCCGCAATGCACTGCGGTAAACATTGTGTGACATCATCAGTACATAGGCCTACTATCCGGTTCGTAAGTGTGACGTCATCACAATTCAACCATAATGCGTTCTTTAGTACAACATGGTTTGTCGGGAAATAGGGAAAACTAATGACCCCGAGGTGTTGGATGATTGGGACTATCTCCCGAGGCGAATTTACTTTACCTCATAAATATTCATCGGGCAGCTGCGATATTTCATTCGTCCATCCCACCATGTTTTTGATCGTGCAGTATTTAGATAAAGTGAAACATTATTTTAATTTAAGGAGACAGACAGAATTGAAAGTTAATTTTGTGTCATTTAATAACTTTAACATTCACGGAAAACACTGCATTTATTATTATAAATATTGTGTAAAATTTCACTCGGTTCCTCCTCGGTTAAAATCGCAAAGCGAGCACCACTGCACCGGTCGCCATTTTGATGTTTGCCGTAATAGACTGGCACATGCAACTGTCCTCACTGGTGTTCTCCACGGTACGCACGTTAAGCACATGCGTCGTTGGTAAAGAGATAACACAGTACTGGAACAAATCTAAGGCTGCGACCCAAGTGTGATGTGATAGTACTTCCCTTGTTTTTGCGCCTCACGCGCGCGTGCGATAGACGCGGGGTGATAGTAAAAATTTCACACGGTTGAGTTGCTGGAATGGACCAATGAAAAGCCGCGATTGCCTGATGAATATTTATGAGGTATAGTAATACATCATACACGCGCGCGCACCACTGATTACTATCGCTTATTGGATAAACGCTCGAGTTGCGTTCCATTCGTGCTATACACCGTATGAACTTACGCATGGATGAATTGAGATTTAATACGTCACACGAACAAGTGGGTTCTAGCCCGGGCCCGGACACTTGTGCCCTTGAGCAAGGCACTTAACCATTATTGCTTCCTCTTCAGATGGGACGTAAAGCTGTAGGTCCCGTGTGTTGTATAATGCACGTAAACAAACCCAGCAAGCACTTATCGCTAAGAGAAGGGGTTCGCCCCGGTGTTTCTGGCAATTATCCTCATACATACACCATGATTAGGCTGCATGTGTACGCGATAGCCACACCAGGCGTTTGTACAGAAGCTGACAGATACAGATATAGGGGAAAGTAATTACTTCGATTCCAGATTTAGAAAAACGAAAACTGATTAATCACAATACTAGATGTACTGCAACTGTGGATTCGAGGCCGCATCGTCACTAATGATCATTTTGTCTATTATATAAAGAGTTAATTCCTTCCTCCATGGTAAGAGAGAGAGAGAGAAGTAGCGGAAGTACCGGAGGTAGGGGGGGGGACGGACTACCCCCCCCCCGGCCCCCCGGCCGCGATTAATTTTTTCATCCGAACGACCCATATGGGGTGTGCGCTATGACGTGTTGGACTTTACTTTCCTAAAAACATGAGAAATAAATATGTAAAAGAAAAAAGAAGAAGAAATGAATTCGAACCTAATGAAATTCGGAATTTAATACCCTTTAAAAAAAATCCTCCAAAGCCACAAAATTAGAAAAGAATGAATATTTGAAAAACGCGGTTATTCACACCCTCCGATCTCAAAACCATGCCATTAGGCCAAAAACAAAACAAAAATCTGCTTCCGATTACATGGCGTTCGAAAATGGGTAGGTAGGTAGGGATTTTTTTTTGATACACATGCCAACATGGGGTAAACATGAACCGTGGCTGCTTAAGGGTGCACTGAACTAATTCAAGTGAGAATTTCTACGCGAGTTCACTAGTAGCATAAAAATCCCCCCCCCAACTTCTTTTGAAAACGGAGACCGTTTGGCTTTAAAAACGGTGGAATTGTGGAAGTACCTCCCTAGTTTTGGGCTTCCATCTGAGGGCAGGCTTGATCATTACGGATGAAAAATATGGGTCTTTAAGGGAAGGATGCCACTTGTAAAATGGCATACATGCAGGCTTGGGAACTATCGCTTTTGTTTGGCTTTGAATATTAAAAAAGTAATTGGCTAATCTACCTAAAATTGAAAAGAAATGAAAAGATGAAAGACAAGACAATAATTAAAATTTTTGTTTGAGAAACCCCAGTGATGTCGGCTTGCATTTGGCCCTGAACTTTGTGGATTTTACACTGTTTTCAATGGGGCTTGAATTAGTACAGTGGACCTAGGTGTTTCAAACAGTGACAAAGCACTTCTCAAACTTTGTTAGTCAGGTGACCTGTCACCAACCTAATGTTAATTGAATATCTATCTGGCAGGATTCCGATCCTATATTCACTGTACTCGCTTTGACCTTTGATCTTTCCGCTTCAAGATGGCGCCGGTGTTGAGCAAAGTTCTCTCGAGTAAGCTTTCTGCCACTGTAGTAACTGGCGCCTTCTTGGTTCATCTCCTCCGGAGTAATCGAAAAAAGACACAAATACGAAGAGTAGAGAGGTATGACCCTGAAGAAAAACAAATCACTGTGATGCTTGACCTATTTTTTTGCCAAACTTTGACCGGTGTACTGCTGTGCTTACTGGACTGCCTCCGTAAACATAGGCCACACATCCACATGTACAAAAATCGTGTCGACGGAGCCAAATTTTGATTTTCACATTTAGGATTAGTTTGTAGGTTTTTTTTGCTTTAGAAGCATACTCACCCTCTTTATAGGCTAATCAGAAAGTGCTGCCTTTTTCAGATGTATATTTTTCGTGAAATTTCCAGATTCATTTTAACACGTTGGCAATGGCAGTGGCTATTGTTACGGCAGCCGTAACGCATTTCCCATTTTCTATCGTTACGGTAGACTGCAACCTGGCAACTTTTATAAAAAAACATGACAAGAAAATATAAAATTAGAAGGAAAAAAGTGAATTTGAACTTTATGAAATTCGGACTTTATTTCCCTTTTAAAAAAAATCCTCCAAAGCCTCAGGTTAGAAAAGGAAAAAAATTCGAGTGCAAAACCGAAATTCGAACCCGCAACCTCGCGGTGCAAAATCCTACCCTTTATCGGCTGAGCTGGCGCACTGCTCGATAAAACGTGGGGAAACAAATAATTATATACCTGCGTGCGTATCAAAAAAATATCGTAGAGGGCGCTAAACAACGAGTGCCGTAACGATAGCCACTTTGTAACACGTTTGCGTATCAAAATTTCAGCATGAAATTTCACAAAAATTAGACATCTGAAAAAGGCAGCACTTTCTGATTAGCCTATAAAGAGGGTGAGTATGCTTCTAAAGCAAAAAAATCCTACAAACTAAGCCTAAATGTGAAAATCAAAATTTGGCTCCGTCGACACGATTTGTGTACATGTGGATGTGTGGCCTATGTTTACGGAGGCAGTCCAGTAAATAGGCCACATTTATGGGGCTACTGCTGTGCATGTGAATTGTGATGTGCTATTGCGTATTGGCTATGCAGCTATATTAATATTAGGCAGTGTATATTTTGCCGGAGACGGCAAACCTTTAGTAAACGTTAGTTTGCCGGATATGCACTGAACATGCGCAGTTACTGTTTTTTTGTACTTAAACATTTTCCGGTGACAAGTTTTAGTCTGGCTCCATGCCAAAATTATCGTTGTTACCTCGTATTCACAAGATGGGATTCAGACCATTTTATAATTTCGGACTTTATTTCCCTTTTAAAAAAAATCCTCCAGAGCCACAAATCTGAAAAAGAAAATGTTATACTCTGCAAAAAATGTTTGAGACATGTTAAAATAATAAAAGAAGAATATTCTTATTTATTTGGGGATGAGAAAAAAAAACTTTAAAATGGTGGTGCGGTCGGAATCGAACGCGAGTCATCCCGCTTACTAGAGCCTTTGCTTAACCATTACACCAAACGTGCTTCACAACTTTTGGTGGGAATTTAATATATCTTATAATTCAGCCCTATTTTAAAGAGTACAGCGCCCTCTGTTGATATGGATTGCCGCTGGCAAACCTTTAGTAATCGTTAGTTTGCCGTCATTACCTCCGGCAAAATATCCACTATCTTAATATTATGCTGGTGGGCGGTCCTACTAAATTTAGTAAAATGCGTCAACAAGCGTCAACTTGTGTCAACAAGCGTCAAGGCGTACGGTCGTCAACCCAGCGTCAACAAATTTTGTATAAGTTTAGGAACATCAAAAACAACTTTATATGGTAGAAATAGCAACAAAAAACACCTTCACCATTGTTCACTGCTTCAGCATAGGGCCGAGGGAATGAAAGTCATAGAATACCGTCCTGCTGATTTTGAAAAACAATGAGGCTTTTTTTCATTATTCATTATTCATTATTCTGAAGCACTAACCAGAATCAGGTAAAATCATACATGATGTCACTATGTAGACAATAAAAAAGTGTTTGGGAAAACGGCCACAGGCAGTCGTTGGTATCATGCAGCGCTAGTGCTGGTAACCACGCGCTATACATTGAATGCACGCATTGTATATGTACCGCGTGTTCACCGTACTAGTCTGTACGCGAGGGCAGATTGGGTTTCGCACCAATGTGGTACACAGAATACGACTATTCTGCGTTAGAAAAATTGTGTAGAGCAGATTCTGATAAAATTGAAAGTAAACTGTTGTGGCAGATTAATATTCTGGAAAAATAATGATTTTTTTGTAAATAATGAAAAATTTCGGCGGCACCTTTCGGCACATGCAGGCGGTGGACGGTATTCTATGACTTTCATTCCCTCGGCCTAAATTAAAGTTAAATTTATTTCAAAAGTTGTTTTGTATACGCGAAACGTACGACGACTTTGTTGAGTTTGTGTTGGCCGCCATTTTGTTTACGTGAAGCTAGCCATACTACTACGCCTGCGTGAAGTGTACAGCGCCATCCAAACTAGTTCCAGAAATGTGACGGAAATACTGGACTACCTCCGTATTAATCGTCACACATCCCACATGTGGTATGTGCATGGATGGTCCTGTTGCTAGGGGAACTGAAAATTAATTAATGATCAAAATTATTTTGTCAGCAGAAAATCAACCCAGCTATAGTATGACTGCTAAATAGCACCATTTTTTTTTTTTTTAAATGAAGAACTTTTTACCTTTAATTAATTACTGCACCTTTATTTTCCCTTTTTTCCAGTGTTGCTGATTTGCCTGCCTCCATAGATGTAAGTAAAGGAAAAGTTAGGCCAAAAAAAAAAAAATATTCGGTCTCTGGTCAGACCAAAGTTCCGGAATTGACGCGGCCACGCGGATTTTTTTTTTTTTTTTTTTTTCAAGCTTGGATTGTACAGACAAGGTGGGGTACTATTTTGCTTTTTTGGTGTCCTCATGTACATTGGTGTCCTCCATAATTTGCCTTGGTGCTTTTGATCATTTGCCTTGGTGCAATTTCCCATTCCTTGGTGCTCTTTGGTAAAAAAAAAAATGAGGAGGTGCGTAAATAGAGGGCGCTGTTGGAGCTACCGTGGAACATTTTGGAAAAAAAAAAGATCGACGCGCATGATTAAAATCGACGCGCGCGCTGACCAGAGACCGACTTATTATTTTTTTGGCCTTAATTGTAATTTTTTTTTTAATGGAAATCTTTTAATGGTTCATATCTTTTGATTAATGGGCTTTAAGCTTGCCTGTTCCTTCCTGTTACTTCCTGTGCTCAAGTAAGGTAACCCTGAAGCTTCAGCCACGGATGAAATTACTGACTTTCTCATGAACATGATGAGTATTGAAATTTGCGTCAAAAAAAAACCGACTGATTTTATCCTAGAATAGCAGTCTAATAGAAAGACTGATGCATGGGACCCAGGTTCATTTTCAAAGATTTCGTATTGTATAAAGTTGTATAAAATTAATAATTAATGTTCAAGTACCATGAATGTGTATATTGAAGCGCAATTAAGCCTTTCTAAATATAGGTTTTCTCAGCTTTTTTAAAAGATTTTTCATTCAAATTCACCAACTCGAACATTCAATTTGTCCACAAAAAAATTCACACGCTTTTAACAAAACCAATTTAGTCATTTTACCATTCAATTTTAAAGTTTGGTCACCCTCTGTAGTCAGCGGGTCGAGAATATTCGTAGAAGGGCCTCGATTTACCTTCTTTCTTTCTTTTTTCCTGTAGGAAAAGCCAATTGTGAAGAAAGTCAAAAAGGACCGAGCTGCGGTTGATATCGTCTTCTTCAAGTAAGTTTCGTTGTTTTTTAATATAATTTACACTGTGTGTACATGTGCATACGTACAGATTTTTGCATCAATCAGTGTCTATAATAATAAAGACTTGATAATTTGTACATTACGCAAATTCCCAATGAATATGATCAAATGCGCATCACAATTATCCCTGTTTATCAGGAATGATACCATTTTTTTCTGCAGCAGCTCGAGATCAGCGCAATTTGGTCTCAACCTTCACAGTACCCATTTATACTCCTGGGTGGAGAGAGGCAATTGTAGTAAAGTGCCTTGCCCAAGAGCACAAGCACTGTGTTCCCTGTCAGGGTTCGAACCCATGTACCACGGCACACGAGTCGAACCATTGGACCACAGCACCCCACGAAGTGTGTCTGTCACATAAATTATTATTGTGAGCTTTGGTTAGAACCGATGAAGGACCAAGACTATGCGCTCATCCACTGACTATACGAATAACATGTTTCCAATTCAAAGACTTGTGGTTTCAAAAAGATGACAAAAGCTTTGGTGATGTTATTGTAATCGTCAAAGTTGCATTGTTAAATTGTTTTATTAAATGAGTTTTGACTCAGACTCAAAACTAAAATGATATGTGGCTCAGACTCAGAAATACAATGATTTGTGACTGAGACTCAAGAGTAAAATCATATGTGACTCAGACTTAAAACTAAAATGATTTGTGACTCAGACTCAAAAGTAAAATGATTTGTGACTCGGACTCAAAACTAAAAAGATTTGTGACTCAGATTCAAAACTCAAATGATTTGTGACTCAGTCTCAAAACTCAAATGATTTGTGACTCAGACTCAAAAGTAAAATGATTTGTGACTCGGACTCAAAACTAAAAAGATTAGTGACTCAGACTCAAAACTCAAATGATTTGTGACTCAGACTCAAAACTAAAATGATTTATGACTCGGACTCGAAACTAAAATGATTTGTGACTCGGACTCAAAACTAAAATGATTTGTGACTCGGACTAAAAACTGAAATGATTTGTGACTCGGACTCAAAACTCAAATGATTTGTGACTCAGACTCAAAAGTAAAATGATTTGTGACTCAGACTCAAAACTAAATTAATTTGTGATTCGGTCTCAAAACTAAAATGATTTGTGACTCGGACTCAAAACTAAAAAGATTTGTGACTCAGACTCAAAACTCAAATGATTTGTGACTCGTACTCAAAACTAAAATGATTTTGTTTGCTTTGATTTTAAACAGACGTTTAGTGCGAGTTCTTAAAGTTCTCGTCCCAGGATGGTTTTCGGCAGAGGTATGTGATAATGGTTACTTTAAAAACCCAACAATTAACTCCAAACTTTATTCCCAGTTTACATTAAAGGGAATATACAACATTTGCAAACATCGAAAAACAAAACTACCATTTTTTTACGAAACACCTCACTAGGATGTTGGTAAATGACAGTCTAAAGCATCCTGTAAAATTATGGCACCAGGTGTGAAGTCATTTTCAAGAAAAGTGGTATTTTGTATACATTTCCAACAGTGGTCGGCCGACCACCGTTGGAAAAACCTAACTATTTTCCAACTGCTGCTCCAATTTTACCTTTTTTTCAGTCCAAATTTTGTTTGCTATTGGTAACATGTTCATGAATGGGTGCAGGCCAGCTAAACTGGTTCCCTTACCTTACAATTTTCTGGCAGTTATAAATTGATACATTTTATCTTAGTGGAGTCAGGGAACCAGACTACTTGAACATTTTTGTTTCTTGCTTTTTCCAACATTTTCGAAAACACAATTTAAAACATGTCAGTGTAACAATATTTGATCTATTATACTAACCCCTCAAATAGTTCATTTCCAAAAATTACAGCAAAAGCCAATGATGTACATTCCCTTTAACCCTAATTTACCTAAATCCATCAAAGTCCACACCCCTGTTTTGGAGGCTGATGGCCTATACTAAAAGGTATAGTCCATCATTTGTAATTTGAGCATTTTGTTCGTTTGAAGCAACAAAAGTGCTCAAGATCTAAAGACAGGTGCTGAACAACTAACCTGATGAAGTTTCAGCTCAGCTTCATCCGTATATTTCGAGAAAAACAACATTCTAGGATCTCGATTTCAAATGCTGAATCATGTTTTGAATTGGGCTTGAAGTCAGCGTCCGAGACACGTTCTCACTGAGCCAATTGCAGCTACGCGATGTCGCGCACTGATCCAACGAATTATAGCAACCGCGCATGCGTCGTGCCAATGCTTGCGCACACTTTGCCGAAAAAAACCCCAAACTACTTATTTGAATTTCCTACGGTGCTTACCGTTGGAAAGGCCTTCTTTTGCTGATTTCTTCAAAATGACAGCTTGCCAGAAAGAATAATTTCACAGGGAGTTTAGTCCCCATTCTATCTTTCAACCAAGTGTGTGTTTTTCAACAATAATTACGCCAGTTACTTTTTGGATAGCTGCAAATGATGGACTCTGGCTTTAAAATTATGCATCGTTTACTCGTTTCTGTTAATCAACTCGCATCAATGTCATCCTTTTGCAGGTGGGGTACCTTGCTTTAGTGGCGCTTGCCTTGATGGCGAGAACGTACTGCGATGTCTGGATGATCCAGAACGGAACGGCCATCGAAAGGTAAAAAAATACTTTATTCTTGTTAATAATATCTGATATAATTGTCTTTGTTTGGCTTTAAAATTTATTTTTGGCACTGGCCATTTCCCCTTTTTGGATGTTGACGTTCAATCATTAGGGAAGGGGAGAGACAGTCACTGCGTGGAAAATAACGAGTCTGTAATTATGATGCAAATGTCTAGGCACTAAAAGGCACCATTTGTTATCCAAGGAAAACAATAACAACGGAAATCCTGGTTAGTCTCATTGCAATGTGTGGTATGTGTTTGTGACTGATTAACGTTGATCTCTAATGGAACCGCATGGTAAAATCTCCTAAATACGGAATCATTAGTCCGGAATCCCTTGTATGTAAGCGCAGCAATTCTGGTTTCATACTTGTTTAAGTATATTTGCGTAATGTCACCCATTTATAGGGAGCATATTTTTCGTAGGATTACAAAGCACTACATCTAGATTCAGTGCATTCTGATTCCCCTACACTTCCAAGATTATTTTTCCAGTATAAGGCCCCCCCCCCCCCAAATACTCGGTTTCTGGTCAGCGCACGCGTCAATTTTAATCATGCGCGTCAACCTTTTTTTTTTTTTCAAATTAACACTGAAGCTACAACAGCTGCGCCTCCTCAAATTTTTGTACCAAGGAGCACCAAGGAATGGGGAAATTGCACCAAGGCAAATGATAAAGGGCACCAAGGCAAATTATGGAGGACACCAATGTATAATGAGAACACAAAAAAAGCAAAATAGTATCCACCTTGTCTGTACAATACAAGCTTGAAAAAATAAAGCAAAAAAAAATATTAAAAACGCGCAACTTTGCAAAAAGTATTTGCAATGACTTACGGTGCAAAATTTATGCTCACTTTACTTTGCGAATAGCAGTCATGTACAAATATACAACGTGTCACAGACTCCCACCTCGTGGTTCTAGAATGCACAAAATACTATCCAGGAACCAGATTTTTAAACACATTTTCTAATTCGCTGTTTCAACATTGGTTTTGGGCGATTTCTTATAAAGCTCTTGGATTCGAACGCTGGCTAAACTTATGGCCTCCTTTTATAAATTTTGGTATATAGTGTTCAAATAATCGTGACTCGAATTGACTCTTGGCTAAATATTTGACTCGACTTGACTCGACTCGACCTTTTGACCTAATGACTCGACTCGACTCGAGTCACTTCTTTAAAATGACTCGACTCGACTCGAGTCATTTCTTTAAGATGACTTGACTCGACTCATGTAACAAAAATCAGTGACTCTTCACAACTCTGCCAGCGGTAAAAGTAAATCAGCATATTGCATGCTTTCATAAAAAGTACCAGGATGACTGCAATATTACGGTACCCGGAGACTGCAATAATATTATTATTGCAGTCATCCGGGCATTTTCGCTGGTTCCCGCACGATCAAGAGCATAGAAAGTCACAGTTGTTAACCACTCAACAGAGCGTAGCGCGCGTTGCGCGCGTGCAGCGCGAAGAAGGCCAGGTATACGCGCAATGTTGTCATCAATTACAGTAGCTTCAAATAGTTTGACGAAAAAGATGAAATGAAGACAGTGTCTTGAATTGTATCTCGTGCGGGTCAAGTCAGCCTGATATAAATAATAATAATAATATTGGATGGCTTTTTTTTCAGTGGCTACAAGGATATATTGCACTCGCTACGACAATATTGCACTCGTCTGTCATAGCTCATGCAATATATTCTTGTATCCATCTCAAAGCCATCAAATATTTTATAATTATTTGTTATCCAAGGAAAACAATAACAACAGAAATCCTGGTTAGTCTCATTGCAATGTGTGGTATGTGTTTGTGACTGATTAACGTTGATCTCTAATGGAACCGCACGGTAAAATCTCCTAAATACGGAATCATTAGTCCGGATTGTCTGGTATGTAAGCGCAGCAATTCTGTTTTCATACTTGTTTACGTATATTTGCGTAATGTCACCCATTTATAGGGAGCATATTTTTCGTAGGATTACAAAGCACTACATCTAGATCAGTGCATTCTGATTCCCCTACACTTCCAAGATTATTTTTCCAGTATAAGGCCCCCCCCCCCCCCAAAAAATACTCGGTCTCTGGTCAGCGCACTCGTTGATTTTAATCATGCGCGTCAACCTTTTTTCTTCTTTTTTTCAAATTAACACGGAAGCTACAACAGCTGCGCCTCCTCAGATTTTTGTACCAAGGAGCACCAAGGAATGGGGAAATTGCACCAAGGCAAATGATACAGGGCACCAAGGCAAATTATGGAGGACACCAATGTATAATGAGAACACAAAAAAAGCAAAATAGTATCCACCTTGTCTGTACAATACAAGCTTGAAAAAATAAAGCCAAAAAAACCCCCAAAAAACGCGTCGCCGCATCAATTCTGGAACTTCGGTCTGACCAGAGACCGACTATATTTTTTTTTTGGCCTAACTAATCTAGTATAAACCTACATGGCGCTTTAATATTCCATTAAAAATATTTAACCCACATGAATATACATGTAGGTTTTCCCGGTTACTTAAACACTTCTATGTGACAGATTCCATGGAAATCTACTGTAATTTTGTTCCGCAACTTGGTTATTAATTTCAATTCAAATATGCCCCAATAGATTTCATTTTACGCGCAGTGTACTTCATGAATATAGCATTCCAATGCGTCCTAGTTGCGAAAAATTCCTCTCGAGTTGAAATTGGCATTGCATTGAAACATACCAGGAAACCTGAGAAAAATATTTCCAATTTGGTAATGAAAAATCAGATTCTGGAGCTGTGGTCAGCTGACGTCGATCTTAAACGTGAAAGGACCCATGTAATGGATTTTTATAACCCTAACTCCCAAGGCATTTTTGCTAGGATGCAACTTCATCCTGCAAAATCCTCCAACTGCCTCCATGTAAAAATTGCGTAACCTCAATCCCCGTTATTTCTTGAATGTGGTCCTCGGAGGGGTGACCACTGCCTCAATCCTGCAAAATCCTCCAGCAATCACTGTCAATATGTTGAGGTAGAGCAAGTGACATCCTGAAGCAGTGCGGAGGATTTGAAATATTATGTAGGCGGGCAGGCCTAAATTTATGCACGGCTGAGCATAAACAACACAAGGTCTGGTCCATGACCTTGACACAGTGCATCTGTGTCAAAAATCCTCCATTTTTGCAAAGTGGATTTTGCAAAATCCTCCATTTTGCAAAGTGGATTTTGGAGGATTTTGGAAGGTTAGCGTCAATGTATTGTAATCCTTGAAAGTTTATGTACCTTCATGCTCATTTACACATTTACCGGGTATCTTTATTTTTAATCTTCATACTACCACTTTAAGGGCGTTTTTGGTGCCTTTTTGGTTTTCATGCTAATGCAAATTTCCATATTCATGAGCAAAACTCTGATGTCACGCAAGGCAGAAACTTCACTTTCACATCTGCTTCAGCATAAAAAAGTCACCGGAATTTTAGGTTTTTTGCTGTGGTTAAGTTTCTGCTTTCAATGTTCACTGTTGTTTCGGTATACGGTATATGCCAGTAATACAGTGAGAAAACTTTATGCACGCATGTTTTCAATAAGCAGAAGTTTTGGGTTTACAATTTGATGAGAAAAACCCCAATCTGAAGAGTGTGTTCCTCAGAGTGTGACATCACAGCAACAGCGCCCTCAGTTGTCAGGAAAGGCATGAAACATTTAAAATGTTTTTTTTAATGTGCAATTTGCAAAATTTATTTTTCAAAAAGGGATGTCTCATAGTTTTTATACATGTCAGAGGAATGGATAATTATTTGCTACAAATATTCTCCAGTGTAAAATTCATTTCATGGACACTTTCATTGGCAACTCCTTTTTTTCTTTTTTTTTGGTTTCGTTTGTAACAGCTCTATTATTGGTCGGGATATCAACCTCTTCAAGAAGTATCTGTTGAACTTCCTCTACGCCATGCCCGCGGTGAGTCACAATTTTCAAATTCCAACAAAACTGACTCAAGTTTGGATCAGTAAGAAAACTGAATAATTTTGAGTGATTGAGGGCGCCATTTTGGGAGTATGAATGGATGTGAACCTAAGGGCAAGTTTGATCAGGAACCAGTGGTTTAACTAGTGATTGGTTCGTGACGTACCTAACGCATGCGCACTGAAGTTGAAGTGCGAACGACTCTAGTCGAACTGTTGTCATGTCAACGACCGTGAGATAATGGCGGTCGCATAATTTTTCAACACTTGATGTTTCTGTTTTCAACTTCTGCCCCCAATTTAATACAATACTTAGTTAGTCTGCATTCTGTTTGCAATCCATTACACACCTATGAGCAGGCACAAGCCGGCTAGTCTAGTTCCTTGACCTTACAATTCCCCGACATCTATAAATTGCTCCATTTTATCTAAAGTGGGGTCAGGGAACCAGACTACAAGAACATGATTGTTTTTCTTGGTTTTTCCAGCATCTACGCATTTCTTAACTTGAAGTAATTTTTTATCACACACTTTTTAGCTTTATGAGATTTTTTTCCTTTTTACTGTTATTGAAGGTAGTTTGGGATTTTTTTTTGGGGGGGGGTGTTTAAATGACATTTTTTTTTGTTTTTTTGTTCATGGTAAATTATATATATGTAATATCTGGTGGGTTTTTTTGGTTAAGGGTTAATGTTACGATTTGTGTAAGATTTTGATGTTTCTTTGTTTTTAATCAAACCATTTTCATGTTTGGTTGCAAATAAATACATTAATAATAATAACAAAACTTCAAACAAGTCAGTGTAACAATATCTGCTATGAAATACTGAACCCCCAAATCCATCCATTTCTGAAAATTACAGCACAACAAGCAAATGTTGTATATTCCCATTAAGTGGCAGGGTACCTCGACGTTTATTTTAATTTGAACAAAATGTGTATCATATTTTAGAACGTAATGAATGAAAAAAAATTAAACCTGGTTTGTGTTTTTTCTTGACCTCTCTTAGATTTCACTCATCAACAACCTACTGAAGGTAAGATAATTTGAAAGAACAGTAGTTTTTTTCATGAAATTCTAGTTTGATTGTAATTTTCCTTTTTGGTTTTGGTGGGTTTTTTTTTATCCACAAGCCTTTCATTCCCAGTACTGAGTGCGTCTTAAGTGGGACTGCCTCTGTTAACGACCACTTGATGTACTCGCAGTGCGTGTGTTCATAATGGCCCCTATTACGATTGACGGATGTTTATGCCATATTTCTTTTGGGTTTTTTTTCTGCTGGAGTATGAAGTCTTACCTCCTGTGGCGGAAGTACTCAAAATGGGGAAATGGTTTAAAGGATAATCGGTCGTTCAATTTCCATTTCATGATTTTTTTTGTAATGGAGAATTCGTCTTGAGATACGAAAATCCTTGGAATAGGCCTACTTAATACAGGGTCTGTGCAATGTAATTCTTTTGAATGCAATCCTTGAAAATCCACTTTTGTGTCCAATTCATCTTTATTATCAATTGTCAACTTGCCATTCTCACGGGTATTTTGGTGGGTTTTTTTGCTTTTATGTTAATGCAAATTCCCGTATTCAGTGTTACAGCTAATTCAGCCCAAAACGTTGTTAGAATTTGGGATATTTTGCTGTTGTATATTTGTTTTCTTTAGGCGATTCGTTGTCGTGCTAGTACACGGCAGGAAGCCAATGAGCAAACCTTTCTCACAAATGTTTTCCTTGAGCACATTTTGGGTTCACAATTTGAACTAAAAAACCCCTAAACTGAACAGTGTCTTCCTGGAATGACATCGCAGCAACATCGCCCTCAGTTGTCCGGAAAAGCATGGACAGTATTAAATGTTTAAAGAAGTGCACTTTTCAAATTAACCAAAAAGGGATGTCAAATAGTTTTCATACATTTAACAGGAGTAGAATGTTGCAAAAAATGTGTTTCTAAGACAAATTCATCGCATGGACCCTTTGAAAAAAGGAACATAAATGGAACTGTCTGCTTTTGCATTTGGATTAATCTTTAAAATTAAATGCACAGATCCTTATAATGAATACAAACATGTAGGAAATTTGTTTTTGCAGTTTGGTCTGAACGAGGTCAAACTTCGGTTTAGGACGCGGCTAACTTCCCATCTGTATGAGCAGTATTTGAAGTAAGTCAATGAACTTAACAAAATAAATTTATCCCACATTGAAAAAATATATTTACAAATGGAGCTGCCCATAAACTGTTGTCCATTCTGTAAAAAATACATATTTTTTAGAATGGTCGTCTAACATAACAGCTTCAAAGTCCCTACTGAAAAGTTCGGACAAGAGGTCCTTATTTATACAATTTGATTGAATTTTCAAATTAAGTACCAAAAAAAACCAAAAAAACAAAACCTAAAGACAAAAAATGATTTTACTAATTGCATGCATTTTACCGCCCATGATTAAACATTTTTACTGTCTGTCATTTTCGGGCATCGGATTTAAAAAAAAAAAATAAATTTCCAGTATTATTTAATTTTGGATTTCTCAATGGGGCATTAAATGACCAAAAAAAAATTTGTCCTTCAATAAGCAACAGATAAAGAAAATTTCAAATGCAAACCGTCTTCTTACTCCATAGGTTTCATTATGTAAGTTGGAATTAAATGTAATCTTTGTACATTGAGAAAAGTATGATGTATATGTAAGATAAAATAAAGTGCAGGATGTACTTAAGGCCAACAAAAAAAATAAGTCGGTCTCTGGTCAGCGCGCGTCGATTTTAATCATGCGCGTCAATCTTTTTTTTTTCCCAAAATGTTCCCAACAGCGCCCTCTATTGCCGCACCTCCTCAATTTTTTTTTATCAATGAGCACCAAGGAATGGGAAATTGCACCAAGGCAAATGATCGAGAGCACCAAGGCAAATTATGGAGGACACCAATGTACATGAGGACACCAAAAAAGCAAAACAGTACCCCACCTTGTCTGTACAATCCAAGCTTGAAGAAAAAAAAAAAAAAAACTGCGTCGCCGCGTCAATTCCGGAACTTAGGTCCAACCAGAGACCGAATATTTTTTTTTTTTGCCTAAGGTAGAGTATTTCATTTGCAGCTATCCAAAAAGTAACTGACAAAATTATTGTTGAAAAGCATACTTGGTTGAAAGATAGTAATGGCACTAAACTCCCTGTGAAATTATTCTTTTTTGCATGCTGTCATTTTTAAGAAAACAATAAAAGAAGGTCATTTCCAAAGATGTGTCTGAAGATGCAGTTTTGGAAACTTTTGGAACTTTTTGGAAATTTCTGTTAGTACTTCGTTTTTAATTCGGCGAAGCCTTGAATGGGTGCGCGCAAGCGTTGACACGACGCACACACGCGTGCAGTTGCTATAATTCATAGGTTCAGTGCGTGACATTGCGTAGCTGCAATTGGCTGAATGAGAACATGTCTCGGACGTTGATTTCGGGCACAATTCAAAACATGACTCGGCAACTTTTGAATTGAAATTGAGATCCTAGAGTATTGTTTTCTCAGAATATACAGCATTCACTGAGCTGAAACTTCATCGGGTTAGTTGTTAAGCAGACTTGTTCAGATTTTGAGCACTTTTGTTGCTTCAAACGGAAAAAAATGCACAAATGACAAATGATGTTCCCTACCTTTAAAGCATTTATCGTTCAATCGTGTAGTTTCCATTAAATTAATGTGAAGTTTCCATACTGATGTATAATGCTCCTTTAAAGGGAATGTACATCATTGGCTTTTGCTGTAATTTTCTGTTTGAAGTTTTGTGTTCGAAAATGCTGGAAAAACCAAGAAAAACAAAAATATTCAAGTAGTCTGGTTCCCTGACTCCACAAAAGATGAAATGGATCAAACATACCGAAAAATTGTAAGGTAAGGGAACCAGTCTAGCTGGCCTGCACCCGTTCATGAGCATGGAACCAATAGCTAGCAAAACAAAATTTAGACTAAAAAAAAAAAATGGTAAATTTGGTGCAGTAATTGAAAAATAGTTAGGTTTTTCCAACGGTGGTCGGCCGACCAGCGTTGGAAATGTATACAAATATACCATTTTCTTGAAAATGGCTTCACACCAGGTGCCATAATTTTACAGGATGCTTAAGCATGTCATTTACCAACATCCTAGTAAGGTATTTCGTTACAACTTGGTAGTTTTATTTTTCGATGTTTGCAAATGTTGTATTTTCCCTTTAAAACTGAAAGAGTCAAAGAGAAATGAAATGAATATGATAGCAAAATGATTGGAACTTGAGATAATGATAATTTTTTTTTTTTTTTTTGCTTGTCAACTCACAGGGGATTCACGTATTACAAGATGAGTAACCTTGACAACCGCATCGCTAATGCCGACCAGCTCCTGACGCAGGATGTGGAGAGGTTCTGCAACAGTGTGGCCGATCTCTACTCCAATCTCAGCAAGGTAAAAAACAGAAAAGAAGGAAAAAACCATCCGACTTGAAGATGAAAGACAGACCTGTGTTAGGGCTACTGAACTTTTCAGCTGGATATTATAATTAGGGGCATCCATAAAGTACGTACGCTTGAAATGCCGACTTTGTCGGACCCCCCTCTGTAAGTATTGCATACGCAGTTGATCCAACACCCCCCTCCCCTGCTGTACGCATACGCATTCCTTAAATTGATACAAGAAAGATACATGTACAGTAAACTTGTGTTTACGTTACATACCAAGTGTGGACATTCCCTTGGTTTCGTGTAGTTAAGAAAAACCTCTGGAAAAAATCATTTTACGCTCACTGTGAATTTTTTTTTTTTTTATGATTCCCTTTAGTGTTTCTCTTCATTTTGCCACGGATAAACCTAACCACAAAATGCCTCTAAACCTGTTTTGCCAGAAATGGGGAAACACTGTGTGGACTTGCCCACGTCCACACAAAGTCCCCTCTACCTGGTTTATGTGGACCTCTTTTGTTGGAAGTCCACACAGTGAATGTAATGCCTACCATCTTTATGTTTCCGGTGTACATGTACTGCACATAAGCATGTACAAGTACAGTGTATGTGTATGTGCACGTACATGTACATTACATGTACATTATAAAGTGTTACGAATTTGTTATGCATGCCGGCTAATTGAAGCAGTCTTTTTATTTAGTAATGTCGCGGTCTCTGGGAAGATGAATTGTGGGGGTGAAAGGTACAGTAAAACAATTTTTGATGCATAAAAGCTGCTCCTTTGTGTGTATTAAAAATGAGAAATTACATTGATTTCATGACAATTTATTGAAAGCAAATAATCAGTCTGCGTATGCACCTCAGTTTGACCCCCCCCCCCCCTACGCATGGTGAACGCAATGTTTAAGTCTAACCAGTGGTGTCCTCCAACTCTCATTGTGAGTTGGTATTGTGCACGGAAGTCCATAACAGAGGTTTTTTGGTGACTTTTTCTGGTCCCATCTACAGCCTGTGTTGGACATTCTCATCTACATACGAGAATTGGCGGCCAGTATAGGAGCGCAGGGCCCCGCCTACATGATAGGCTACCTACTCTTCTCAGGGCTGGTGCTTACAAGGTGAGTTGTAGCTGGACATTCCATGTGACTTCATGTCGTGTTGAGAACACCATAGAGTGAGAGGTGCATTGTGGGTAATCTGTTTATAGATTCTGTCTTGTGCATGCCTTCGGCCATGTTGGCCATGCTTCTGTCTTGCCGTTGTGAAAAACTTAATCAACATGTAATTGAGAGTCTGCAGTGAAGAATTAATCCCTTTCCCCCTTCCATCCGAACCTGGTAATGGTCATTGGACAGTTACAGAGTGCACAGCTCATGACATTGAAAACAGACACACATGTTGTTTGAATTGATCTGCTTACTTATATGGGGAGTTTGAGTCGGTAGTATCGAAAACGAAGACCCCTAAAACGAAGACCGAAGACCTAAGACCCACTCGAAAAACAAAGACCCACTCGAAAACAAAGACCCACTCCAAAACAAAGACCCACTCCAAAACAAAGACCCACTCCAAAACAAAGAACCACTCCAAAATAAAGACCCACTCCAAAACAAAGACCCACTCCAAAAAAAAGACCCACTCGAAAACGGGTCTTCGTTTTCGAGTGGGTCTTCGGTCTTCGTTTTAGGAGTCTTCGTTTTCGATACTACCAGTTCGATTCCTGCAATGTTGAAGCCTCAACCAGAAGAATGCCACTCCAAAATCCTAAAATTCTAACAACAAGGGCCAAGTTCGGGCAAGGACCATTAGTCGACTAGTGGTTGATTTGTGACGTGCCTTACGCCTGCGCACTGATAGCAACGTGCGAACGTCTCTCGTCAAACGCTGGTCAAAATGTCATAGCAAAACTTCTGGATCCTGGCTCTCTGCTAGCGTTATGAATGCGCGCGGCTATTGGTTACCAGCGAAGCAACCAACCCAGTAGGCTGGTTCCAAATAGTTGACTAGCGTAGTCAACCACCGTTGACTAGACAGAGTTCGGGCAAACGTTAGTTAACCATTGATCAACTATAGTCCTTGCGCGAACTTGGCCTTTGGTGCTAAGATAGCTGTGATACATAAGTTTCTGCTTTGAATGACATCAATTTTTGCCCATGAATGTGAAAATTGTGTAAGAATTAAAAAAACCAAAAAAAAAACGCATACACAAAAAACCTCATTAAAACTGGAAATACGAAGATTGAAAATGAAGGGACACAAAGGGATATTTTCAAGGATATATGGTTAAAAAAATGTCTTTCATGGATCTTTCAAGGTTACGTCGGCCAGTAGGTAGAATGACAGTGGAGGAACAGCGATACGAAGGGGAGTTCCGTTACGTCAACTCTCGCCTGATCACTAACAGCGAGGAGGTGGCGTTCTACCAGGGCAACAAGCGGGAGCAGAGAAACATCTACCACGCCTTCAACAAGCTGGTGAGAGCATTACGCATGACTTGTAAACCTGATCCGTTAACACCCCGCCCCCTAATGTTTTTGACCAATAGCAGTGGTGATAAATGGCGACATGGGTGGGTCGTTTGCTTCACATCAACACTCTTAGAGGAAGAATACATTAAAGAGAATATACAACATTTGCAAACATCAACAAAAAAAACCTACCAATTTTTTACGAAATACCTTACTAGGATGTTGGTAAATGACAGTCTAAAGCATCCTGTAAAATTATGGCACCTGGTGTGAAGTCATTTTCAAGAAAAGTTGTATTTTTGTATTTATTTCCAACGATGGTCGGCCGACCACCGTTTAGTTTAGTCGGAAAAGGGGGGTATCGTGCACCCTCGGAAATCAATTTCTAATCAACGTTTCTAGGTCAGAAAAAATGCGTAGAAAACGATTTGCTATGTTAAAAAATTCATAAAATGTCCCACGTATTGTTTTTATGCAAATTAGTGCCGCCATTACCGAAAAATCTATTTTTAATTATATCTCAGCCAATATTGCAGATAACTGAACGAACTAGGTGTCTAAACCTATGTTTTCAAGGTCAGAGATCACAATAAAACTATTCTGGAAGTGACCACGTGTGCCTGTGGCATAGGAATATGCAAATTAGTGCCGCTAATACCGGAAAATCATGTTTTTGGCATATCTCGGCCAATATAGCACATAACTACACCAGTAAGGTGTCTTAAACCCATGTTTTGAGGGTCAAGTATCATTAGAAGACCATTTACGAAGTAACTATGTGTGTCATTGGCATGAAAATATGTAAATTATAAAGTGTCGGTTTATCTGATATTTGATTTTTAGCCAATATCTCGGCCAATATTGCACTTAACTACACAAGTAAGGTGTCTAAACCCATGTTTTGAGGGTCAGGTATCATTAGAAGACCATTCACGAAGTAACTATGTGTGTCTTTGGCATGAAAATATGTAAATTCTAAATTGCCGGTTTATCAAAAAAATGATTTTCAGCCAAATTATATTCAATTTCAGCCAATATAACAGTTTATGATGGCTTAAAATAAACTTTGATCATTATTGCTTATCAAAAACCCCTCTGTCAACATTAGCTGCAATATTGGCCGAGATATTGGCTAAAATCAAATTTCTGATAAATCGACACTTTAGAATTTACATATTTACCTGCCAAAGACACACATAGTTACTTCGTGCATGGTCTTCTAATGATACCTGACCCTCAAAACATGGGTTTAGACACCTCACTTGTGTAGTTATGTGCAATATTGGCCGAAATATTGGCTAAAAATCAAATATCTGATAAACCGACACTTTATAATTTACATATTTTCATGCCAAAGACACACAAAGTTACTTCGTGAATGGTCTTCTAATGATACTTGACCCTCAAAACATGGGTTTAGACACCTTACAGGTATAGTTATGTGCTATATTGGCCGAGATATGCCAAAAACATGACTTTCCGGTATTTGCGGCACTAATTTGCATATTCCTATGCCACAGACACATGTGGTCACTTCCAGAATAGTTTTATTGTGATCTCTGACCTTGAAAACATGGGTTTAGACACCTAGTTCTTTCAGTTATCTGCAATATTGGCTGAGATATAGTTACAAATAGATTTTCGGTAATGGCGGCACTAATTTGCATAAAAACAATACGTGGGACATTTTTTGAATTTTTTAACATAGCAAATCGTTTTCTACGCATTTTTTCTGACCTAGAAATGTTGACTAGAAATTGATTTCCAAGGGTGCACGATACCCCCCTTTTCCGACTGAACTAGTTGGAAAAACCTAACTATTTTTCAACTACTGCTCCAAATTTACCATTATTTTCAGTTCAAATTGTGTTTGCTATTGGTTACATGTTCATTAAAGGGTGCAGGCGAGCTAGACTGGTTCCCTTACCTTACAATTTTCCGGCATCTTTAAATTGATCCATTTCATCTTTAGTGGAGTCAGGGAACCAGACTACTTGAACATTTTTTGTTTTTCTTTGTTTTTCCAGCATTTTCGAACACAAAACCTCAAACATGTCAGTGTTACAATATTTGATCTGTAATACTAACCCCTCAAATAGTTAATTTCTGAAACTTACAACAAAAGCCAATGATGTACAATGAGTACAAAATCATAAATGTCAGATGTAACAGGCACAGGATAAAAGTAGACCCACATTTTATAGAATAATCCTTGTCCAAAACTCTCTCCCACGAAATGTCGATTTGGCTTATTAATGGATTTTATTATTAAAATGATTTTTTTTCCCTGGGCCCTTGGAGACCAGAAATTTGTTACATATTAAGTAAGATTTGAGGCTTTGCATGGTGGAGATACTAAATAATGAAAGATTTGCGGAAACACCGTGTGCGAATAATTTCTCAACTAAGAGAATGGTTCTGAAAAGAAACAGAGGTATAAACTCGACGTTCCGGTCAGTATGCTCTCCTGAAGACGGTCAGAGCATACTGACTGGAACGTCGAGTTTATACCTCTGGTTCTTTTCAGAACCATTTTCTTAGTTGAAAAATTATTCGCACATGGTGTTTCCGCAAACCTTTCATTATTTGTTACATATTAAACCTCGTACTGATGCCCCATCTATACTCGTTTCTGTAGGTGGACCACTTACGCAACTTCATTTTCTTCCGTTTCTCCATGGGATTCGTGGACAACATCATCGCAAAGTGTGAGTAGAATAGTGACTTGTTCCCATTTCTTCAGAGAGAATATTATTAAGTGGGTAAAGTTTGCATGTGTGCATGGACTGGCTAACGATGCCCATGCACTGAAGCAGCCATCAGCCAATATTGGGTCACCGCAGTAAATGCTAGGGCAAGTTCGATCAAAGAGCATAGTTCGACCATATTTTGTGGGGCGATGTGGTCCAATGGTTACGGTGTTCGACTTGTGTGCCGTGGTACATGGGTTCAAATCCTGACCGTGGGAACATGGTGCTTGTGCTCTTGAGCAAGGCACTTCACCATTATTGCTTCGTCCTTCGGATGGGACGCAAAGCCGTAGGTCCCTTGTGTAGTGTAATGCACGTTAAAGAACCCAGTAACACTTGTCGCTAAGAGAAGGGGTTTGCCCCGGTGTTTCTGGCAGTGGCAGCAATTATGCGCCGCAGCACCTAGCAAAAAAGGTGCTACATAATGGGTCTCATATGTTCACATACTTCATTTACCTGTCTTTGGTTGCATTCTCCCCCAGCGCTTTGTATCCTCTGGCAAAAGGCGCTATATAAATACAGTTATTATTATTATTAATATTTTGACTTTGATTAGTATGTTATAGCAAATATTGTTAAACTGACTTGTTTCACGTTTTGGGCTTGTAGATGCTGGAAAAACCAAGAAAACCAGTCATGTTCTTGTAGTCTGGTTCCCTGACCCCACTTAAGATTAAACGGAGAAATGTAAAGACTTTGGGGAATTGTAAGGTCAAAGAATCACTCGAGCAGGCTTGTACCCTCTTCACAGGTGTGTAATCAATTGCAAAGAAAGTGCGGAATAACTAAGTGAAAAGTTAGGAGCAGTTTTGGAAAAAAGCCATTTTTTTGCCAAACGCTGGTCGGCTGACCAGCGTTGGAAAAATACAGTTTTTCTTGAAAATGTCAGCACACCAGGAGCCACGATTCTACAGGATGCTTTAGACTGTCAATCCCTAACAATTCAGTAAGGTATTTCGGGATTATTTGATCATTTCGTTTTTTGATGTTTGCAAATGTTGTATCTTCCCTTTAAGTGAAAAAAATCCTCTATGTATGTATGCTTGGAGTAACCTTTTGGGGATCCAATATGGCGGATCGGTTGCTTCAAGGCGCATTGGCCAATTAGCATGTAGTACCCCCAAAAATTAATAATTTAAACAACTCTGCTCATTTCAGACTTTGCTACAGTAGTGGGCTACCTTGTGGTCAGCCGCCCCTTCATGAACCTTAACCACGCCCCTTTCAAGGGTCAGAGCCACTCCTTCATGATGCAGGTGAGTCAAAAAAATGAGTTTTTATTTTTTTATTAGATGAAGGAAAATTCCTCATTTAGTACTGAGAGTATTCATTCTTAGCAAATGGCAGTACTAAATATTACAGAAGAAGAAATGGTTACTGAATTTAGAATTCTGAATTCAAAGTTTTTGCTTATTGTATTCCTACAAACTTTGTATACATAAAACATTGTTGAGTGCCTTAATACAAGTTGCATTCCATAGCTTAGCAAGAATGATTAGCCCCTACAAAACTTGAAAAGCTTATGTTGAATTTGACCCTAAATATTTGAAACTACAATGTATTAAGTCTGTTAACATTTTGTGAAGGGATTTTGACGAAGTGCACCCTTTACATGTGATTGAAATTGGCTTTTTTTTTTCAATTCCAAGCATCCAACTTAATTTATTTTGAAATTATATCTACTTTGAACTAATAAAAAACTAATGAAAACCAGGGCCCAATTTCATGGCACTGCTAAGCACTCAATTTTCTGCTAACCGAGTATCTGTCTGCACTTTCCGTAAGCAGTAAGCGCATCAAAAAACACTCTTAATTACAGAGGAAAAAATTTGCTGATAAAATTGACGTAACAATAGAAAACCCTATGCTCGCACAACCGTTAGCGCGTCAAATTTCCTACTATAGTAAGCACAACTTTTCTGCTTATTGTTAAGCAGCGCCATAAAATTGGGCCTAGCCAGCCATGTCGGACTTAAAGGAAACATGCAGTAGGATTTTTATAACTGAAATACATTTAAAACAGCTTTCTGGCCATGTAACTATGACTTTCAACCGCCTTTGTAGCAGTAAAAGGGAGAAATTTCAACATTTTAGTTTTGATGCTAATGAAAATTTCCATATTCATGAGCCAAAGCGTGATGACATTCAAGGCAGAACAGTAGTGTCTCCAAAGCTTTGTGCAGAAATATATCAAACTTTTGCTTCATTTTCTTGGAGTCAGTTCGACTTTTTACTTGTTTATTATGACAGCTTGTTTGGACAATAGTAGTGGCCAATATTTCTTCAAAAAAATTGTGTAGGTAATTTTGGAGGACTTGTTTTTGTACTGTTCATATGCACTTTTGACAAGGAGTACCTTGTGAGACAAAAGCAAAATAGCAGCCTAAAAGGATTTGCTAATAATTGAAAAACTACCGTTTTCTTGTCACTTCCAATGAAATCAACTATTAAGATCTTGTGCCGGTATGCATTGTTGCAACACGTAGTAATGTGCCTGAAAACAAGATGAGCTGAATTTCCACTGCATGTTTCCTTTAAAGCTATAGTCCATCATTTGCAGCTATCCGAAAAGTAGCTGGCGTAATTATTGTTGAAAAACATACTTGGTAATGGTTGAAAGATAGTAAGGGGACTAAACTCCCTGTGAAATTATTATTTCTGGCAAGCTGTCATTTTGAAGTAATCAACGAAAGAAGGCCTTTCCAACGGTGCATCTTAAGACGCACCGTAGGAAAATTTAAAATAGTGGTTCGTTTTGTTATTTGGCGAAGCGCGCGCAATCATTGGCACGACGCACACGTGCGCGGCTGCTATAATTCGTCGGATCGCTGCGCAATATCGCGTAGCTGCAATCGGCTCAGCGAGAACGTGTCTCGGACGCTGAATTCATGCGCAATGCAAAACATGATTCAGCAACTTCTGATTTGAAATTGAGATCCTAGAATGCTGTTTTTCTCGGAATATACAGCTGAAGCTGAGCTGAAATTTCATTAGGTTAGTTGTTCAGTACCCTTCTTTAGATTTTGAGCACTTTTGTTGCTTCAAATGAACAAAATGCACAAATTACAAATTATGGACTATAGCTTTAACTTGATCATTCCCCCCACCGTTAATGCCACAGACCTACTACAAGGCCGGCTACATGATTTTACGCATGTCCCAAGCAATCGGTCGCATTGTCCTAGCCGGACGCGAAATGGCCCGGCTGGCTGGGTAAGTAATCCCCTCCCTGAATGTATTGCCACCTCCTGGGAAACCAAATGGAATCTTCCATCAGGCTTTAAAAAAAAATGAAAGTGTGGAAGCTTCCATTTTGTTTTACAGGGGTTGATTTTTGTATTCAAGGTGCCTGTGTACTCATTGGCCAATCATGTGCATCGCCAATCACAAACCCTTGGGTTCGAAGTTTGTAAAACTGTGTCTCAGTAATTTGGGCGATTCACAATGTAGTGTGCCACCAAGAGTTTGCCATGGAGAGTCCATTTTTCAAGTTTACGGTCGACAAAACATGACCCATTTGAATGAGTGTCAGTAGACAACTTGAGCTTATTTGTCATAGATTGAGCTTATTTGTCATAGATTGGGCATAGCGTTCTGCCGCCTTACAAAAAACACCATATTGATAAAAAGAAAAGAAAAGGGCAAACCTATTCTTGAATCATACGCTTACGAAACTTCTGACCGGAAAAAAATAACATTTTCAAATGTCCCGCGCTGCGAATTTGTCAACTATCTCCCACAATGCACTGGGAAAAATGAGCTCTCTGTGGCAAACTCTTGGTGGCGCACTGCATTGTGAATCGCCCGAATTGTCAACTTTCCGAAGCAAAATAAAATGAAAAGCTGAACCCGTTTTACTTCGAACCCAGAGGTTTCGCATAGTTCCCAGACTCCTTGTCACTATTTCCCCTATTACTTTGTTCAATGATCAGGAGTATTACCAGGCGGGGCGCATGCTGCTTCGCATGGCTGAGGCCGTTGGTCGTATTGTCCTGGCTGGTCGAGAAATGACTCGATTGGCGGGGTGAGTCTGCATTTCTCACTTGTTTTCTCATTCCTCAAAATTAGAAGAAGAAACTCATTCCTCAAAATTAGAAGAAACTCATTCCTCAAAATTAGAAGATGAAACAAAATCTCTTCCCAATTTTTCACTTTGTTTTTTACATTTTCCACTTTCATTTATCCCCAAGCTTATGCCATCTGCTTGCCCCATAATTTTTGTTAATATTTTAATGGTGGGTTTGTGTTTTACAGCTTATTATTTAATCAGATAGAAGGCCAAATTTGAACATTTTCAATCGGTGTTTTTTTTTCTTGGCTAAAAAATCGGTGGATGTTTTGAAGGGTTAACGATTTGCCTGGTGGATGGTGACTAAACAAAAAAGTGATCTTAATAAAAGCTTGTCCTGCATATAGACCTTATTCATATGGAACCCATTTTGATCGTGTTCCCTGAATGTTATTTAAATATGCGATTTTGTCGCACGATAAGGTCGCGTGTTTTTATATGTGGGTCATTCCACCGGGTTGGGGAACAATGTGTGACATATGACCATATTAAGAAAAGCATGAATGCCTTGCTAGCAATTGCTCTACATAATATTTGATGTTGTGTGTTTCACTACTGCAGAAAGTTTGAAATCATTTCAATGTATTTTGCCAAAAATTTGAGCAAAAAATGTCATTTTGGACGCAACACTGACACCGTATCAGTGTTACGTCCAAATATGACATTTGTACCTGTTTTTTTAATTTCTGCGAAACATTACTCAAATTCACTTTGGGTACTTCTTACTATACATGCAACACAATAAGAAAAGCTTTTGTTATGGTAGTCAGGTATCAAATGGAGCAAATTCCCAACCCAGTGGAATGGCCCATATATGCACAAATCATCGAGCTTGTTTACATTTCTGCGACAAAGTTGTGCTGCTTTAACGTGCTGAATTTCAGCACGTATTGCGTATTTGTTCGTTCACACACACACATGTGTGTGTGACATTGCTGCGCGACATAGTCATTACGACAAAATCACGTATGTGTAAATCGGCCTTGTAAACTGTTCAGTGGGATGGTGCCAGACTATTTATGCATTCCAAGCCTCACTTTGATTTTTTTTTTAAATGTGGCTTAAAACATTAGAGTATAATAAATCACACATTTTAAATTATCCATCAGAGCAGACTGGTATTAATTTGTAATCAACTTTATTTCATTATTTTCATTTCTATTCGCAAGTCCAAAAATGAAGACTTTACCTCGCTTTCAATGTAATATGGCCGACTCACAAATAAAGCCTATTGTCAATATTCATTTCACAATTTTTTGTACAATGCTACTCTTTCGTTGTGTATACAAAAATCTGTTTGATCAGACATGATGTAACGCATATTTTAATAGTTTGACCAATTTTAACGAAAATGGTTTTTGCCTTTGACTGCTGACACGACTGCATTTTGACAAGAAAAAAAGAGCACCATAATTTTACGAGTGAACTTTAACTGTGAATCACTGATGTGAAGTCATAAAAAGGTGTTATAGTAGCCCCCTCTAAAGGAGTTTTCGAAATTGAATAGTGGAAAACAGGAATTGGCGACATGATTCGTTTAGAAAAAAAAATGAGATTATGATTCTAAATTTGAGTTTGGAATAATTTCATTCAATTCTAGAATAACCCAAGACAGTAACTGTGAATCACTGATGTGAAGTCTTATTAAGGTGTTAGTAGCCCTCTCTAAAGGAGTTTCTGAAACTGAATCGTGGAAAACTGGAATTGTTTAGAAAAAAAGAAAAAAATTGAGAGTATGATTCTTAATTTGAGTACGGAATAATTTCATTCAATTCTAGAATAACCCAAGACTTGCTTATTGAGAATTCATCATTTCAACTATCTGACTGCTGTGAATGATGTGCTTTTTAAAAAATTTTCTTGTTTCTCTTATAACGTTTTCAGGTTCACGCAACGAGTGACTGAGCTGATGACCGTCCTGAATGAGCTGAACATGGGACGCTATGAGCGGACCATGGTCCGAGAGGCCAAAGGTCAGGAAACATTCTGGACGACCTTTGACCCTTTTAGGAAGAATCAGCTGTTAAGATTTGGCCAAAATATGTTCCTGATTTGGAACAATCTAGGAACGATAGGTGTTTTTAAAAAATGGCCCCACACAGTAAGCATTGACTGATTTAGGGTATTAAGGGTGCACTAAGGCTAGTCTGAGTATCACCTGTTATCCATGGAGCCAGTCACCGTATAACGTCTAATATATCAAAGCATGCAGATTTATGCGGTCTCGTGCCTCAGCCAATCGGAGTCGACTTTACTCAATCATGACGTCATTTCATTTCCAAATCAGTACTTAATGTGTGATTGGTCAATTCGAATGCAGTGTTTTGTAATACAAGAACAGCCAGGCACGTATCGCGTAACATAATACAGAGTGCACGACCACACCTTTGTTGCTGTGTCGAGTTTTTTTTTTAAATCCAATGTCTATGATGCGACAACGGGTGAATGGCCAAAGACCAGATATAGAAAGCGCCCGCTGATTGGTCAAAATCTAGAGGTCAAGATGCAGTTGTCTTGCATAATTAATCAACGAATCTGCTCAAAAATTAGCGGAAGTGGATCTCATATAATGCTTGGGTCTTTTTCGTATCCTTCTTCGTAACTCTCTTTTTCGTATCTCTTTTTTTTTCTCCGTATCTCTCTTTTTATTCATATTTCACATATTCGTAAAAAGAAAAGCGAACAAGAGGCATCGCTTTAAAAACAGTTGTTTACACTGTTCTGGTATTGTTACTAAAAAAAACTTTGGGGGCATGCCCCCTGTTGTCCCACTGCCCCGTTTAACCCCCCCCCCCCCCCCCCCCCCCACTCCTTCCCTCCCCAACCCCTGCATCCACAATTGAGTAAGGGACCATTTACTTGAAATGACATGTACATGATATTGACGTGGTGCGTTTGGTGTACCTTTTTTTCCATTTTCCTAGCAGATTCTGACAGCGAGGATGACAGAGAGCCACTGGTACCCGGCAGTGGTAAATTGATTCATCGGGATCATGTCATTGAGTGAGTCACTTGTAATTATTTTGTGGTTCATTTGAAAATTATTAACGTAAGGCAAAAAAAAAAAGGATCCGGTTTCTGGTATGCGTGCGTTGACATGCGCGTCGGCAAAATGAAAACTTTTTTTTTTTCAATGTAAGATGATGTCTCAAAACTTCCAAACTCACTGGTTTGACTGGAATCCTGCTGCTGCAAATTTGTAACGTGTTTATAGATGGGGTTACGATCTAGTATAAGCTTTACATGGCCTCTCTGGACTCATATATATTTCAGACTAAAGTTAGTCTGGCACCATTTTTCAGTCATCAGCCAACATTTGAAGAAAAAAAAGTGAAAAAAAAAAAAGGCCACGGCACCGCACCACTTTTGGGGCAAGCTCCATACCAAAAACTGGAGACTTTTTATGGACCTAAATTGTTCCAAATTTTTTTTGTGCAACAGTTTCTTCCCTACAAGGCTTAACTCTGCCTTACTGATTTTTGTCCACACAGGTTCAAGCAGGTTCCGTTAGTCACTCCGAACGGCGACGTTCTGGTTCGGGAGATGACCTTTGAGGTCAAATCTGGGGTCAATGTCCTGGTGTGTGGTCCTAACGGTTGCGGCAAAAGCTCACTATTCAGGATACTCGGCGAGGTATAAAAAACATTCCTCACCCTTCTACAGTATTGTGTTTTACTATACCTCATAAATATTCATGATCAAATTGGAGCGCGTCATTGGCCGATTTTGCCGGGCGTCCGGGAAGTAAAAATGATACGCGCCCAGGTGACGTCATCTCGGTGAGCATTGCCGTGCGGTAGTTTTTTCTGGCAGCACTAAAAATTCCCTCTGGAACCCGTCTCGTAGATATGTAGTCTATAGCACGTTATCTTTACGGAACCAGTCTGTTGTTGTAATCCTTGTTAGTACTACAGTAAAGACACATTATAGAGTGTTAGCACCAGACTATTTCATGTGCTGTGACGAAAAACTTGAATTGTGCTGAATAAGGATGCAAAATCTGTGAAGGCCATTATCGACAAGGCAGTGAGGCTACTAAAAAGGCAGTGAGGCTACTAAATATTTTGAGGTGTAGTAAAACAAACACAGCACGGTTTATTTCTGGAAAATAGTTGGAATTACTTGTCCCTCTGTGTAGGTCGGTTTCGCGTCGGGAGGTAGTCAAACTGACTAAATTTCCCCTACTTCCCCTCAAACCATGCTGTGTTTGTATAATGTCAAGATGATATATGTAAAGCATGGGGCTCTATTGCTATGGGCTCCGTGCGCCAACAAAAAGAGGGTGCCCTTTTACCTGGCAATGACGTCCCATGTGCGGGACACATACATTTCGCTGGTTGACGTGCACCGTTCCTTGTGTGTGATGACGCACATACACCAGGGGATTTGTACTAAGCACACGCAGTGGCCGCGCTCCGCGACGAAATATTGCAGTCAGGCAAGATGGTGTCGGTCGGTCACCCCCAACTGTACTCTCTTTGCCGGTGAGAGGGTACTTGTGAACGGAGGGGATAGGTTCTGATTGTATGACATCAGTGCCATGTGACCATCACCTACCATCAATGATTGGATGATTTTTGTGCAGGATAATGGTTCATTTCAGATTTTGCCATACTGAACCCCAAGTACATGTTGTTTTTTTATTGACATGTTAACTTTTTCTGATTTTTGTTTCAGCTTTGGCCATTATTTGGAGGAACTTTGATCAAACCAGATGCCAAGAAACTCTTCTATGTACCTCAGGTATTTTTTTTTTAACTTAAAGGTAGAGTAGATCATATTTTTGTTGATAAGCTTACTTTGGTTTATAGATGGTAACAGCACTAAACTCACTGTGAAATTATTCCAAATTATTTTGAAGAAAACAATATAATAAGGAGATTTCCAAAGATGGGTCATGTAATGCTTTTTTGGAAATTTCGGTTAGTAGTTGGTTTGTAATTCGGAGAATCTGTTTTTTGAAAAATTTGAGCAAAAGGTTCATCAGGTTAGTTGTTAAGTGCTTGTCTTTAGATTTTGAGCACTTTTGTTGCTTCAAACAAACAAAAATGCACAAATAGCAAATAATGTACCCTAAATACTGTCTGCTATTTTCAAGTGTCAAAACCATGAAAACTTACCCCGATGTGTCAGCATACTGAAAAAAGGTAAAAAACAAACTAAAAACAAAACTGGATCCGGGAACATATTTCCTTGGAAAAATACAAAATATTTGAAAGGACTGAAAAAAGTCACAAAAACAACACTGTTAAATGAGGCATTATGGGTGCACATACTTTGTTTTCAATAAAAACCTCAGAAACATAGATTTTATTGTGCATCCATGATCCTTTTAGAAGAATATTATTACATTTTACCTGTCTTGATGGTTTTTCCTTTTTTTTCAGCGACCATACATGACCCTTGGCACACTGAGAGATCAGATCATCTACCCAGACTGCAAAGAAGACATGATCAGAAAAGGCATCTCAGACAAGGATCTGGAACATTCCATGGCACAGGTGGGGTTGTTTGTTTGTCAGACAGTCAGGCTGTTTGTCTATCTGTCTATATAGTTTTGCTCCTTAAGGCTAGTCTGTTTTTGACAGACATGATAAGGCGAGGCGTCATAAATAAATTAACCGTTCGCACGCGTGCGCACGCGTTCCTTCCCATTCTGAACGGCCCCCGTTCCTTCCCGTGCCGAACGGCTTTTAGAACGCGTTCCGTAGATCGTGCTTGGGCAAGCTTCACTGAGGGGGTATTGTTATGTTAATCAACCGTTCCTTTGCGTGCGAGAACGGGAGCAGCACAATAAAGATGCGAAGAACAACTATGTGTATATACTTGTACAGAAAAAAAATCCGTTTTGGTTTGGAATTTAAATCAGATTTGGAATTTGAAAACCCGATATCGGAGCAAGCATTAAATAAAAAAAACATTTCAGAGTTTAGACAGCACGAGCAGGTATGAGGAGTTTGATAAGATTTATGCCTTTTTATCCTTAAATATCGTTGTCTGCCGCTGGGCGGGCCAAAAAAATATGTATGGTCTAGGTTATATTAAAAATGCGGAGATTGGAAGGGTTAAAAAAATATTTGGTGGGCGGCTACATGCTCAGAATAAAAGCAATAACATCGTTGTCGGCCGCAGGGCGGGGCGAAAAAAAATGTATGGTCCATGCAGGTTCTATTAGAAAATGCGGAGTTTGCTGACTGATGTTATAAACTGGCCTTGTACACACGATCAGCGAATTATAAATCGAATATTCAAGGTTTTTACATACTCATAGTAAAGTTTGCAAAGGACTGCTTTCCCCGTTCAAGGTGCCCGTATTTTTATACGTCCCCCCTGTACTGTACGGGCTAGCCTGTAGCGACGAGAAAGTTTGTCGGATACTTTTAGTGCCGATGAGCTCTTCGTGTGTGCACAGACCGTGACTGGCCTTTTGTTGTATAAGAACGCGTTCTGAACGGGATGCCGTGAGCACGCGTGCGAACGGGAGGTAGATGTAACAAAAGGCCCCGTTCCTAGCGTGCGCACGCGTTCGAACGGTTAATTTATTTATGACGCCTCGCCTAAGACAAAGTAGTCGTGGGTATTCTGTTTAGTACACACAAAAAAAATTATCAAATAACTATTTGCCAACCTGACTCCTGTATTGTTTGTCATCAGGTTCAACTGAGCAACATCTTGGAGCGTGAGGGCGGTTGGGATGCGGTTCAGGACTGGATGGACGTGCTGAGTGGAGGAGAGAAGCAGCGAGTAGCAGTAAGTCCAATCACAAATCATTAAATTGGAGTTGCTCAACACACATAATTATGCCGAGCACAATGGAGTTTTGCTTAGGTGCAGCATGTCACCAGCTGAAATATTGTGCGATGTATATTACTAGTAACCGGTTCTCGGTTCTCGACTGATCTGGGCTTAGCATGCCAATTTCAGCTCTGCCCTCTTATACTAAGGTAAACATGGGTGTTGCTAGAGGGTGGTGGGGGGGGGGGAACCTCCCCTCCCTTATTATTAGTTTTTGTCAGCAAATTGGTCAAATCGTTAGTAAAATTGTGTTCCGTTGGTAAATATGCCATGATGATTAGTGCCATCTATTGTCTGACAGTGTCAAATATCGTCCGCTTTGGACAGCACCCCAGTCCCCCCCCCCAGCCCCCCTAGCCCCCCCCCCCAGCCCCCCTAGCCCCCCCCCCCCTACTTTTTGAGGAGGCGGGTGACTGGAATAAAGTCTTTGCTACCCTCCAGCATAGAGTGGTTCGTAGGCAAATTTGTTGTCACAGTCCCCCCACCCCCACCCCCGTCATTCAAATTTGTCTTGCGATGCCTGTGGCTGTAAGTGCCTGCCTTCTTGAACTGAGCATTTCTTTGGAGGACATTTTTGTGTGTGCGAGTTGCCAATCACAAGGCCCTATTTAAGGGCCACTTGAGGTTCTGTGGAACTGCAGAGGAGAAGTGAAAACCTATTAGAGGTATGTCTTCAACCGAAATATACAGGATACCAGTCCAGGTAATATTAAGTGTGTGACATTTGACTGGTAACCTAGTTTGGGGTTCAGCTAAAGTTTTGCAGTTTTTCAGGAAAATTTGAAAGGAAGAGATAGAAAAGTAAGCTAAGAAAAAGAAAAAGCACTTTATTAAAGTAGAAAGATACGTATTGACCTTACGCTTGAATTGGGACGGATCATAATCAACTGGAAAACGAGATAAGGTAAGGCTGGAGTTCTGTAGTAAGGCAGTGCGTGGAAAGAAACTGGAAGAATACTACCCAGAATTTGCTTTGGGAACAATGACTAATGAGAAATTGGACATACTGCCTGAAAAATGAGATGGCTGACTTTGTTTTCTCCATTTCTGTAGATGGCTCGTTTGTTCTACCACAAACCGCAGTTCGCAATCCTGGATGAATGTACCAGCGCAGTCAGTGTGGACGTTGAGGGGTTCATCTACTCGCATGCTAGAGAGGTAGATTTCTTATTTTGTCATAATATCTTTTGCCATGAAATTATCGAGACTGGCGCCTCAAAAACCAGGCGCATAGCCATGGTTTTGTTTGCCCCTTGCAAGATGGAATTTTCATCCCTTTAATCCATTTTCACCGTCCCGATCTTGCTTCATTCAGCGTCCCGAGGTTGCTTATAAAAACTCTAGCCCTTGCACTCTGCAACCCCCTGGCTATGCCACTGCCCAAAACAAAGACATTGTCAAACCATTTCTGATGTGGTCAGTCTTTTAATGGAGGCCCAAAAAAAATGACAACATTCAGTTGACAATGTTTTCTTGGCTTCATTTCAATTTCTTTCCAATGCAGGTCGGGATCACACTTTTCACAGTTTCTCACAGGAAGTCGCTATGGAAACATCATGAGGTAAGTGCTCACAATGTTCTAGAGACCATCAGGTGCCCGGCAGAAGGGCATATGAACGCTTTATCCAGACCTGCCAACCAGTACGGTTTTGCCGTATTTAATACGGGAATTTATTGAAAATACGGCCGTACGTTTTTTCTCCATAAAATACGGGTTTTGACCATTTTGACACGCCAAAAAAAAATCCTAGTTCGGCTGCGAGTGAAGAGTGCGCAAGAAGAAAAAAAACGGCTGCGAACGTAAACTACGTTGAGACACGAGGCTCGACATCGCGATCAAGTAAGCTAGGGTGTCTGTGATTGGTGCATGGGATGTAAACAAACGCATGGACCGGGCGTATTAACCAATCGGATCGTTGCATACAAAAGCGCTAGGCATATACTGCGCATACCATGTGCAACTAGCTACATGTGTAGCTGAGGATAATTGAGCGTGGAATTCGAAAGCAGCACTGGCGTGAAATAAATATGGCTTCGACCTCCAAAAAAGATATTAAAAGGAAGCAACTGTACAAAAAAGAGTACACCGAGAAATGGGATTTCATCCAGCCGTCCCAGAGAGGAGAGAATTACGCACGGTGTACGTTGTGTATTTCCGATTTTAGCATCGGTCATAGTGGATCATATGATATTACCCAGCACATTGAAACGACCAAGCACCGAAATATTGCCGAGTAAGAGTGCTAATCGCTCTGTTAGACAATTTATGCCAACAGACTATGATCTGATTAGAGCGGAAACTTTATGGACTGAGTTAGCCCCACTAGTGTGGCCGTCGGTATGCTGCGCTGGGTTCAGCGCAGCATACCGACGGCCACACTAGTGGGGCTAGGACTGAGTATGTTATCGAACATAACATGCCGTTCGTCTCTTCGTTTAGTAGGCCTAATATTATTATTATTAATCAGAATGGTTTTGTGAGTTTTTACTGAAGTTTACTCGCCATACAGTTTTAGGTGGATTAGGGCATTTTTAAAATAAGTTGTAACGTTAAGGGGCATATAACGTCGGGGGAAATAATTTTGAAAAATCGCCGCCCCCCAAAAAGAATTCCTCAAAAAATGCCTCCCTAGTAACCACAAGCTTTTGATTCACTTTTAAACTGGAATCCTGGCGTCTAGTGGAAAAAAATAGAGAAAGAAATCACCGTAGTCCGTACATTTCCACATGCCCTGATCGTTGATTGAGTACGGCCGCCCCACCACGCTGGCGCCCTTATTTATCAGGATGTAGCATGCTCGCAGCAACGTGTTTTACGTTTGTGCACTGGTTCCTGTCAACAAATATATCTTGGGCCTAACGGGCCGGGTACCAGCTGCACCGACCATGCGACCGTATCGGAGTATGCATCGACAGCTTAATGCTCGCGTACTTTTCGATGACAGGTATTGAAGCGACGACTTTTTTTTTAAGCAAACATAGTTTGGAACAAGATAAATAATGACAGTTTGCTTAGTCTGCAGACTTTCTCCTTCATTATTTATGTACTTTTAATGTGATAAACTCGTGCAGTGAAACTGAATGACGACGTTTTGTTCGAACACGAATACTGTGTCCGAAAACTGGGCGCACTATTACGGGCGCGCTGTAAAGGGCGTTGATTTTTTTTTTTAATTTATAAATTCCCTCTCACCGCCCGACCCGGGGAACCAAATCCGTAATCCAACTAACTGAGAAAGGTCTTAACTAAGTTTACTTCGATATATAGTCAGTTGTGAATAGAATTGAATTGAATTTTAAATGGAATTGAATTCCTTGAATTGAATTTGAAAATTATTTTTTTATGTTACCTAGGCTATTACCTATTACTAAAAATGATGACTTAGTTTTAGCGGGCCCTTTTTTTTAAAGTCCCTGAATACAGCAAAGCTCTGCTCAATTTTTTTAAATTAGGTATTGCTAAAATCCTCACACCACGTGGAATTGCACTGCAGCAACATTAAACCTTTGTAAGCTCGTTTGTGCATTAAAACAAAAAAATACAGGTTTTTAAGGAAAAATACAGGTTTTTGAGTTTCAGAATACAGTTTTGTTATCTCACAGGTTGGCAGGTCTGTTTATCACCCAAAAAAATCACTTTTCAAGAAAATTACATTGAAAGGCTCCAATGTTCTCCCACACGTGTTATAAATCCAATGTTCTCCCACGCGTATTATACATCTCACGAATTTTACATTTGTCACACGTACGAATCATAATTTTTGGATCAATTTTAGGTTTTACCCTTCACCGACCTATAAACACTGTATACTCAGTGTGTTACCTCCCGAGTGAAAGTTGGAATAAAATCACTCGGGGGGGGGGGGGGGGGGGGGACTCGAAGTTGACATCTAAGTTGTTAAGCATTTTGAGCAATTTTGCTGCTTCAAATGAGAAAAATTGCACGAAAAGCAAATGATCCTATGTCCCTTTTAATGCATGTTGGCGTAGAGCATGTAAGTGTCGCCTTTCAACGTTCGCGTTTTATGTGAACATTTTGAATAACAACCACCGACTAGTCTAGTCACAGACTCCCGTGTTTGAATTTACCCAATTGTTATCTGCATGATCGATTGAACGGAAGTTGAGGTCAACATTTTTAATTTTATAATAGTCATCCATTCACAACATTTTCAATAAGTTGTAAATTGTAATACTTTCTTTGTCTTTCAAATGCCCATTTATTGCCCTTGATTGGATGGGCCCAGTCAGGACACCAAATAAATACAAGAAAAAGGACGTCGCACATGTTGTAGATCCTCTACACGGTGCCCGGATGTGCTGTGTTTTCGTAAAATCTGGCAGGTTTTTTAGGTCAACTTGCATGCTCTGTTACGAGCACTGCTCATGCTAACATGACAATGCTTAGTGTTTCTTACAAGGCCCACACTATTTGTTGACATGACTGTTTCCCCATTGTACCAACAGTACTACCTGATGTTTGATGGTCGCGGTGCCTACGAGTACAAGCCCATCGACAAGGAAACCGTCGAGTTTGGGTCTTAAACAAAAACGGATGATTTCTGTCACGGCTGGCGGCCATTTTGACGTCTGCTCAAGCGTGAGGCTCTCGACCGCATATAGGCAGGTGCCTTGTCACGATGTAAGGGAACTTGCTACCGATGACCGCAGGAATGCATGCGGGACATAAGGCAGTGTATAACCTTAATTTATTTTTAATTGATCAACTTTGGGTTTCAATTATATGAAACTGCAAAGGAGAAGTGAAAACCTATTAGAGGTATGTCTTCAACCGAGATATACAGGATACCAGTCACAGGTAATATTAAGTGTGTGACGTTTGACTGGTAACCTAGTTTGGGTCTGAACTAAATTTTGCAGTTTTCAGAAAATTGGAGTAATAAAAACAGCTCTATGTGAAATTCCAGCAGAAACATCATGATTTTGTTTTAGGAATTGAAAATGTGTTTGTGTGTGTGTGCAAATAGGGTAACAGACAAAATCATTTTAACGTTCTCATTTCGTTTATCATTCTTTCCGAGTTAACTCGCACCGTAGCAAATTTGTACTTTTGCAGTTCTAACTGGAAAATATACAAATCAAGTTGTGTGAGTGTCCATGCATTTGCCAATTGCGAGTGACCTATACCCGTTTGGATTTAAATTTGAAAAACGTCTGGTACACTGACTTGTTCAGAATGCTGGGCACATTTTAAGTGTGAATTCTCCAGACCAATGACACTGTTGCTAATCAGGTGATTCGGGGCAAGCTCTTGCATAGTTTACGTACGAGACGCTCAGCACCAATACATTGTTCACAATGGGTGAGAATGGCACAAAGACGCCAGACTATGTTGGAGCTAGGGGTTGCTAGCACAAGGCTTGCCCCGAATCACATGATAACAGTCTCTTTGGTCAGGAGAATGCAAAGCCTTAAACATGCAAAGCATTGGATTAAGTCAGCGTTCCAGATTCTATTCAAATTTAACTCGCAAATGGCTTATTGAAAGTGATGTAATCTAATCATTTTTTTTGGAACTTGCGACTTAAAATGAAGGCAATGAAGTAAAATTTCATTTCAAATACCAGTCGGCTCTGATAAATAACTTAAATTTTGTTAATTTTAAGTCACATTTTACAAACAAATTGAAAGTGAGGCTTGGAACGTATAGTCTGGCACCATGCCATTCAACAGTTTACAATTTATAAAATAGAGTCAGGGAACACGATCCAAAATGGCTTCCCCATGAATAAGTTGTATTGTCTCCAGTTGACAGCATTTTAAAGAGGTTGTGGAATGCTGAAAGTCGTTTTGTTTTTTACAATTTTTTTTATAGTAGAGTAGACCCATATATATCAATATAACAAACTCCCATTCTTTTTTAATGTGCGTTTATATGTTTATAAAACTGAAATTCATCGAGTAATTTGTTGGTCGGCGAGCGCATAATTGAAATCAACAGTAATCGGGTTCTTCGTAAAATCAGAAAAATTGTGACGTAATAAACAGGACTCGTTTATACTACGCTGCATAGGGGGTCCTGTTTATTACGTCACGATTTACTATGTTTTGTTTGCTGCCCCCAACGACGACTTTTACACAAATTGCATGTTCGGGTCGAAACAGGACCTGAGAAACAGCTCTCAAAAGTACCTTTTGTATTCATTTCATGATAGAAACAATAGTCGTTTTTATTTCATCACACCTTAGGCTACATATACCCGAATAATGACGGAAATGTCTTCGAGCATTCCACAACCTCGTTAAGCTGATGCGTTGCCTCGCTATATGCAAAGATTTAGTTAGTACACAGCTTTGAAGATGAGAAGAATTTTGATTCAAGACACGTGTGATGTGCTGGTGAACGCTAGTTCCACATTTTTAATTTAAAACATGTTTTAGTCGTAATTTATATGTAACTTTACTTAAGGCTTTTCTGCCGGCAATTCTCCTGAATCCACCCAAATGCAATGTAGAAGCACAATAATTGGGACACTAACCCTCCTGCTATCTGAACAGTCACAGACAGTCAAAATGTTGATTTTCTCCCCTGCCATGCCTTTTACACAGGCTAGTCACCAACAGTTACATAGATCATGCTTCAACCAAGCACTGTGACTAGTTAAATTCAGTCAACAGACAAAAGCAGGCAAGTGGTAGGCACAGCTGGCTTATCAATCACCTATAGTAAAAGCTTAGCTGTATCAAGTTACATAAACAGTCCCAGCCAGTCGATCCTGCTTAATGTAGGCAGGGACCTCTTAGTCTTAACTGTTAAAAACAGTCACTGGTTTGAATTTGACTATGAATAATTTTCACTAATTTTGACCCAAATTATTGCTGCAATTTTGACCCAAATTATCGACGCAATCTTTTTTTTAATGCCCAATCTTTCCAAAATTCCAGTTCGAATGTGCTCTAGGGACCTTCAGGCATCTTCCCTGCAAGTTTCAAACAATTTCATTTTTCGGCCAAAAAAATGGACTTTTCTCCGAACAACTCAGAAATATCTTTGGATGCAAGAGGAACATTAATCGACCTTCAAACACTAAACATATTAAAGATTTTGGCCAAAATCACCGACTTATTGAGACAAAAATTTTCACTAATTTTGACCCAAATTATCGACGCAGTTTTTTTTTTAAATGCCCAATCTGTCCAACATTTTTAGTTTGAATGTGCTCTAGGGACCTTCAGGCATCTTCCCTGCAAGTTTCAAGCAATTTCATCTTTGGCCAAAATTGAAAAAAATTGCAAGGGGTTGGCCTTACATTTTTGATCAAATTTGGCAAAAAAATGCATTGTTTGCATGGGAGGGTTGAGCCCCATATTATGCTTTTGTTTTTACCTTTAATACTTTATTTCATGGCAGCAAACGTAGGTGTGGATAATGATGGATTTAAAGTATTCCGTTAGCGTTAAATTTGTAGAAACATCTGTTTAGGTAGCGTTATTTACAATGCAATTATTTTGGTTTATTTTTAAGGTTATCTCGATTGGCTAATTTAAAACATAAGAGTGTTTTATTTATGTTTGGGTGTATGAAATTTATAGCGTATGAGTATTTACAATGATTGTAAAATATATGTAAAGAATTGTTACCATGTAAAAAATTAAGATGTAAAATTGCTACAAAAATATGTCAGTGAAGGGCAATAACCCAATGTAGAAGAGACAAAACTGAGTAAAGAAATTACAACTTCAGTTTTGATTATAACATCACATATAATTTATTTACTTATATCTTAGTCTTATTAATTTGCCTAACAACAAAATATGCATGGATCTGTTTTGTGGTATTAATTTTTATATACAAACAAAAACAAAATCTGTACTCCAACCTGCCTTTTACCAAAGAATTAACAGAAAAATTGTAATTATCACAATATTATAAGACATCACAATACTATTACACATGCAGTGGATAGATTTCTAAAAGACAAAGTAATTTTCATAATTTTGGGGTATTATTTTTGTAAAGTTATTCTGAAGACGATAAATTGAGAGAGTAGTCAAAATAAATTTGTATGCGAAAATTGAATTTCTGTGCAGCCGTATCCTTTATTTTAATGTTATGAGTTCAGACCGATGGCTTCAATCTCATCACATGCAACATTAGGATACAGAATTTTTTTGGGGGGGGGGGGGAGGGGGGTGTTGTAACAACTGATAATGTAGCAAACAAATGACCGATAGTGTAGTACTTTGTTGTTACATTATCGGTCCTAACCGATAACGTGAACAAAATTTGACTGATAGTGTAGTAATATTTACTACACTAACAGTCATTTCTTTGTTGCCAATACTGCATCCGGTTTTACACAGCAAATTCAGCTACATGCAATCTTTCTTTTAATCTGTCCAAAATTCAAGTTCCAATTTGCTCTAGGGACTTTCAGGCATCTTCCCAGCATGTTTCAAGCAATTTCATTTTCGACCAATATTGAAAAAAAAAATTGCAAGGGGTTAGCCTTACAATTTTGATCAAATTTGGCCAAAAATTGACTTTTTTCCAAACAACTCAGAAATGTCTTTGGATGCAAAAGGAACATTAATGAAACAGCATAACTTCCAAGATTTGGGCGAAAAGAATCATTTTTTAAAGAAAACATTAATAATTTTGACTGATTTTAACCCATAATATTGACGCAATATTTCGTTTTCAAAGTCTATTTTCCCCAGAATTAGAGTTGGAATGCGTTCTAGGGTGTCTGAGACATCTTTCCAGAACGTTTGGAGCAATTTCATTTTTTGGCCATAATTGAAAAAAATGCAAAGGGTTAGCCTTACATTTTGAACCAAATTTGGCCAAAAATTGACTTTTCTCCAAACAACGCAGAAATACCTCTAGAGACGATTGGAGCATGAATCAATATTCAAACACCAACATTTTGGCAGATTTAGGCAAATATCATCCATTTTGGGGGGAGAAAATACATGTAAATAAAACCGCATTATTACCTTTATGGTATGTACCTCTAGGGGCGACCATTAATAGTCGCCCCTATAGATACAGTACCTCTAGGGGCGACCACTACCAGTCGCCCTAGAGGTACGTACCTCTAGGGACGACCAATACCAGTCGCCCCTAGAGGTACGCACCTCTAGGGGCGATCATTCACGTTCGCCCCTAGAAGTATGGGTACCTCTACGGGCGATCATTCGCGGTCGCTCCTAGAGGTACTCTACAAACGCACGATATATCGAACTGAAATACATGTAAATAAAACCGAATTTTGACTGTTTTTACCCTAAATTTTCGGCCAAATTATCTTTTCACAGGCACGTTTGTTCCCAAATCGGATTGGAATGTGTTCAGGGTTACCTTAGGCATCTTTCCTGCAAGTTTCAAGGAATTTCATTTTTTGGCCAAAATTGAAAAAAAAACCAAGGGGTTAGCCTTACATTTTGAACCAAATTTGGCCAAAAATTGACTTTTCTCAAAACAACGCAGAAATACCTCTGGAGACGAGTGGGGCATGAATCAATATTCAAACACCCACATTTTGGCAGATCTAGGCAAATATCATCCATTTTGGAGGGACA